GAAAAGAAAAATTATTTTAAAAGTTGGAAAACAGAAAAGCGAAAAACAACTAACTTCAAACTGCGAACAGATTACCGGAATACAAGAATTATTAATATATAAGATATTATTCAAAAGAATATGATTGAAGTTGTCTATAGTTATTTTTCACTTTATTAAAATATAAAAATCCAAATAAGTTGCAATTTATACTGAAAAAGTGGTATTTTGTACCACAATATATGGAAAAAAGTCGAAAAAGTTCCATTTTTTTGACGATAAATCGAAAAAGATTCTAAAAAAGTTCAAAAAGTCATACTATCCAAAAACTGCACGAGCCATTTTTAAATTTCCGGTTTCTTTCCCTTCAAAAAAAAAAAACAAACAACAAAAGAAAATGAAAGAAAGAGAAAAAACTTTCCCTATTTGTGTTGCGATCGGGACGGGGTGTAATATTATATAATATGCGAGTGTATCGCATTCTATTGTATCTTTAGAGTGTGAGTGCGCCCTACGTGGTCCACGATCAAGGGAGACCTGTAACAGCTTGCCTAAATTCCATTTAAATTCAAAACAGGACTGAAATTGCCATCAGCAGGCGCAGAGCCAATGCACGTGAGTGACTAGACTCGAGGATGTAAAACCAGGGGGAAAGGGAAACTATCCAGTCCAGCGGAGATTCCGCTGTGTGTGCCCGCGTGGCTCGCAGAGCCTGCGGATCAGAAGTGCCTTGTAAACCCTTTCTGGCACCTCTGACTCTCCTCTGACCCTTTTATTCAAATGGCCAAAACAGTAAAACACTTGTAATGTCAACGTGACGTACCTCTTGAAGTATTTACGTGACAATATCCCTTTTTTTGCTGCTACAAAATTAAATTCCTCAATCTTCTTCAGTTTTTTCAATATCCCCTTTGGATGTTCAAAATTCCTCAATTTTGCAAAATAGATTTTTCCTCTCAATTCAAATTCTCTCTTTTTTCGCTCTCGGGGGGGAAAAAATTCTCTCTCACTGACCTTGCAAAAATAGAGTCCGAAATTCATCGTCCTAAATGATTGTTCATCACTTCGATGATTTATCCAATTTGTTTCTCTTCTAACGGAAAATTACGATTGGTCCAAAATTCTGATGAATTCAAAGCTTTGATCTAAACGAGAATTTTAAATTTAAATCATCTGTATTATTTATTTTCGATATTGAAATATTGTATTTATTTTATACTTACTGGTAAAATCCTTTTAGGATTGAAATCCGTCTATTTTCGAATTACTCCAAACGAACTTTTGTTCGATAATTCACATTCGATTGATTTTTGTTACGATTGGCTTCATCTTTCTGAATATAACAGATTGATCTGCAACCAGGTTCAAAAAATTAATATTAGAATAATTCACGTCCTTTTTTTTCAAAAAAAAAAAAAAAATGCGAATCTGAAAGTAGAAGCAGAAATGAAAAAAAGGAAATAAAAATATTGAAATAATAAAAAATTAAATAATTTAAACACTAAAAAAAGGTTTTAATTCAAATTTTCTATTATTAAACTTAAGAAATTAAAACAATTTTACTTAGGAAATAAATAAAAATTTACCTGATAAAACAACTGGTTACTTATTTTAAATTAAACTAATTTACACACTAAAAAAGAATTTAATGAAAATATTCCATTATTAAATATATTTTGCTTTAGAAATTAAATCAACTTTATTCGAGAAATAAATACAAATTTCCCTAATAAAACCACTGATTAGTTATTTTAAATTAAATTACTTTTATTTCAATTTAATTTAGAAAATGAAATTACTTTTATTTTTATTTAATTTAAAAATTAAATGTATTTTATTTAAAAATTAAATTTATTTTATTTGATAATTAAAAAAACTAAAATTATTTTCAGTATTTCAAAGTAACAAAAAAAATTACCACATTCTTTAAATTAATATTATTAATAAAAATAAATTTGAGAAAGAAAAATTCTATTAAAAGGTTTTTCCAGTGGATCTCTAGATTTAATCGAGACAGTTAACATTCAGGACTGAAAAAAATTTAACGTGACTCCAGGTGCGGGAATACAACTACAGAATCCTGAATGTGACCACAAAATCCAGGAAGCGCAAGAAACTTTATCATTTGCTACTTTCTCATGTAAACACAGTTATTGCAAGAAACAAAATTAGAGTTTAAAAAAAATAATTAACAACGAATCCCAGGAACGCATGATTATTTCCAAAAACTCATTAGTAGCGAAACTTGCCATCAGTGGATCGAATTTCACATATATGTATAATACAGAGAACAAAGAGAGAAATTATTCATCATTAAACTAAATTTAATACAATACAATATTGATAAATTCATTACATTTTCAATTATTTAAAGTATAATTTATAATATTTTAAAAAAATGGAATTTTTAATTATTAAAAATATAATACTTTAGAATAATTAAATTTTCAATTTAATTTCAATTTCAACACTACAACATTCGAGACTCAAATTTTCAGCTACTCAAACAAATAACAATTAAAAATAATTGAATTGTTAACTATTAGAAAAATTATATTTTTACAAATAATTAAATTTTTAATTAGTCAAAAATATAATAATTCAAATTTCAATTCTCAAAAATAAAATATTCAAGTTTAATTAGTTTCAATTATTAAAAAAAGAATATTTGGAAAAATTCGAATTTGCAACTAATCAGAAATGTAATAATTAGGGAAAAAAACTTTTTAATAAATCAAAAATTAATAATTAGATAAAAATAATAAAAATTTTAATTCTTAAAAATATTATACTTGAGAAAAATTGAATTTCCAATTATTGAAATGATAATGTTAAAAATTTCAATTTATCAAAATTTAATTCTCAAAAATATAATATTTAAAAATAATTAAAATGTCAAGTACCAAAAATAATAATTAAAGGTAATTTAAATATTATTATTGTACACAATCAAATTTATATTGAAACAGAATTGTCATTTAGATAAAAATTCATTATTATTCTATTTTCTACAAACGAAAGCTCAGCAATATTTTAATTCACTCGAGTAAAAAAATTCTATAGAATGAAATTCGATCCACAGAAAACTGGCTAATTTTTCTTTCTGTAAGCAAAATATCAAGAATTTTGAATTCAAAAAAAATAATCTGAAAAAGGAGAAAAGAAGAGATAAAAAAGTGAGAATAAGACAAAAAACTGTCTGACTTTTTTTTAAAGCGAAATATCATGAATTTCGAATTCAAAATTCTAATTTCAAAACGGAGAAAAAAAGAAAGAAAAAGAGAGAAAGAGAGAGAATAAGAAAAAATACTTTTGTTAACTTTCCTTTTATCTTTAGGCAGACAAATTCTTATCTCCTCTCTCTCTCTCTCCCTCTATACATAACTAAATTCCGACAATTGGAAACAGAATTCGAGATCATAAGGGGAATTATTTACACTTTAGAAATACGGGACGTTGTTACTCGCGTCCCATGGATGCTGGTAATTGATTCTCAGTGGGTGAATATATATATACCCGCCTGCAAATAGTCGAGATTCAGTTAAAGGTCTGGCATGAGAGGGACACGTGTACATACAAGCCTCGGCTTACAAGGTTTACTTTTCCGAGACTCAGAAACGTTCTCAACGAGCTTTGAGGAAGTTTATCTTTTCACAAAAGAATTATGCGACAGAAACCGGCAGAGAATGTTTATCGCATTCTCAAATATTTTACACAAAAGGCGAAAAATTAAACAAGGTATTATACAAAAAAAATTGTAAATTAGGTATTTAAAAAAATATAAGTAAATAAAAATTAAAGTATTTCTGCGAAGAATTTTATTTCTATTGAAAATAATTGAATTTCTGTAATCATTTGGAATTTCTCTAAAATTCTCTAAATTTAAATTAATTAACATTTTTATTAATTCAAATTGAAAATTGTCTATTTATGCTATTTTTGTTTATATATTTATTTTTCTACCTAATTCACTATTTTTTTTTCTTTCCAACTCTCTAAATTTGAATTAGTAAAAATATTTGCTAACTTCAATTGGTAGTCGCCAATTCACATTTATAAACGTTTTTATTAATTCAAATTTAGAGAGTAGGTGCAAAAAAAAAATAGTAAATTAGGTTGAAAAATTAATATAAAAATAGACAATAAAGAAATAATAGAAAAAAATAAAGAAAAGTAAACAGAGAAGGAAAAAAGACAGAAAAAAACAAGAAAGAAAAGAAGGAAAATAAACAAATAAAATAAAAGAACAAAAGAGGCACTGAAAGAGAAAAAAATGTTGAAATAAGAACAAAAAATCCAAAATCCAACATTATATCGAAATAAAGGAAACCATTTTTATTTCTAAAAAATAAGATACTCGAGTGCAAATAATGAATGAAAAAAAATATTTGAAAATTGATGGCAAGTCAGCAGAGATTTATACAAATATATATATATTCGTATAATACGAAAAATCACGAGATATTTTGCAGGTGAGGGAAAACTTTTTTTTCCCCGGATTAACGTGGTGTTTTCAGCTCGAATAATCTTTTCGGGCGAACTACGAGCGAGTACGGGATAAGCTCACGGTGCACAACTCATGCGTGATTCCGCAGAGCAAGCTGACGCAGAAACGACACAGGAATTTCGGAATACGCGCACAGGAAATTAACGCGACGGAATGAAATTTATGGAGTCGACTAACACCACTTTTTTTCCTCCCCTTTCTCTCTCTCTCTCTCTCTCTCTCTCTCTCACTATTTCCTTTTTCCCTTTTGCTTCCTGTGGTCAGAAGAAAGGATCATATAGTAGTTTCAAAAAAATTAAAAAGTAAAGCTAAATTTCAGCTTATTTTCCCTTTTGTAAATATTTGCCCGTTAAAGTAGCTACACACCATCCACTTAAAAAAACCTTTTTACAATATGCATATTTTAAAAGAAAAAATAATCTAAAAAGATTTTTTTTTCAGGAATTCGGAACTGTTAGGATATTGACAGTTTTTTCCAACTATCATTTTATCAGAAGAAAGAAAAATCCATCACTTCCGACCACTGTTTTTTTTTATTCCCTTAAACATAATACGAAGATTATATAATACGCTACAACGAAAAATATTCGAAGTATCAGAAAAAACTACAATTGTTATTATATATATATATCCTCTCTTACGTCGATTCAGATTAAATAAAAAACACTTAATCTTTCTTTTTTTTAAATAATTATTTGGAAATAATCTAATATTTGAAACTAGAAGCGCATAATAAAGAAAATTATGAGCTTAATTTTCAAGAAGAAAAATCTATGATTAAACGCAGACAGAAGCTTAGTAAAAATTACAATATACTCAAAACTTGTTTTTTTTCATTCATTAAATGAAATATTCAATCATTCACTTGTTATAAACAGTGATTCGATGATTGTATTATTTATTGCTCATAATTCATCAAAAATCATTCAATTCATTCCTGAAAATAGAGTTAATGTTCAAGTTCGATAATATAGAGATAAGTCTTTTATCTCTAAAAAAAAAAATTAATTGGCAAAGAATACATTTAGTGATTTAATTCTAGTATTTAAACTCCTATTATTTTTTTTAGAGTTTACGTCCTGCCACTCACAATTCCAAAAATATTTTAGAATTAAAGAAATTTTTACCCCCATCAAAAAGTACTATAAAAAAGAAAAATAAAACAAAAAAATCCCTCTATTTAAAAAGAAAGAGGGAAGTTAATTTTTTCTCATTAAATCAGAGTTTTGCATTAAATCAGAAATGAACATTATTTCTATTCAAAGTGATTAATACAATCGAATGAATGTAATTATTTAAAAATAAATGTTCTAGTGTATTCAAAAAAAATTTTTTTTTCTTTTTGTGAATCATTGCGATATTTCAAAATTAATTTTCATTAATAAATTATGAAAGTATCGTTCGAAAATTTATTCCAATTGTGAAAATTGGAAGAAAATCGAATAATCAATGAATATTTTTAAATATTAATGTCACCGTTAAAAAAAAATCACAGAATTCTTACCGCGAAGAAGCTGCTTATTTGTTTGGACTCAAAAAACAAAGAAAAAAATTCTCTTCTTTTTAATTATCGTCACCGTCATCATCGTCGTCCGAGATGTACTTCTTTGTTGACTTCTTTCTCCTACCTACGCGTCCATCCGTCTTCTTTTGCTTCAACTTGATTTTCATTTTTACACTGGAATCACCATCCGAACCATCCTCGGCGTCTGGAAAATTATTATAATTATTTCTATAAATTTCTAATTATTAAATTTCTATAATTTAGTTTTACTTTTTAACTATTCTTTCAATCAAAATATATTTTTTAGTTCTTTCAAATAGATTTCAATATTTTAATAAAAAATTGTAATCTTTAATCTTTAATTTCTTTTAATTTTTAATCTTTAATAAAAAATCTCAATACTAAGAAATAATTTTAATAAAAAATAATTTGTGTATTGAATTATTTAAATTAGGGTTGCCACAAAAATTTTATTTTGTTTTTCTCTAATTTTCAAAAAGAATTTTCACAAGAAAATTTTTCTAATACAGTTTATTAGCGAATATCTTCAATTTTTAAATTATTCGAAACACCAGTAATTTTTTTAAAATAAATATTCATTCATTATTATCATTCCTTCATAGAAATTAAAATTTTCGAAAATTTCGAATTTAAAACCTGAAATTTAATTATTTATAAGAATTGCTATTGTAATTTCTCAAAAATTGTTTTCCAAATTTCAATTAAATTATTTTCTAGAATTTTTAAATGAAATTCTTTCCTAAATCAATTATTTTTAATATTTTTCCAGAAACTTCTTTGAGAAAAATTTGAATAAGAATTTTTCAGAAAACTAACTTCTTTGGCATTTTTAATAAAAATTTGTTAAAAGTTTAATTTGAAACCTTCGAATTCAATTATTTATAAAAAAAATTGTAAACTCGACTCTAGTAAAATTTAATTATTTCTGGAATTTTCAAGTACAATTCACAAAAATTATTAAATTCAATTTCAAAGTTTCTAAAACTTTAATACAAAACCTTTTGAAATTCAATTATTTTTATAAAAATTGTAAACTCGGTTCTACTGAAATTAAATTACTTTTAGAATTTTTTATGTAAAATTATTAAATTCAAATTTTCGAAAACTTTAATTTAAAACCTTTCAAAATTGAATTATTTATATAAAAATTGTAAACCCGGTTCTACTAAAATTTAGTTACTTTTGGGGTTTTTAAGTAAAATTATTAAATTCAAATGTAAAATTTGTATAACTTCAATTTAAATCCTTTTGAAATTCAAGAATTTATAAAAATTGCAAACGCAATAATCGCTAAATAATTTATAAGTAACAATTTTACGATACTTCAAGAATTATATTGTTTAAATAAATTAAATTTCATATTCTGTAGTTAAAGTTAAATTATTGTCAGAAACGGAATTTTCTGAGTTCCCTGACATGTTACAACCCTTCTGATAATATTAATGGTAATAAAAAATAATTAAAAAATTTTATATAATTTGGATGTTAAATATTTACCATGAACTTGAAGCTACAGATAAATTAAAATATAAACTCTTTAATTTGTAATGAGAAAAGACGAGAAAAAAAATTAAAATTCATAAAGAAACTTTTCTTACTCACCTTTATCGTCCTCGGAAATGGTTATTTCAATTTCTAATTTTCGTCGTGCATCCGTAAAAACAGTCTGTAAAGTGATTGAATCTTCATGAATCAGCGACGCTTCTTCGTTATAAATTTGCGCGTTCCTGCATAACTGCATAAAGTCCTTTTCCAATTCATCCAGATCGAAATACTAATGAAAGAAGAAAAAATATTAGCTTCTTCATAATTAAAAAAAAATTCTAAACTTTCTAAAAAATATTACAAACTTTCAGAAACTTGTTATTTATTTTTTCAGAGAAATTAATTCCCGTGAAAAAATAAATAAATAAAAAAATTTATTGAATTTCAATTTCTGAAATTTAATTATTTCTAAAAGTTACAAAAGTAATTCTTCCGAATTTTAAACTAAACTTCTTCTTTAAATCAATTATTTTCGAATTTGCAATTAAAATTCTCCTAAAGCTGAGAAAAAAGAACATGAATTTAAAAATTTTGTCAGACATAACAAAGAATAAAAAACAACAAAACAAGTGTTTGGATTTAATTAAAAAAAACAGATTTTCTCACCTTTCCTTCTTCAATTTTCGTAAGAAGTTTATTAATAGTAAGTGGTTTCTTAATAATGTCATAATAATCAGGCAACTCTCGTCGCGATGGTAATTTCATGAACGGTTCACTGAGCAATCGTCCATCAGCACCATGAGTATAATCAACAACTTCGGCAATAATTTTCTTCATTGTTCGCTTCAATTTTGGATGAATCGAAGAGCCGCCTCTTCGTTTCTTTGGCATTGGCTCGTCGTCCTCCTCGCCCTTTTTCCTCCTCTTTCTTGTCTTCTTCTTCTTTTTATCATCCTCCTCTTCCTCATCGTATTCAACGCCCTCCTCATCAATTGCCTTGAGCCATTCCTTATCAGTGAGACTAAACGTATAATCAACTTCCTTACGTTGACGTGAGCCACGTCCCAAAAATCTATCCTCATCTTCCTCATACGCCCATCTTTCCACTTCGTCATCGTCCTTCACCAACCAATCGGGAAGTTCCGCCTCCTCAAGAAGTCGTGGCTTTCGTTGTGGTCCCAATTTTGCCTCCTCTCTTCTTCGTTCAAGATCCAATTTCTGGAAAGATTCAAACTCACCTTCCGATCTTGCTATCATTTGATTCACTGTCTCATCATCGGGAACCTCATTCTCCTCCTCGTCATCAGCATCGTCCTGATGTAAAATACTCTGTAAAAATTGCTGTCTCTCTGAGCCTGTTGATTTTTGATCGAACATTCCCGCTTGAATAACTTTCTCGTCCATATTTAATTTGTAACGAGCAGCAGCCAAAATTCTCTCCTCAACTGAATTTACTGTCATTAAACGTAGAACGCGTACTTCATTCTTTTGACCGATTCTGTGAGCTCTGTCTTGTGCTTGCAAATCCTGGAAAAAATTAAATATTCCTTTAAATTATTTCTTCCTTTGAAATTTAATTATTTCTAAAAATTAAAACTTTTGTCTAAATGTGTATAAATAAATTATTATTATATAATAATTGTAGGATTGTTTTCAAGTTACCTGATGAGGATTCCAATCGGAGTCGAAGATGACGACAGTGTCGGCGGCTTGAAGATTCAAACCAAGACCACCAGCTCTTGTTGACAGCAAGAAGAGGAAATAATCTGAACCCGGATCGTTGAATTTCTTCAACAGATCACCTCTGTCTTCGGCTTTTGTTGTGCCGTCCAATCTGAGATACTTGAAACCCCGCCACGTCAAGTAGTCCTCCATAATTGTCATTAATTGCGTCATTTGACAAAACAGTAATACTCTATGGTTTGTTGCTTTCAATTTCGGCAAAATTCGATCCAGCAATTCGAATTTACCCGAGGCTCGGAATAAGTCAGGTCTAATTGAAAATAAATTGAAAACAATTTCAAATAAACATTACGAACATTTTTTTTAATCATGTATTAAAACAACAAAAATTAAGTGAAAAAAAAATAAATAATATATCAAGTATAATTATATATGAAACATATTCTTACCCGGCTACAATTCCTCCTTGAGTGCCAACGTGCTCACAATACTTTTCTTCAATTGCTTGGAACATGAATGGATGATTACAAAGTTTTCGTAACTGAACAATTGTATTCATCAAAGCCTTCGCTCCACCTTTGCCCTGTTTTCCTTTCTCCGAACCGTCAGTCAATAGAACTCCTTTACTCTGCATGTGTCTGATTAAAAAGGAAACGAACATTAATTACCAATCATCCGAAAAAAATTCTAGTTCACATTTTTCTTTAAAATTTAAATATTATTTTCATAATTTTTTAGAGCAATTCAATTATTTTCAATACAATTTTACTAAAATTTCTCGAAAGAATACAATTATTTTTAAAAATATTATTTAAATTTAATTATTTTCAATAGCTTTAATATAAATTCAATTATTTTCAATAATTTCTGATATAAAATTCTTCGAAAAAATTCAATTATTTTTGTAAATAATAAAATTCTTCTAAAAATTCAATTATTTTCAATCCAATTTTAATTAAATTTCTGTAACAGTTTCATTTAATTTTTAAAATTGTAATAAAATTTTTCTAAACCATTTCATTGTTCTCAAAAGTTTTTAATAAAATTCTTTGTAAATTTCAATTATTTTCAAAATTTTCAATTAAAATTACTTTAAAAAATTACATTATTTTTACGAAATTTAATGAAATTCTTCAAACGAAAAATGTAATTATTTACAAAAACTCTAATAAAATTGTTTAAAAGAATTCTATTTTCTATGAATAATTTTAATATAATTTAATAGAAAAATTATTAATTGCAATTAATAATAAACACGATTATTTTAAAAACTTAAAAGAAATTCTTTATAAAATTCAATTACTTTCAAAAATTTCAGTCAAAATTTAAAAAAAACTCGATTATTTTCAAGAAAATTGAAAAAAAATCTTCAAAATAATTCAATTATTTTAATGAATTTTAAATAAAAATCTTGCCAACAATTAAATTATATTCAACACAATTTTAATTACATTTTCCCGAAAGTACTTAATTATTGAAAGAAATGTTGATAAATTTCTTTAAATGAATTCAATTATTTACAAATTTTTATATAAATACTTTACAATAATTCAATGATTTTAAGTAAATCGACAGTTTAATTATTTCTGAAAATAATTAAATTCTTGAATAGAATTTTATGAAAACTATTTTAAATAATTGAATCCCTGCAAAAAAATTTATTATTTCTACAAATAATTAAATCTTTGCAAAATTTTAAAAAATAAGTGAATTTTTGAGAAGAATTTTATGAAAATTGTATTTAAAATAATTGAATATCTGTGAAAAATTTACAATTCATTGATATTATTAAATTCTTTCGAAGAATTTTAAAAAAAATGTTTAAAAATAATTTAATTTTCCCTGGAATTCAATTAAAATTGTAATTAAAATAATTGAATTCCAGCAAAAATTTCATTACATATTTTTAAAAATAATTGAATTCTTAAATTAGATTTTATTAAAAGTTTTTTTAAAATAATTGAACTCCTGTGGAAAATTGAATTATTTTTTAAAATAATTGAATTTTCAATTATTTAAAAATTCTTTTTATAAATACTTTACAAGAATTCAATGATTTTCAGTATATTAATTTTAAAATTGAAATAAATTAAAAATAAAAATTATTTAAAAAGTTAAGAAACAAAAACTGCGAACGGATTACCGGATTACAACGATTATTAATAATATAAGTTTACGTAAAAATTGACTTACTTATAAAGCACCTTCTGCAAGCCAGACATGTCACATTTTACTATATATTCAACCTTGTCAGGCAATTGCGATTCTACTTCTTTCTTCAAACGTCTCAAGAGGAAAGGTCGCAAAACTTTGTGCAGACGACGAATAATTAAAATAGTTTCTTCCTCGTTCAGTTCGACCTAAATTCAACAAAATACATATTTTTAATTAAAAGTTCACGAGTTTTATTTATAAAAGAAAAACGAAAAAATTCTAATTTAAAAAATAATAAATAATAAAAATTTGAAAAGACTACTACTCACTTTTTCACCAGTCGTTGCGAAAGGGGCATTGAACCACTGCTCGAATGTGCTGCAGGATTTGAAGATGGATGGCAGTAGGAAATTGAGAAGCGCCCAAAGTTCCGGCAATTTATTTTGTAATGGTGTACCAGTGAGAAGAAGACGATGGGGCGCCAGATAATGTGTATTAAGCACTTGCGTCAATTTACAGTGATGATTTTTCATTCTGTGACCTTCGTCAATGATCATATATTTCCACTGAAGTTTTGCCAAAACACTCTTGTCTTTAATGACATACTCATAAGTTGTAAGTAGTACATTGAATTTAGTCGCTCTCATTTGCGACTGAATTGCCCTTCTTCCAGCCGGTGATCCTTTATAGGAGACAACAACAACGCTCGGCGCCCATTTCTCAAATTCCAAAACCCAATTCGACAGAGTCCTGTCAAATTATTTCATATTATTTAAATAATAAAATTTATTTTCGCAATTAAATAATTATATTAAATTATAAATTTATTATTTTTCGAATATAAAAAATAGAATATCAAATACTAGACAAATATTTGGTAATGAAAATAAATAATTAAATTCGAAATTTGAATATTTGGAGAAAGAACTTACGATAGAGGAACAATGATTAAAAACGGTCCATTGACTTTCTTCTTTTCCATCAAGTACGTGACAAGAGCAATTGTTTGAATTGTTTTACCGAGACCCATCTCATCAGCGAGAATACCATTTAGATTGTTATTGAAAAGAGAGACCAACCACTCCAAGCCCTGGAAATTATTTTCAAGTTATTCAACAATCTGAATATTTATCTATTAGATTAGATATTTATTTATTATTTATTAGATTAAAAATTTATTGAAAAGAAAATAAAGTATTTTACCTTAACTTGGTATTCCTTTAATTTGCCATTCACTAAAATCGAAGCCTGTTCAGTTACACCCTCATGAACAGTGTGAGCAATACTGTAATACGTTTGTTCCTCCGTTTTGTATTCGTCGTCTTCGACCTTTGCCTTGTTGACCGGTTTCTTATTCTGTTCATTCTGTTCATCATCCTCTTCAATGCTCTTTTCTTTTTCTAAGAGAAGAAAATTTTCATAAAACTTTGTTTCTACTTCATTGTTCAAATTCGTAAACAAAATTTTTGCATTAATAGACAAAAATTGTTTAATCTTCAAAACATTCAATTAGAATTCTTTTTTAATTTTCAAATTCAAAACATTTAAAATAAAGGAATAATATTGAAAAAAAATCAGAATGCGACCCTAACAAAATAGAAAACTCACGTTTCTTGTCCTTATCGCCCTCTTCTTCGCCATCGTCCTCACTGTCTTCGTCACTTTCAGTTTCAATCATTTCCCATCCGGGATGTGTTTCCATAAAGGCAGCAAGTTGACTCATCATTGGAGCGTCCTCGCCAGTCAAAGTGCGACCAGTAGAAAGTTCAATGACATGAACTCGCACATCTTCCACAGTTCCGTCTTCTCCAATTTCTCCGTCTCTCTTCCTCTTCTATTAATAAATGTATAAATAAATAAATAAATCTACAACTTATTGAAAAAAACTTAAAAAAAATTGTAATTGTAGAAAATAAATTATTTATATTATTAATTTTGTTTACCTTTCTACGTCTTTGTTCTTCAACTTGTTTTCTCCTCTGCTCCATTTTATGTTGCTTGACCATTTCAGTGAGATTGCAAATGTATTCGTCGGTCTGCGAAAGAAGGAAAGCGAGACGTTTGTCTTTCTTTTGATCGATAAGCTTTCGATAACCCTCTTCGTCCTCGGCCATAAGACGACGCATACGTTCCTTCTCAATTCTCTCCTGTTCCTTCTTTTGTTCACGCTCTGCATTCGCATGATAATTAAGCACCGCTTTATTGAGACGAGACATTTTCGCAAGATTATTACGATGGAATTCTTTGAAATCTTTGCCATGCTGAAGAACCGAACTAAGGAATTCCTAAAAGAAAAAATTACCCATTTTCTATTTATTATCATTTTAAAAATTTAAAATAAATATACAAACAACTTTTCTAAAAATTTCAATTTGAAGGTGAAAAATATCTTTAAACTATTATTTTTTGTATATTGTATACAAAAAAAACAAAAACTTATTAAATAATAAAGATTTACCTGATGTTTTTGTCTTCGTTTACGTTCCGCTTCGAGTTTCTGTTGTTTCTCCAATTTCTCCGTTGCTCGCGCTTCACGTAAACCTTGCCTCTTGGTTCGTTTATAACCTTTCACGTTAATTGCAGTCTCCAATGTTGTATCCTTACGAGTGCAAGCAATAATCTAGAAAGAAAATTAAAAGTTAAATTTAATTTCAAAAAAATTTCCAATTTTTAAAAAGAAATTTTATTATTCCCACAAACCTCAGATCTGAGTTGTCGTTGGAAGTTCAAAACTCTCAACATTCTCAATTCAATTTGCGCCTGAATTCGAAGATCTTCGGGCATATTTGTCGGCAAATTGCTAAGTTGCTCCATACGAAGTGCAATACGAGCAGCGACTCTGCGAAAATTCAATTATTTTCCTATTATAATAAAATTCTTCGAAGAAATTCAATTATTATTAAATTTTTTGATAAAATTCTATGCAAACAATTCGATGATTTTCAATACATTAATTTTAAAATTAAAAATATTTAAAAAGAAAAATTATTAAAATAGTTTAGAAACAAAGAAGCAAACAAAAACTAACTTCAAACTGAGAACAGATTAATAAGAAAATAAATATAAAGAAAAATATTTTTAAAAATAAATAAAAAAAAAATCTTTCTGGAAAAATTGTAACTTAAGAAAAAAAAATCGATTTAAAAAGGAAAAAGAATGTGGAAAATTGAAAGTTTACCTGTTTTCGCGTTCCTGGAGAATTAGAAGAGGATCAAGACCGGCGGGTTTCGCGAGACTGGTAACTCTATTCGTCTTGGCTCCCGGCTGTGGTTGTTGCTGCTGTTGCTGTGGAGTTTGAGAACCAGGTCTCGGTGGTCCCGTAGGGCCCATTGCATTGGCACCAGGTGCTTGTGAACCGGACGTAGGACCTTGAGAAGGATCCATGGGTCTTTGACCGATACCTGGAGGAGGACCTCCACCTGGTTAAATTCATTTCGACAATCAAGATTTGTCCCGGGATCATTCTACTCTACTTTTGCTCTTCACTACACAACGAACTAACACTACAAAAAAAAAAAAAATAAATAAAAACAAGAAAAATCATCTAATTTTTGGAAAATAATATAATTTTCCTTCCCTTGCAATTTTTTCGTTTACTACTATTTTTCTTTGATTACTATTTTTCATTTTCTTCTTTTATTACTATTTTTCAATTTCTTCTTTCCAATTTCTTCAAATATGAATATTTATCCAAAGAAGAAAGGAAAACTTGTTGCCTTTATTTTAACTGTTTTCTATTATAAATCGTACCTATGTAAATTCTTTTTTACTTTCATCAAATTATATTTATAATCTTTAAATCATTTTTTTTCAATTTACATTTATTTATATTTCTTTTATTTCAATTTATAGAACTTGGTTCAATTTTTCCTTTTTTCAAATTTATATTTGTTATTGCAACAACGAGCATGCATTTCAAAAATAAAAAAATGATTACAAAATCTAGAAAAGCAATGAATAAACAATAAACAAGCAAACTAAAAATCGAAGGGGCAGAAACAAAAGATAGAGTAGTCACCCAAAAAAAAGAAAGAAATCAAAAAGAAATCGTCTAAAACTATAAAAAAAATTACCTTGAAGAGCGAGTGCCAATTGCTGTGACAAAGGTTGATTTCGCGCTAATAATCGATAAGCCATTATCTGCATACTGTAAAATATAAAAATACAGAACTAAGTATATAATTGTTATACTCACACTCAACGGTAAAAATATTCGAAAAAAGAAAACTAAGAAATATTTTTATTTATTCACTGTTAATCGGGAATAATTCATCGAAAACTATTTCAAATTATTTTAACTATTTGAAAAATAATTAATAATTCTCAATGTTAAAAATAAAGCCATTTTTTATTTAAAATTTTTTGTTATGTGGAAATTTTTTATTTGAAGTTGAAAAAATATTCATACCGTAATTGTTGCAACTGCTGTGAGCTGAAAGTTTGTTTATCTCCCATACTGTTTCCTTGACGGGCTCTAAGAGCAATAAGTTGAGAGTAACGTGGATCTTCTTGAAGACCTTTCTCTTCCATAGAGTCAATGGCTTTCTGCAGGGCATTTAAATTCTCCTGTCCGGAGCCTGGAGGACCTGGTGGTCCTGGTGGATTGCCTGGTATTTGTACAGGTGCATTCTGATTCATTTGACTGCCGGGACCACCGGGAATTATTGGACCAGTGCCGCCGGGTCCCATTTGACCTGGTGCTCCTTGTTGACCGACTGGACCACCTCCTGGACCCATTTGATTTGGATTTGGAGCACCTGAGAAAATAGTTCAGTGTTAAAAATTAATTATTTAACTCTTTAAGTAATTTAACTATTTAATTATTAAATTATTTAACTAGATATTAAATTATTTTATTAAAATAATCATTAAATTAAATTTAAAAAATTCATTGATTTAAAATTCCGTAGTAAAAAAATTTATTTAAATAAATAAATGAAATTAATGATGAAAAAAAATAAAGTAAATTAAAAACTTGCCAGAAGTAAATTAACTAAACCATTCATTTTTTTAAAAATTAAATGAAAGAAAATCAAATAAATTGTAAATAAAACAACTGAATTAATTTTTATTAATATCACGAACCTGGTGGAGCACCAGGACCCATTTGATTTGGTGGTCCGCTTTGATTTGAAGATCCCATTTGTCCTGGTCCACTCTGAACCATATGTGGAAGGCCTTGCGGTCCATTAGGACCCATTTGATTGGGGCCCATCGGTCCTTGTTGGGACGATGGTCCCATACTGCCCGGGAATGATATTTGATGACCTGTTGAGAGACAAAAATTAATTTAAGTAAACCTCACCGATACATAAAAAAAATTATATTTAAATTTATGATAAAACTGTCTAAAAAGTTAAAAAATAAAAAACATTTAAATAAAAATTAAAGGTAAAAATAATAAATAACAAAATTATTACCTAACTATAAAAAAGTATTTATTGAAAAAATTATGTAAAGGTAAACTTAATTTGTAAATCGTAAATATTTAAATTATAAATTTAATTCAATTTCTTTAATTTTTCAATCGATATTAACTGGTAATTTATTAACTTTCTAACCTTGTGGAGCGCCGGGTCCCATTTGTCCGGGCCCACCCTGCGCAGCGGATCCCATTTGCCCTGGGCCTCCCATATGATGTCCGCCTTGTGGTGCATTCGGTCCCATTTGTCCAGGACCCATTGGACCTTGTGAACCTGGACCCATTCCGCCTGAGGATGAAAATTGATAACCTAACAAGAAAAATTAAAAAATATCAAACTTTACAGACGATAATTCTTTCTTTTAAACTAAAATAAAAATAATCAAAAAAAAGAAATAAACATTTATTATCGTCCATAATCGTCTCTCCGTTTGATAAATTTTAATTCTTCTCTGCAGAGCATACAATTTTTTTTCTTCACAATATCAATTATTCTCTATATTTTCCTCAAATTAAAGAAAAAAAAATTAAACTTCAATATTAATTTGCCATCAACTAAATTTAATATTTTGACATTTTCTATATGAGAATTATTTTCATAATTTCTTTTTTTTTGCTTTTGTTAATTATTTAATTATATTTTGTTTACATAAATAAAATTAAACAAAATAATTGACCTCAAAAATAAAAATCGAATTAATATTTAATTATCAAAGAACTGAGAGAAAATATTTGTTCAAATTACATCTGTTATTAAGGACATTAGTCTCGTTAAAAATACGTTACAATAGATAACAGTTTGCCAACACCTGATGATAAAAACAAAAAAAAAGAAAAATAAATAAAAATTGAATATTCTTAAAAACAATTGTCTTTGATAACTATATGAAAATTTCTAGTTTGCTCGCGCTTGAGAAATAGTTTTGTAATTATACACGAGAGATTATGTCACGAGACTGACTAAGCGCGGTAAATACTCAAGTTTTGAACTTGAAGAAACAAAAGCCATTGACTTTATTATTAATTTCCGAATATGTCCTTTCTTTTTCATCAACAAAATGAGTCTCGATCAAATGTCCAGTCACAATCAATACAACAATTACAATTTAATGAACGTAAATTCTACTTTGAGGCAAGAACAAAAAAAAAGTTACTGTTTAAATATAAATAAATAACAAGACTAAAAATTATAGAAATGATAGTATTAACATTATAGAAATAACAATATTAAAATTATAGAAATGAAATTAACAGTATAGAAAAAGCAATATTTCAAATTATAGAAATGATAAATAATTAAGATGATAAAAATTAATGAAGTAATAAAAATTTCCAAATGAGAAAAATATTTTCAGGGCGAAACATTATTAGAAAATTTGTAAAGTGAATAAAAAATATTGTAAAAAATAAAAATTAAAAAGTAAATTCAAATTTAAATAAAAAACTGAAGCAGTACCTGCCGGTGGACCACCAGGGCCCATTTGCCCTGGACCTCCTTGATTTCCAGAGCCCATTTGACCGGGACCGCCCATGTGATGACCGCCTTGAGGACCGTTTGGTCCCATTTGACCTGGAGCCATGGGTCCTTGTTGCGAACCCGGGCCCATTCCTCCTTAGAATTAAAAAATAATAATTATTATATTATTATTATTTTATTTATTATATTATTACTAGCTGTCGTACTCGTCTTTGATGGGTTTTAGTTTCTACCAATACATTTAACAGTGTTTCTACCAATCTGGAAAATCAGAAAATAGCCGGGAATTTAATTTGACCGGAAAATTAATAATTAGTTACCATTAGCTATTTCGGTAGTATAATATTACTATTTGAATAGTCTCCACCCTTTAGCAAAAAATCAAAAATTATCAAAATTTCGAAAAAACGAATTTCTTAAAATTCAACATTTTTTCTTCTCTTTTATGGCATTTAGCTTAATTATTTTTGGGCTCTTAAAAAATACTTTACTTATTTAATAGTCCCCACCCTTTGGTAAAAAATCAAAAAAAAAATTTAACTAATTTCAGCAGAATTTTAGTTATTAAATTTTTTTAAAAATATAGGTTTTTTAAAATCTTTAATTAAATGAGTATACATACCGGGTGGAGCGCCAGGGCCCATTTGTCCAGGACCACCTTGACTGGCAGAGCCCATTTGTCCGGGACCTCCCATATGATGACCGCCTTGAGGACCGTTTGGTCCCATTTGACTCGGTGGCATGGGTCCTTGCTGTGCTCCTGGTCCTAAATTCGTAAACTGATGACCAGGTGGTCCACTCTGACCCATTTGAACCGGCGATCCGCTCTGATTCGCCGAACCCATTTGCCCTGGCCCTCCCTGTTGCACCATGTGCGGCATTCCTTGTGGACCAGAATGTCCCATCTGACCCGGTCCCATTGGTCCTTGCTGGGAACCTGGACCCATTCCTCCAGAATACTGGTGACCTAAGGAAAAAAATAAATAAATAAAGCAAAAAAATAACAAAAATAACTATCGATCATTTTATACAATTTCAGAAATAATTTCTCTTTCAGAAAAGGAAATATAATTCTAAGAAAAATTATACATTTAATAATCTTTTTAATTTTTCAATTCACTAACCTGGGGGACCACCTGGTCCCATTTGCCCAGGTGGATTCTGACCTGGACCGCCTGGCACCATATGATGCCCACCTTGTGGTCCATTAGGCCCCATTTGATTCGGACCCATTGGTCCTTGTTGAGATCCCGGTCCTCCTTGACCCTAAAAACAATAATACGACTCCAGTTTAGATTTCTTCCTCTTTTTGATTTCTTGAAAAAATTCCAAATTTCACTTGAAGTAACACTTGAAAAACATTAAAGAATACTATGAGATAAATCACCATTTGTGTATTTTGCGGTCCTCCGGGTCCCATTTGTGAATTAATAGGACATCCAGGTCCCATTTGTCCTCCTGGGCCCATTGGTCCTCCAGGTCCCGGTTGTCCAGGTCCAGGACCAGGTCCTCCTTGACTCTAAAATAATAAATTAAATTTCCATTTCTCGTTCATCATAATCACACATACTTTATTGATAATAATAATTAACAATGTTATCAAATAACAAATTTTTTTTCGAATATTTCCCTTTATCAAAAATTAGTCTCAGTGAAATACTGAAATCTAACTAGGAAATTGAAAATTAATATTAATATTGACAAAAGAGATAAATTGCATAACAGAAAATAGATAATGTTTGAGAAAGGCAGAGAGAATAAAAAATTGAAAAGCTTTGTTGCTAATCTAATAAACGTCACCATTTAAATAATCTGACAATAAAAATTTATCTCCACACAATAAATATAAAATTTTGTTTTTTTCAAATTAGAAAAAGAAATATCCTTAATCCATCAATATAATTCCAGAAAATTTAAATTTATTTTTATTTACAGAGTTTTGTATCTTTTAAAATCTATCCGCAACTTTAGCGAGTAAACAAGTATTTTTTAAACAAAATATTATGAAATTCGATGAATGTGACACTATTAAAAAAAATTATTAACATGAAAATGTAATTGAATAGAACAATTATGGCGGGGATCGATAACTAGTACATACTGAAATCAATGCCTATTCACACGACATTATTGCGTGATATCCTTAATTATGAATTTTCATTTTTATAATTAGTTAACTATATGGTTAACTATATAATTCGTATTTTAACCGTTTAATTTTAAAGCCTATAGTACAATACTAATTAATATAATTTTTCCAATTTTATAATTAATTATAATTAATATTATAATTAATAATTATAGTTAACTAATTAATAAATTAATATTAATAATTAATTAAAAAACTAGTTTACTATTATTTTACTCTCTAAATTTAAAATTGGTAAATTTTACTAATTAGTAGAAATTATGTACTATTTATTAGTAAAATTAACTAATTAAAAAGCAAAAATTCAGTTACTAATTCAAATTTTCAGAGTAAATAAAATTAATTAAAATTTAAAAAAATAATTAATTAAAAATTAAATAAGTAAAAATAATTAATAATTAATATTGATAATTACAAATTTTTTTACTAAAATAAAAAAAAATTCTACAATTTAATTAGAAGAATTAAACAATAAATTTCGTCAAGAAATGAAAGTTTCATCTTGATAATAATGAATTAAGTTGAATGAAAATAGAGGAAAAAAATGCAATTTCCGAATAAAAGTGAAAAACTAGGAGGGAGAAAAATTGATTATTTGTTATTTACTGATGTGACAAGCGTTCTTCCTGTCCAGTCAAGGGCTATACACTTGGGGAACATGCCTTAGAAACGTGACACACAATATTCACAAGCGTGTGAGTGGCATGCAAGCCGCAAATATTTCTGCGAATAAAAGCTGAATAGGTTCACTCTATTGTTGATGACACACAACAACCACGTGCTTTTCACACTCACAAAAATTCACATTCTTGTTTTTTTCGATACTAGATCTTTGTTATTTTTCTTTTCTTTTCTTTTCTCCTTTTTGCCTAAATTAATTTTTTTTTTTCAAAACGACGGGACCGAAGCTAAAAATATTTTCCTGCAATCAATTTTCATCTGAAACAAAATCTTTTATTATAATGAAAAAATATACCTTAAAGTTTTTTCAAAAACACAAAGTTAAAAATATTCCTTTTTACACGAACTGGGTTATTAATAAAAAAAATAAAAATAAAATTTGTTGACAATATAGTAAAGTTTTTCAAACACTTCAAAATAAACGATAATATTGTCGAGGAAATAAATAAAAATTAATTTCAAAAATAAACAAATCGTACCAGTTTAACTAACATTTAACATTTTTTACTAGAAAAAAATGTTTTTTAGAAAAAAATAAATTAAAAAATAATTTTTTAAAAATAATTTAATAGATCAGATATTAAATTCGAATTTGTTAATTCTCTTCATAAAAAATAAACTATTTTTTTATCTTTCTTTTTTTCGTCAAGAGAATATAAGTCAAGTTAATTTAATTTTAAGTGTATAAAATTGTTTACCAAACAAACGCATTAAAGTAAAAAAAATTCAATTTTGACAGAATATTTTTTTGTCCACTAAAAGATGGATAAAAAAATATAATATAAATATAACATAAATATAATATAAAAAAAAATAATATCAACTTTCTATTGAATTTCTAAAAATTAAATTACATTTTAATCAATAAAAATGTAAATGACTAAAAAAATAAACAAACAATGAAGAAATAGGTAAAAGATAAAAAAAACAAAAAAAATATATACCGCCAATAGTGGTGGGGGATATGATTTATACCATAAGTACGGAGCTTCATTCAAAGAGCTGTTATTTCATCGACAACTTTTTGCTGAGAATTTTCTTGTTCTCGATCAAGGTTGATTATACTATCAAGTTCAAGTGCAAGTTTTCAAGAGTCTTCAACTCATTAGTGACAATGACCTCTCAAGAAGAATTAAATAATTGTTATGACTTTGTCATGAAATTAATCATCGAATCAGCAAAGGTGAGAAAATAATCTTTTATTATTTTTTTCGATAATTATAAATTATAAATTATAAATTTTCAATTTTCCTCTATTTCCTTTTTCTCTCAACAAAAAGACATTTTTTTCCAAAACAAATTTCAAAACGAAAATTCCTACATTATACCACAAAAATATTTTTAAAATACCAAAAACAATTGTTTTTTAATTTTATAGAAAACTAAAATGGATAAAAAATATTTTTAAAAAATTAAAAAATTTCTTTTTTACATTCTCATAAAAAATGAGGTTTTGTTTTAATTTTAGTTTCCTCTAAAATTAATTATTTTTTCCCTATAAAGCTCCCAATGGATTTTTTTTTTAACAAATATTTGAATATTTGGTTTAGAAAATGTGAAATATTTGAAAGAAATACAAAAGAAAAATGTTTCAGGTGATTCGTGAAGCTATTCAAGGGGGAAAATGTATTGAAACAAAGGCTGGAGATTGGGACTTGGTGACACAATTCGATAGAAAAGTCGAGGATATTCTTATCACAGGACTGGCAGAAGAATTTCCACATCACAAGTAAGAGAATTTTCTCTAATATCAAAAATTTATGACAACTCATAAATCTAATTAAAAAGCATAAAAATATTCAATTAGAAGAAAAAAATTAAATTAGTTTTAATTACAAAAGTTGAAAAAATAAGTGAATAATAATTATTATTTGTCCAAAACCGAAAACTATTGATTATGATGAAATATCAAAATTATTATATAATAATTATTATTTAACTATTACAATGACAGTAATTATTATTACATAATAAAAATTACAATAACAATAATTACTGTATTTTAATTATTAGAATTGAAATAGAGCTAAAATAACAATTATAATACTAATAATTAAAATAATAATAATAAATAATATTTACATAAAATAATTTAGAAATTACGAATTTAGAAACAAAACCATAATTATTTGGAACTGAAAAATTTTCAGATTTATCGGCGAAGAAACGGTTTCATTGACAAATAATTTGCCGGAATTAACAGACGATCCAACATGGATAATCGATCCAATTGACGGAACAACAAACTTTGTCCATTCATTTCCACACACCTGCATTTCAGTGGCATTGGCTGTCAATAAAAAACTCGAAATTGGAATTGTTTATAATCCAGTTTTAGAGCAAATGTTCACAGCAAGACGTGGTCAAGGAGCATTTCTAAATGGCAAATCTATTAACAGTTCTAAAGTCGAAGGTTTTTACAAAGCAAACATATTTCCTCTTTTTAGAATTAGAAATATTTTTCCAATTTTACCTTTTAGTAAAAATACAGCAGTTTCATTCGAAACGAATAAATAATAGAAAATTTGTCGATTATGTCAATTAAAAAATTAATTTCATTTACGTAAATTAAATTGATTTTGCCAATCGAAAAATTAATTTAATTTACTTAAATTAAATTATTCGAAAATATCAATAACTTCTTCTTTAAATAAAAAAATTTAATCATTATTATTTTTCCATTGGAATTAAGATGTTCAAAAATTTTAAATTTAAACTTTTTTGAAATTCAACAACTGTGGGAATTATTATAAAACATGAAGAAATCAATCAATTGGAGTCTTCGACACGGAGTTATAGCTTTCTTCATGTTTTATAATAATTGAAAATGACCGTGTGATAAAATCATTATTTTATATTATAAAAGAATATTTTTACTTTAACTTTGTCAAAATTATTTTTATTATTTCAATTCAATAAACATTTTTTTGAATTTTTAACTACAATTCTTCTTTAAATCAATTATTTTTCATAATTTTTAAAAAAGTTCTTTGACAATTTTCAAATTCATCTGTTCACAATTTAATTTTATGAAATTCCGATTATTTGAAAAATCTTCAGTTAAATATATTTTAGAAAATAAAAACTTGAAATTTAATTTTTACGAAGAATTGTAACAACTTTTGAAAATATTTAATTTCGTTTAAGAAATTTAATTAAAATCTTACTGAAACTTATTAATTTATTATATAAAATAATTTTATAACAATTTTTGAAAATAATTGAAACTTTTTGAAGAATTTTTATCAAAATTTTTAAAAATAATTGAATTCCTGAGAAAAATTTAAATAATAATTTATGTAAATAATTGGATTCATGCGAATAACTTTATTAAATTTTGTTTAAATAATTGAAATTTTGCCAAGAATTTTATTTAAATTTTTGACAACAATTTAATTCTTGGCGAGAATTTTAAAAAAATTTGAAAATAGTTTAATTTCTGCAAAGTATTTTATTATTTTTCTAAACAATTGAATTCTTGTAATGAATAAATTAATATTTATCAAAATAATTGAATTTTGGAAACAAATTTTATTAAAATTCCTTCAAATAATTGTTTTTATAGGACGAATTTTGTTGTTTATCAAGATAATTGAATTCTTTTGCAGAATTACTTTAAAATTATTAAAAATAATTGATTTTCTGCGACGAATTATAAGTTATTTATGAAAATAATCAAATTATTGCAACTGATTTTATTATTTTATTAAATAATTAAATGTTTCTTAAAATTAAATTCATTCGTCAAGTTTTAATAAAATTTTTAAGATTAAATGCATTTTTCAAGGAATTTATTTAAAATTGTATTAAAAGTATTATTTGAAATTCTGCGATGAAAATAATTCGAATTCGAAATAATAAATGAAAATAATTGAATTTTTTCGTAAAATTGTATCAAAATTTGTTTTTAATAATTAAATCATTTGATAAATTTTATGAAAATAGTAAATATTGAAAATTATTGAATCGCGAAAAATTTATAAAAATAATTGGATCTTGCAAAGAATTTTATTTAAATTCGTAAAAAATAATTGAATTTCTGTAAAGAATTTTGTTATTTATTGAGATAATTGCGTAAAAACTTTTGAAATTAATTTTTTGATTGAAAACTATTTTAAAACTATTTTTATCGAAAAATGAATTTAATTTACGTAAATTAAATTGATTTTATCAATTTTCTATTATCCATTCGTTTCGAATGAAACTATTTTAAAAAAACTGTCGAAGGTTTTTTTCGAAATTGAAAACTAAGTTTTACTTTTCGTTTTGATGAAATTGCAGAAGTGTCGCAATCGTTGATATGCATCGAAGCCTCATATGCGACAATAGAAGACATCAGGGATATTATTCTTGGAAGACTTGAAGCTTTTGTTACAATTGCTCATGGAATACGAACATTAGGTTCAGCGGCTTTGACACTGTGTCACGTTGCAATGGGAGCTACAGAAGTCTATCATACCGATAATTTAATGCCCTGGGATGTGGCGGCTGGTGTTCTTATCATAAATGAAGCTGGCGGTGTAGTCATAGACACAGCAGGTAAAGAAACTTTCAATTCATTATATTTTTGAGACGAAGAACAAATTTCTTTCCTAATTTTACGAAAAACCTGTCCACCACCTTCTCCAATCTACAATTCAAAAAATGTATATTAATTTATTTCGAAATAATTAATTTGTCAATTCATATAATTTATTTATTATATTATTATTAACTATTAATTAATTATTATTCCTGTTGGTTAATATATTATTAACATTATTAAAATGTTAATTAATTATTATTAATACTGATTATAACAATTGTTATATATATAATAAATAAAATAATAATGCTAATGACAATGAAAAAAAATTATAACAAATAAAAATTAAAAATAAATTTTTCAAATAAAATGAAAACAAAAGAAAATGAAAAAAAAATGTTCTAAAAAAAGAAATTAATTAACAAAATATTTCTATTCTTTCAAAAACAGGTGGAGGCTTCAATTTAATGAAACCAAAAGTATTGGCAGCTGGCAATAATAAATTAGCTCAAGACATAGTGGAATTAATTAAAGATGCCGACGCTAAAACATACCAAAAACGACTGACACTTGCACAAAATAAAATTAGCACAAAAGTATGCACATCATAGTCATATTAATTTTTACAAAAAGAAAATATAGTCACTTTCAAAAGTAGTCTAGTCTTATATACAAAAAATAACAAATTTTCTTCTATATTGAGAAAACAAATTTAAATTTAAAAAAGTACAAAATAATTTTCAAATTTGACTTAAAAAGTTCAAAATAATTTTTTAATTAATTTAAAAAATAGAAAATAATTTTATAATTATTTAAAAAAAAAATAGAAAAAAATATTTTTTAATTCTAATTTAATTCACGTACCTAAAGTAATTATTATTCTTAAAATTTTCGAAATAAGTTATGAAAATTATTCTTAATAATAAAAATAATTGAACAATAAAAAAATAATTATTGTCGATGGAAAATTAATATTTAAATTACGAATACGATAGGGAACTTTTTTTTAAACTCGAATTGTTTTTTAATGAACAAAATGTACTTAATCAAAATCTAGTTGAAAATCTACAAAAAAAAATTATGTAAAATATTAATTTAAGAAAAAATTTAATGTGTGACTGACTTTAAAATACGTTTGTAGAGAAAAACGCACTATTAGAAAAAATCTATTAGAAAATTGTAATTCTAATCAATTTTATGGTATTAATATATCTTATCTTATAAGTTTTCAATTTTTTTGTAAATAAATTTTTAAGCGACCAGTATAATTGTTTCATTTTTCGACTATTAATATTCTTGTAATAATAATAATATTCTTTTAATAATAAAAACAATAATAACAATTATTATTACTACAAATAATTAATTTCGTTTCAATTAATTTTATAATAATAATAATGATATTTTTTGATAATAAAAACAATAATAGCAATTATTAATACTATTAATAATTAATTTCATCTAAATTAATTTAATAATAATATTTTTAACAATAAAAACAATAATAATAACAATTATTACTATTAGGTATTATATTTCTTAATTGTAATAAATAAAATCCAATAATAAACAGAAAAAAAAAATTAGTTAATTCATTAAAAACGAATTTTTGGTTGATTAATCAATTAATTATTTAAATTATTAATTAATTAATCAGCACCCAATAGAAATAGAAAAATAATATTTTAAATCACATATAAATAATAGATCTGGAACAATTATTTGCTGAACATTAAAATTGATTCAAATCGTTTCCAAGAGAAAAATGTAGAGAAACAAAAAATTGCTAAAAAAAATGAAAATCAATTAAAAAAAATAATGACAGAACTTTGCTATGGCAATAAATACAATTATATATATCTATATATAATCAAACATGAGTAGTATTTGTCATGTAAATAATAAGCTTAACCTTTACAGTCACATTGTCTGATGATGAAAACTCATTTGCGCAACATTTGTTATCTTTTATATCAGTGATAAGCGAGAGCATAAGGACAGAGATATTCTTTCAGATTCATTTTTAGTGCCTTTACATTAAAATAGTTTAAATTCGAACACGATGTCGGAAGCAAAAGATATTGAGGAATATTTTGAAATCGCTAAGGAATTAACTCTAAAAGCTGGCGAGGTAAATACTCACACACATAAAATATAAAAATAGAAAAAAAAATAAAAACAAAGAAATATTTTCAATTAATTCAATATTTGGTAATCTCTAATAGTAATGATTTAAAATTGTCAAATAGACTATTGAAAGTAACTACAATAATAAACCAAAATCAATTTTTTTTGCAACAAAATTTAACAAATTTAAATAAATATAAATATTCAACAATTAAGATATTATTATTTAATTGAAATACCAGCTTATCAATGATTTATTTTCCAGAAAATTAATTCAAAGCTTATGTAATTGGAGTTTAGAATAATTAAAGTTCTAATTTTCAATTATTAAAGAAAGAAAAAAATAGTTTAAATTTTTAATTTCGCAAAAAATGAATAAAACACGGAAATTGTTTTTTAAGCAATTAAATATTGATTAGACAAACTAAAAATGATAATTTATCAATTTTTACAGTTATTGTGCATAATTTTCAATGACATTATCATGAAATTAATAAATTCTTTTTTCAAGGTCATAAAAACTGCCTTCAACACGGAAAAATCGTTTCAATTAAAAACAAGGATCAACGACTTAATTACCGAATATGATAAGAGAGTCGAGGACATACTCATTGGCGAATTGTCGAAAAAATTTCCAAATCACAAGTAAGAATATTCATTTAGAAAATAAATAAACTATTTCGTTTACTATTTCGTTATTATCATTGTCACTATTATTGCTGCCTTTTGTTATTATTATTGTTATTATTATTATAAAATTATTATTTAAATAAAAGTTTTTAAATATAAAAAAATTATTTTTCTATGAAAATATTTTGTTTGAAAGTGAAATAAATTTTTTACATTTAAGTAATTTTTGCTAAGATTTTTGAAATCTTTTTTAAAATCTTTTTTTGAAATAGATTTATTGGAGAAGAATCTGTGGACGAAATTCCGGAACTAACGAACGATCCAACATGGATAATTGATCCAATTGATGGTACAACTAATTTTGTTCACTCCTATCCTGAATCCTGTATTTCCCTGGCGTTGACAATTTCTAAAGAATTGGTCATTGGAATAATCTACAATCCAGTTAATGGCGATCTCTACACTGCACAAAAAAATAAAGGTTCATTTTTAAATGGAAACAAAATAAAAACCTCATCTACAACTGGTAAATTCTATTTTTCATATATTCTAATAATAATTTCAATTTCACAATTTTTTCTATTTAACATTTTTTTTAATAGAAATAATTGTTAAATTCTATTAAAATTTTTCTTTAATATAGATATAATTGTTAAATTCTATTTAAAATTTATTTAAATAGAAATAATTGTTAAATTAAAAAGAAATTACAATTACAATAAATTTCAATTTGTAAAATAATAAATAACAATTTTCAGAATTAACCACGTCCCTAGTGTCAACGGATCCTGGTTTATTTCACGAAGGATTGAAAAATAGAGATTTATACGTCGAGAGATTGAAAGCATTTGCGACATCAACTCATGGGTGAATATTTAAATAATTTTCCTTTTTCAATATTTAATTTTACATTTTATATTTTCCTTCTTCCATATTTCATCTAATATTTAATATTTTTCTTTTAAATATTTAATTTAATATTTTCCCTTTTCAATATTTAATTCTACATTTAATATTTTACTTTTTCAATATTTAATTTAGTATTTTTTCTTTTCAATATTTAATTCTACATTTAATATTTTCCTTTTTCAATATTTAATTAATTAAACAACGAATTTTTGTATCAACAAAAAGAGCTTAAATAAATTCTTGAATATTTTCCAATTTCAATTCTGGAATTGAGTATATTTGAGTATATTTTTGAATTTAATTTTCTGAATTATTTTTAAATTGAATTTTTCGAATTATTTTTAAATTTAATTTTTTCGATTTGCAGAATAAGATCCAATGGATCTGCAGCATTAACATTAGCTTACGTTGCCAGAGGGATTGTCGATATTTATCAAATGCAATTATTAAAACCTTGGGACGTCGCGGCAGGCACATTAATCCTACAAGAAGCCGGAGGTGTGATAACTGATCAAAAAGGTAAACTAAACAAATAAATAAATAATAAATAAATTACATAATAAAATGCCACCTAAAAAAAATAAAATACCACCTAATAAAAATGTTCTCTAACAATTGAAAATTGATTTCACAATGAAAATCATAAATTCGACTCAATCATTCAATAAAAAAAGAATAAAACCTTGAAAATCAAACTCATATAAAAATTTCGTAATAAGAAAAAAATTTTTTTTCTACAGGTCAACCTTTCAATATAATGCAGTCACAATTAGGATTACTTGCTACATCGAATCATCAACTTCACGAGAAAACGATAAAACTCATAATCGACACTGATCTCAAGACACAACGACAAAGACTCAAAAGAACATAAAAATTTAAATTCCCCCAAAAAGACAGTCACTGAAAATTGTAACAAAATTTTAATCAATTTCTTGTCAATACCAGAAACACTCAAAAATATCCAATTAACAAAAAATTAACCTTTTGCAAAAGAAAAAAAAACATTACCAAAAAAATTAATACGAAAGAAGGAAAACTACCAAAAAATTAATATACTATGAACTATAATTATAATATTATCATGAATAATAATATAATTTTAGAAAATTTTATTTCCTTCTGAATAAAAAAAATGTATTTGATATGAATTATTATTAGTAAAAACAATTTTATTTTATATAAATTATTGTACGTTATTAATTGTATTTTTCTAAAAAATTTCTACGTTCTGGCGTGTAAAATAAAATAATAGTTATTACAAACAAGGTTACTTTTGTCATCAATTTCAAATTATTTTAAAATTGTAACGAGTATAATGACGACTTAACGGAGGTGTGTAATGTGATCAGTAAAACCACAAAAAAAAGGAAAAAAAAATTCGCTATGAATTAACGCCTCACGGAACTGAATAGATCAACATGAATTATTCTCAGCGAAAAATCGTTTTATAATTATTATTTTATCAAATCATTTTATTATCATTCATTATTATTATTCTTATTTTATTACTTTTTTATTATTATTATTATTAAGTACTATTACCATTAAATTACTGTTTATTAAACTCTCAATATCCATTCCACAATTATTTCATTCTCAGAATAAATTAAATTAGCAAAATAAATAAATAAATATTATTTATTATTAGAAATAAATTAATTGACCAAAAAAAAAATAGTTTGGCAATAACAATTACTTTACAATTTACAAAAACGAAAATATTACTTTACAAAAACTGTTTAATTTTTAATATTGTTAAATTATTGTTTTATTATTTTTATTATTATTGTTGTTATTATTATTTAAAAAGGCGAAGCAAAAAATTACAATTAGAGGAATTTAATTAGTTTTCTTTAGTCACGTGCCTTTCTCTATTTACCATTAATTTCTTTTTTTTCTTTTATTTTTCTTTCCTTTTCTTTCCTGTTTTTTTTATTTTTTGATGACATTTTTTTTACTTTTCTTTCCTTTTTCTTTTCAGCCTTTTTTCTTTTTCCTTCCTTTCCTTTTCTCTTCTGCAATTTTTTTTCTCTTTTTTTTCTCACTGAATAAAATTGACTTTAATAAACATGAATATGTCTCTATAAAAGCGTTCGTTTCATAAATAACTCATGTAGTAATTATAAAACAATTATGGAAATGACACACGCGACATTTATGGGGTGTGTCCAGATTATCAATTTAAAAAATATATTAATGGTGCAAGATACAAAATAGAGCAAATCTGATACGAGTCATTCTTACACGTGAGCCATTCGAGTTTTTGATTTATATAAGTAATATTCAACAACAAATCTTTAACATTATAATTATTACACGCCAGAATAATCGTAACAAAAAAATAAAAAATTAATAACGGAACAAAATATACATAAAATATTATTTGTAATTATTTTACTATTATTATTTTTATTGCTCTTACTATTATTTTTATTTCTTTTACTATATTATCAATTTTATTTATTTCACTAAAAAAGATTAAAAAAAAGAAATAAATAAGTAAATAAAAATTTATTTCACTAAAAAAAAAGAAAAGAAGGAAAAAAAATAGAAAAAAATAAACAAATAAAAATTTATTTCACTAAATTACTTTTATTTATTTTACCACCAGCTTTTCAATTTTTAACTCAACATTCTCCTTCAATTAATATCTTAATTTCAAGTTCTATTGTTTTGCAAAGTATTTCAGAGTGTAGGTAATTAAATTTTATATTCCCTTTGCTTATTCAAATAAAATAAAAAACTAGTTATAAATCGTTAAAAATAAAAAATTTTTTTTTATATCTCCAATTAACTAAACAATTATATTACATGAATAGCAATTGCTAAACGTGTTTTTCTAATTGTTCCGTTAAATAAATCAATTACGGAATTATTTCTTATTTTTAATTATAGAAAATAAAGTAAATTGCTTTCTTATCACGAAGGAATGTAAAATTCAATAAAAAAAAATCATTTTTCTCATTAAGAAAAACAGTTCTCATAATATTTAAAAATGACACTATTGACAAACTATTACTACAAATTTTCATAAAAAAATTCAAATTGAATTCTTTTGAAATTCAATTATTTATGAAAATTGTGAACACAACTCATAAAAAATTAATTATTTTTTGAAATTTTTAAATAAAATTCATTACTTATTATTCATTTAATAATTTATAAATAATAAGTTTGTAATTATTTACTTGATAGTTTTGAAAGTCTTTTAAAAATTAAATTATAAAAATAAATTTTTGTCAAAAAAAGAAAAACTTTAAGGTTTTGTATTAAAATTTTTTAAACACTAAAATAATTTAGAATTTTGTTATGAATTCTATAAAAATTTAATTTTTTCTTGTATTTTTAATAAATTTCTCTGACTTTTCTCTAAATTCTATTTTCCCTGAATTTTCCCTGACCTGCGGCAATTTTATAATTTAATAATTTTCCTAATCGAAACACAAATATTAACAGCAAGAAATTTTTTATTCTCAAAAGTCATTGAAAAAAAATGACAGTAGAAGAAGAAGAAGAAAAAATGCCAACACCTCTCTCTATGGAGTAAAAAAAATCAGCAGAGCGGAATATTTTTTTATATAATGTTGTTAACATGAAACAAAGCGATTCAAGTTAAAAGGCGAGAGGAGAAAATTTACAACTTCAGTTGTGAATTGTTCGGTTTTCTGTTAACATACACATAACATAATCACAGGATTCTCTGATCCTTAACAGAGCGAGACAAAAATGTCGAAAACTGATTTAGATTTATATTATGAATTGGCTATGAATATTGTTCGAGATGCCGGTCAAGTGAGTCTCATTAAATATTCTTCTTAGGAGAATAATAAAATTTTCCGTCGATGCACGTTTTCTAATTATACTAATTTTTTTCCTTTTTTTTAACCACATATAATTATTGGAAGCTATAAAAAAAATGCTCATTTACAATATTTTACATAACATTTGAAACTGTTTGTTTAAATTATTTTTTCTATTACTTGACAATTGTAAAAATTCATTTATTTATTTTAATAATTGTAAAATTGATTCAAAAATTAATTCCAAATTTGATCTTCTAAAAAAGGTGTTTTCAACTCAAAGAAAAAATTGGTACTGTATTACAAAATTAAATAGGTAAAAATAATTTTAAAAAATATTAATTTATCGGTAGGTATAAATGAAATTATCAAAAAAAAAATAAAACAAAAGAAGAAACAAATTAACATAAATGAGTTAACACTGGCAGTGAATTAAAAATTTAGATGAAGAAACATTTTTGACGAATCACCGGAAGAGAGATTTGAAAATTTAACTTTCTAATAAATTCGTAGAAAATAAGAATAAAAAAATAGTTTAATAATTACTTTTCAATGTTTTTAAAAAAATTCATTGTTAATTAAATTAGGGAAAAATAATAATTTACAGAAATTAATATTTTTCAGAAATTGAAAATTCCCAACTTTCTCCAGAGTGTAACCAACTGATCTAAAACAATAAAAAATCAATTAAAATTATTAAATAGAAATATTCGTAGTTTAAAAAAATATAATAGAAAAAAGTATATTTATTAATTAATGTTTCAGAAACTTTCTTGTACCAATTTTTTTTCAAGTTGAAAATTATTAATAAACATGAATATTTCTAAAAATTAATTCTCGTATAATTCGTAAAAAATAAAATTAACCGAAAAAGTAACTTGACCAATAGTAACTGAACAAAAACCTTGACATATGCATTAAGGCCGAAGATTTTAATAAATAAATAAATATAAACTTTTATAGAAAAAATAAATATTTTTTATATAGAATTACAAAATATTCATTAACACAATTATATTCTCGACTTTACTTTATAATTGCATATAAAATAAGAAGCAATTGCCGTTCTTGGCTATTAATTATCGTTCTATGTAAATAAAGAAAACATGTGATTCACCAACCTCTCCTTTAATTAAAAATAACAACACACTGAGAAAATTTGTCGAATAAAAAAAAGTGAATTATTCAGATACTACGAGAATCAATTAATGGAAGAAAAACAGTCAAAGAAAAATTGTCAAATTGGGATCTTGTTACGGAATACGATCAAAAAATTGAAGACATAATTATTGGAAGAGTGAAAAAGGAATATCCAAATCATAAGTGAGTGAGAATATCCTTCAGATTAATTCAGTGTTTAAATGATAAGTTAATTCAGTAATTAAATAAAAAATTAATTCAGTGTTTAAACAAAAAAAGTTAATTCAAGTGAATGGAAAATTTTTTTTCTCACACAATCAAAATTTTCCATTTTCTTTTATTATCCTTGCATATTTAGAAAAAATGATTTTTACCCACTTTGATGTGTCATCGAAACAATAAACAAAACGTAGTAGTCAGAAATTTTTCTGCACAAAAAAATTTTTCGAAAGAAATCAATTCTTTTAAATATTTTAATAAAACTCTTCGAAATAAATCCATTAATTTCAAAAATTTTGTTTAAAATAATTGAATTTAATAATTCACTTTAATAAAATTTTGTTTAAAATTATTGAATTTCTCGAAAGAAATTAATTATTTCTATAAAAAATAAAATTCATCTCAAGCATTCAAATATTTTTAATACAATTTTATTTCAATTCCTCTAAATAATTCAATAATATCAACAATTTTCATAAAATTTATATATAAATTCAATTATTTACAAATTAATTAAATTTCTCGAAAGAATTCAATTATTTTCAAAACTATAATAAAAAATTTTTCAAAAAATTCAATTATTTTCAATAATTTTGATAAAACAAAATTTTTTGCAGGAATTCAATTATTTAAAAAAAATTACAATGAAAATCTTCGTAAGAATTTAATTACTTTCCAAAATAATAAAACTATTTAAAAGAATTAAATTACTTTTAAAGTTCAAATAATAAAATTCTTTACAAAAATTCAATTATTTTTAAAAATTTTAATAAAATTCTTCGCAAGAATTCAATTATTTTCATAAATATTAGAATTCTACTCAAAAATTTAATTATTTTTACAAATAATAAAATTTTTTGCAGGAATTTATTTTAAAAAAATTACAATGAATGTCTTCGTTATACATATTTCAAAACTTTAATAAAAAATTCTTTGAAAAATTCAATTATGTTTAAAAATTTTGATAAAATTCTTTATAGAAATTCAATTATTTTTACAAATAATAAAACTATTCGAAAGAATTTAATTATTTTGGAAAGTTTAAGAAAATTCTCCGCAAGAATTCAATTATTTTCAAAAATTGTGATTGAATTCTTGTAAAGAATTTTATCAAATTTTTCGATAATAATTTAATTTTTGAGTATAATTCTAATATTTATGCCAATAATTGAATTCTTGCGTAGAATTTTATTACAATTTTTGAAAAAAATTTTATTATTTTTAAAAATAATAACATTTTTTGCTATAATTCAATTATTTATTAACAGGGTGGCCGCAAGATTGACTTTATCAATTTCCCTGACATTTTACTGTCATAACAACGAATTTCCCTGACAAAAATTTTTTTGTTTAGATCAAAAAATGTATTGCATGACCGTCTTAATTTCTTTAATTGCCCTGACAAAAAAATTTTTCCTGACATTTCCCTGACTTTACTGACAAAAAATTTTTTTTCCTGACATTTCTCTTCTTCTTTAATTGCCCTGACAACAAAATTTTTCCTGACATTTCCCTGACTTTACTGACAAAAAATTTTTTTCCTGACATTTCCCTGACTTTACTGACAAAATATTTTTTTCCCTGACATTTCCCTGACTTTACTGACTTTACTGACATGTGGCCACCCTGATTAAAATTTAATAAAATTTTTTGCCAAAATTCAATCTTAAGGCTAATTTGCCCCTTTTTTTAAGAATGTATATCAAGTACGAAGCCCGTAGAAATTTTTTTAAATTTAACTTCCAACTTTTTCTAACTAAATAAATTTTTTTTTATTTCTACTGTAATTATAAACAGATTCATAGCCGAGGAATCGACTGGCAAAAATCTACCAGAATTGACAGATGATCCAACATGGATAATTGATCCAATTGATGGTACATTGAATTACGTTCATTGCTTTCCTCACACCTGTGTTGTGATTGGAATTGCGGTGAAAAAAGAAATGGTTATTGGAATCGTTTACAATCCAGTATTGGAACAACTATTCACAGCGAGAAAAGGTCAAGGTGCTTTTTTGAATGGAACTCCGATTAGAACGTCAAAAATCCAAGGTAAAGTCTTGTTTCTTTCAGTTTCATTAACGACAATAGAAAAAGGCAAAGTTACGCAAAATAAATCTATCACTTCTAATAATAATAATAATAATAATTATTATTATTATTATTTCTATTCAAGATCTATCCAGATCTCTGGTTTGCTTAGAATTGGGTTTCATGAAACTGGAAAGTATGAGAGAACTGACGACCGAGAGACTCAAAGCAATAATCAAAGAAGCACAAGGGTAAAATCTTTTTTCAAAATTAGAAGAAAAAATTCCAAAATTATTCCTAAACTTTCAAAATAAAAATTAATCAAGAAGAATGTAAATTTTAGGACGAAGACTAATTTCAATTCACTTGAATTTTATAAATTGTTCCTCACAGAATTCGAACTCTTGGAGTAGCAGCATTAACATTATGTTACGTTGCACTTGGAGTTGTCGAGGCTTATCACATTGAAGGACCAGGAATCTCAACCTGGGACATTGCTGCAGCTTCTCTAATTATTACCGAAGCAGGCGGTGTCGTATTAGATCGTGAAACTGGTAATTACATTCATATCTCTCCCCATCTGTTTAATAGATAATGATCATTACTCGAAATCAAATAATTCATCGAAAACATCAACTTGAAATTCTAAAAGCAAATTAATAACAAGATTAGTCGAAATCAAATAATTCATCTAAACTGCGTCAATTTTTAAGTACTAAACTAAATTAATTAATCCTAAAATCAAATTATAATAACAAAGTTAATCGAAATCAACTAATAAATTGATAACAAATTTCAAATCCTAAACTAAAATTCAAATAACACCAAAATTTTTAATTCCCATCGAAATATTAATTGCGCTTTTTATTATTTAAATATTTGACTTGGAGGATTGATAAATTTCTTGACATTTTATAAAATCTTTAATTGTTAAAAATTAGAATAATTTAGAATTAGAATAAAATTAAATTATGGAAATAAAATTCATTACAGGAAACAATATTAATATTATGAAACCACAGGCGATTGGAGCTTGCAACGAAAAAATAGCGTACGACATATTCAATATTATCCGTGAAGCAGACAGAAAAGTGGAGAAGAAAATTTAACAACAAATATAAATGAAATTATATTTAAAAAAAAATGCTCTCAAATATCTTTAAATAATATACTTATATAAGTTTCAAAATGTATTATTTAGCTCGTAACAGTTAATTAAAAATAAACAACTCAATTTACAAGATTAATATGATTTTGATTTCCCACCGTCACTATTTTACAGTTAATGTATTTAATCACTATTAAACCGAAATTTACAACGTTCAATAAATCAGTAATCTTTTATTAACGAGCAGAAAAATTAAAATAAATTTTATTAAATTTTTTCTCAAAGTAGTAAAATCAAAAAATAATAAAACAATAATTTTGCATAAATCATTTCATTCAAATTTTTAAAAATAATAACTAAATTCTTTCGAAGAATTTTCTTAAAATTTTTGAAAATAATTCAATTGTTAAATATTTAATTGTTTTCAAAAATATTATTAATATTTATGCAAATGAATTAAATTATTTCAAAGAATTTTATTAAGATTTTTAAAAAACATTGAATTTAATATTGAATTTCACGAGAAATTTAATAAAAATTGTAGTGAAAGTAATTAAATTCTTTTAAAGAATTTCATTAAAAAACTTTAAGACAATTAAATACCATCAACAAATTTTATTCAAATTGAATTAAAAATAATAAAATTCCTCTGAAGAATTTAGGTAAACTTGTATTGAAAATAAATGAATTCTTATAAACAATTGTTTCAAAATTTAAAAAAATTGAATTCTTTGAAAAAATTTAATTTTTTAAAAATAATATAATTTTTTCAAGACATTTAATTTAAATTGTATTAAAAATAAATTAAATCGTCGGTGAAAATTACATTATTTATAAAAATAATTGAATTGTTTCAAAGAATTTTATCAAAATTTTTGAAAATAATAAATTCAATTCTTTCAAAGAATTTTACTTTCATTGTTTAAAAAAAAATAATTGAATATATTATTTATGAAAATAATTGAATCCTTGCCAAAGAATATTATTTCAATTTTTGAAAATAATTTAATTGCTTCGAGGAAAATTAAAATTCTTCCGAGTAATTTAGTTAAAATTGTGTTGAAAATAATTGTGTTCTTGCAAAGAATTTTATCAACATTTTTTAAAAGAATTGAATTCTCTTGAAGAATTTTATTTACATTTTTTAAAAATAATTGAATTCCTGCGGAAAATTATATTATTTATAAAAATAATTTGATTCTTGAGGTGAAGAATTTTTTATTTATGAATATATTTTATTTTTTGCTAAAATTTTATTTTTTATGAAAATAATTGAATTGTTTTAAAGAATTTTTTTTATCAATTAAAAACAGGTTTTTCATCGTTTGAAATTTTTATGTAACCGCTACGTGTGACAAAAGAATTCAGAACCCCTATAAATTAATTAATCGATCAATTAATTAATTAATTACGAAATAATTATCCTGAAAACTAAAACAAATAGTTTTACGTCAATTGACAAGTTGAAGTAAAAAAGGAAAAAAAATCTCCAAATACGGAAAGACGACAAATTAAAACAGCGTATTCCCAAGGAAAATCCCATTTGTGACGTTATCATCACAAAGGCATGAATTTCAAATAGAAAAAGGAAAAGAAAAATCCTCTATTCAATTCGAATAATTTTATAATATATTCACCTCTCAATTGAACGGGGAAATTACTTTGGGAATCTGACTAGTTATCTCCCCCACCAATTAACGTATCTCATTCTTTAAGTATTAAAGAAAAAGAGGTTCTCGTTTCAGTTTCAACGAGTCAGCGTCCAGTTCACGCACACTTGTCTTGTCCTTGTCAACAAACGAAGAAGAACAAGAAGAAGAAAAATAAAACCAAACTTAAGATGGCACAAGTGGAAAATTTGGACGAGTGCTCGAAAATTCTCGAAAAACTTGTTTTAAACGCGGGAGAGGTTCGACTTTTCAATATTTTTAAAAATATTTTAATTATTTTTTGGTTTCAAAATTTAATACTTTAGTTATAGAAAATGAAAGAATAGAGTCAAGGCTATAACGAAGGTGAAAATAAGATTGTTAAAGTAATTATGAATGCATTCGCATAGCTTTATAAACGAATCATGTTATTAGAGTAGTGAATAATTTTATTAAGTTAATTATCAATAATCAACAGAACAATTAAAATTATTAACATACGCATTCAATTTTAAATTCAAAATTAGTCATTCAAAATCTGTTGTTATATATTTTAGACATTTCAATATTTCAATGAATTAATAATTTCAATAATTTAATTGTTTTAATAAAAAAACATTAATAAATAATTTTAACAATAACTTTAATAAATAATTTTAATAATTTTTTTAATTAATAATTTTCAAAAAATAAATTATATTAACAAATGAATTTAATAAATAAATTATTTCAATATATTCGAGTAATGTAGTAATTAAGGTAATCAAAAAACTTCATTTTCGAAATTCCTTGACTTTTTTCTAATTTTCTATTTTCCCGGATTGGGAATTTTTTTAGTTTGCAATTCTCGCTGCAAATTTTTATTTGCAGGAATATTAATTTTTTTAATTTCCTTTCATAAAAATTCCCTGACATGTAAAATTGCTTTAAAAAATTATTTTCTCTGCTCATGAAAAATTTCCCGACTCTGCCCTGACTTCCAGACTTTCCCTGAACTCCAACTATCCTGTAATTTTAATATATTTTTATTAACTGAGTTATTACCAAATATCTAAAACTAAATAATTAATTGCCTATTTAAACAATTAAATTATCCATTCAAATAATTAAAAATTCTATGATCCACAAGTACTGAACGTTCAAATAAACAAAATTTTTTGCCAATATCAAAATTAAACGTTTAGAATCTTTATTTGACGCTATTAAGTCAAATTAATTAAATTTATTGCAATAAAATTTGAAGAAATAAATAAATTTCGTTCGTTTGAACGTTCAGAACTTTAGGGACATAAAATTCTAGAATAAATTACTAAAATTTAAATAAAAATTGAATGTATAAGCAACATTAAATTAGAGAACAAGAAATTCATAATATATGAATATTTCGAATATTTAAAATACTCGAATTTCGAAATTTTGTAATAAAAAAAACATTATCTTTTCCAGGTAATATTCCAGGCGATTGATAAAGAAAAGAATGCAGAGAGTAAAGGAATCGATTGGGATTTAGTGACCGAATATGATCGACTAGTGGAAGAAACATTAGTTCAACAATTATTGACACAATTCCCTCATCACAAGTGAGTTTTGCTAAATTTTCCCCAACCGATATGGATATTTCGAAAAATTTTTAACGGAAATAAAAAATAAAGTGGAGAAATCTTTTATTTCCTGTCTGAAACGATATTGATTTCATTTTCACCTAATTATTGAAATTCAAGGTTCATTGGCGAGGAAACAGTGGCCAAGGAAGGACATTTGCCAGAATTAACAGACGATCCAACATGGATAATTGATCCAATTGATGGAACGACAAATTTTGTTCATCGTTTTCCGCACACCTGCATTTCGATAGCCTTACTCATTAAAAAAAGAATTGAAATCGGCGTCGTTTATAATCCAATTATTAAACAGTATTTCTCAGCGAGAAGGGGAAAAGGCGCTTTTCTCAATGGAAAACAAATCAGAACATCTTCCGTGAAAGGTCTGTGAAAATATTCAAAATTAATTTAATTAAAAATCAATTTAATTAAAAATTAATTTAATTAAAAGTTAATTTAATTAAAAGTTAACTTAATTAAAAGTTAATTTAATTAAAAGTTAACTTAATTGAAAATTAATTTAATTCAAAAAAAAAATTCCTTGCGAAAATTGAAAAATATTTTTTTACTTCAGAATTATCACAAGCGTTGGTGGCAATGGAACCCTGGATAGCAAAGGACAAGGAGTTCTTAGTCAGTATTTACCGAAGAATGCATTCACTGATTCAAGGAACCCATGGGTAATTGTTTTGCGAAATTTTCTTCTTTTTTTTAAGTGGAAGAAGAAACTATTTTCTCAGAAAATATTGAAATGAGATAAAAACAATTTACAGAATAAGAACATTGGGAACCGCAGCCTTGACGTTATGTTACGTAGCAATGGGAGCAGTGGAAGCCTATCATGTGGAAAGTATAGAAGCCTGGGATGTTGCAGCGGGAAAATTAATTATCGAAGAAGCTGGAGGAATTATTCTCGACACGTCAGGTAAATTTCAATTTCAATTCTTTTTTTTTACAAAATTATTATCCATTTCTCTAATTTTAAAACTATTTTCCTTTTTCTATAATTAAAATTATAATTTTTTTCTCTAATTTTATAATTAATGTTAATGTTAAATAAATATTCAATGAATTAATGTTAATGTTAATCCGAAAGTTCTCAACGTTCAAATTAAGAAAATTTTTTTATTTATTCTTCAAATTAAATTTTTATTGCAATAATTCTACGTCACTGTAAAAAAATTAATAATAGTTTCTAAATGTAAAGCTTAATTTTTAAACTTTTATTGCAATAAATAATTTATTAAAACACAATTAATAAAAAATATTTCGTTGACTTAAACGTTCAAAAACAATAATCGATTTTAATAAAAAAAATTATTCAGTTTTTAAATAAGTATTTGATAATCGTCAAGTAATTGATTATGAAAAAGAAATTATTTCATGAAATAAATAATCTCATGAAATATATTATTTAATGAAATAAATTATTATTTATATTATAAATCAGTTTCAGTGTAAAACAGAATAAAGCGATTGTTGATGAAAAATTTGCTTGTTCACAGGAAAAGAATTGGATCTTATGGTCCCTCGAGTAATTGCAGCGTGTAATCAACAAATTGCTAATCAACTCGTAACTCTTTTTGAAGAAGCTGATTTACACGAGACAAACAAGTATCTTTCATAAATTTTCTTTTCAATGCATTCTTGTATCATATTTTTGTAAATATAAAATAAATGTAATTTTCTTATTATAATAAGTGTTCAATTTTCTTTACTCAGGCCTCGGATCGACTTTCAGGTACAAATAAAATTCTCTTTTGACGATTAAGAATCTAATTATTTTATATGCAATTCTTTTTTACAAAATTTCTTGTCTAAATCAATTATTTTTTAATAACTTTTAAAGTTCTTCGACAATTCAAATATTTAAATAAAAAAATTCAATTTTTTGAAAGTTACCAAAATAAATTATCGAACTTAACCAAAAATATTGAAAATAATTTATTTTAAAAAAAATTATAATAAAGAAATTGTTAAAATTAATCTTTTAAAAATATATTAAAATAATTTTTGCAAAATAATAGATTTTTCAATCGTGTACAAAAATTTCCAAATTATGGAAATTAAGAATAAAAAATTGAAAATAATTAAAATTTAGTAAAAAAAAAAAAAAAGGTTAAAAACAATTAAAACTTTGGTAAATATAGAAAATAATCAAGTTTCTGAAGAATTTTAATTACGAATATAAAAATTTATGATTTCTGCCAACACTAAAGAAGTAGATTTTAAAAAAATTTTAATTTGCTTTTTTTAAAGATAGGTAATTAAATCTTAAAACATTATGATAAAAAAATTTTAAGAAGTTGTTTTTTTTAAATATTCTAATGTAACTTTTGAAAAAGAATTGAATTTTTTGAAAAAATTTTCGGACAAATAAAAAAAAACGAATCAGTTTTCTTTTAAGAATTTTTTTTTTTAATTAAAAGTTAGGAAAAATTCTAAAAAATTTAAATTGGATTTTAAAAGAATTGTAATAAAAATATACTAAGAATTACTTCTTTAAAAATGTTTTTTATAAAATTTTATTCAATTCAAAAAAACTAATCAATTTTTGGAGAATTTTTATAAATAATTTTGAACAATTCTAAAAAATTTTAATTGAAGTTTAAAAAAAATGGTAATGAAAATATTCTAAGAATTATTTTTCTTGTTAAATCTTTTAGTAATAATCGTTGTATTTATCAAAAAATTTGTAAATAATTAATATTTATTTCAAGAATTTTATCAACATTTTTTTTAATAATTAAATTCTTCCGAAACATTTTATTATTTATGAAAATAAATTGAATGCCTCTGAAGAATTTTATTATTTATGGAAATATTTTAATTCTTGAGAAGGATTTTACAATTCATAAAAATAATTGAATTTTTTGAAGGAATTTTATTAAAAAATTTGAAAATAATGATTTTTTAAAAAGAATTTATTAAAAATTGTCGCAAATAATTAAATTTATATTAAAATTCTTGAAGATAATCGAATTTAATTAATATTTTTAAATATAAATGTATTCTTTCAAAAATTTTATTTAAATTGTATTGAAAATAATTATTTAAAACAATTATTATTAATTGCTCTAAAAAATATTATTACTTATGAGAGTATAAAAATTTTATGAATTAATATTTATTTTTATGAATTTTCTATTTGATTATTAATTTTTATTTGAAGATATTTGATTAAAAAATCTTGAGAATTCAATTATTCCCAAAAATTTGCAAAATTACAATTCCTTAAAATTGGATTTTCAAAAATTTTAATAAAGCACTGGAAAAAATTCTTATTTTCATTAAAAATTTATCCTATAACAATTATTCAAAAACATTTTTTGAAAGACACGACTTCAGTTACTTTTTCACACTATAAAAATAAAAAAAGCGGTATTATTTAAAAATAGTGAAAAAAATCCAAAAAAAGTCCCGAAGCCTGTTTAGTAATTCAATTTCTAAAAAGTAATTTTTATTCGACTTTCGTTGTCGATCAAATTTGAATTGGTATTTGACCAATATTTGATTGTAAAAACTGTAAATTAATTTACTACAAATTTACCTGAGACATTTGGGAAATATTCGAAAGAATAATTTGAAAATCTCTTTCCTGTTGAATTTTTTGAGAATAATCGCAAAATACCTGAGGTCCCATATTCGGTGGCATTGGGTGTGGTGGATAATTTTGCTGTGGTGGACCCGATTGTTGTGAAGGTCCTCCAGGTGGTGGCAAGGGTGGCGGATAACCCTGAGTCGGACTCTGAGGATGATGTTGTGGAGGTCCCATGGGACTTCCTTGGGGATTCGAGGGCGACGGTGATTGTTGCGGTGGACCCATAGGACTCGGTGCTTGTGGTGGCGGCATTGGCGATGATTGAGGCGAGGGACTCGCCATATTATTAAACTCTAATTCCTGCTGCATTAAAAAAAACATTCAAAACATTAATAACTTTTAATTCTAATTTTCCGAGCAGAGAAGCAATAGTAACAAAAAATTGTTTTCAATTTCCACAAGGAATTCTCAAATTAAAAACGAACTAAACTCAAAGTAAACTCAAACTTTATTTAAACAGCGTTAAAACTAGGATAGTTAAATATTCCTGACGTTAAAATTTCCAAAAAGTAATAAAGGATCAACGAGCAAAAAAAAGGAATTCGTTTACCAACACAGTCGGAAATATATAGAAAATTTCTAAAATACTTGTTCTCTACATACTTCTTTTATTATTTAATTATCATTCATTATTTTAATAATAATTTCCCCACAAACAATAAACTTTTCTATTCTTTAGCACATAAACCAGTATAGCGTTAAACAACAAACTCGGAACACACTCACGCAAACACTTTTAGGGTTATGTATATGTGGCGCGATACAAATGTGTGTGTTGCATTCGTGTAAATTTAACACTTCTCATTTCCCAGAAAGCACTAATAGTATTAAAACAATAAAAAGGGGAATACAAACAAAGTGGAAACGAAATATTGCCGGAAATAATTGGCAATAATTAATGAAAAGGAATAAATTACATTTTACTGCTTGAGGAAGCCCTTAAATCATTGAACGTGAGGCAGCAGAATAGTCATAATTTAAGGATTAAATTAAAAAGCTTACTGTATTGTTTTAGTGGAAAACACGCCGGAGAATACACTTGTCATAAATTTCTACCATCCATGCGATAAATTTGTTGTTCTTGTGCCAAAAAATTAGAAAACGAACACGTCAAAACGACACACTGAAAAACACACGCTACCGGCCATTTTCTTTCTAAACAGTTGCGCATGCGCGGCGCGCGCAGCGCCACTTTACCCGCGAATTTCAAACTCTTTAAAATTAAATTATTTTTCTTATGAATTTCTTCTATATTTTCATATTTATTTTTATATTATATTGTTTATATTTATATATTTTTATACTAAAGAAGACATTTTTAATAAAACAGTTATGAAAAAATTACGAACAAAAATATTTACTAAATATAAAAATTATAATTTTCAATTTATAATAAAAAATCACAATTTCATTCTGTAACTTTATTTTTCTGATTTTTTCTACTTTCTATAAAAAAAAATATTTACATTTTTTTATCCTTAAAACTTCAATTGTAAATTTTTGCAAAATTCAATTATCTATTCAATTTTTTAAATTTCAATTTAAAATTCTTCAAAAATACGATTTAAAAATAATTTATGAAACTAAAAAAATAAAAATCTTTAAATTATAAAATTTATTTAAATTAAATTTGACAAGAATTCCAAATAGTTGGAAAAATTCTATCTTTTTAAATTATTTAAGAGAATTTTTTCACATCTTTAAAAAATTTAATAACTATTTTTCAAAAGACTAATTTATTTTTAATAATTTCTAAATTAAATTACATTTAAAACTTCAATAATTTTTTATCAAATATTAAATATTTATTTAATTTTCTACAGGAATTAAAAAACTTTAATTGATTTCAGTGAAAATCCTTTTTGAAATTTAATTATTTCTAAAAATTACAACTGTAATTTTTTCAAAACGAATTTTTTAAGCGAAAAATTTTAATAAAATTAGAAAAATTCAAAACTTTAATCAGGTTTTAAAAAAATAGTAAATTAATAATTCTTTAAATAAAAATTTATTGGGAATATTTTTGAAAATAATTGAATTTATTTAAAGAATTTTATTAGGCAATTTTTCACAATAATTGAATTTTTCATAACTTTTGAAAAATTTTTGAAAATAATTCAATTCCTTCAAGAAATTTCGTTACAAAATTTGAAAATAATTCATTCTAACGAAGAATTTTATTAAAATTTTTAGAAAATAATTGAATTCTATTGAAACTTATTATTAAAATTGCAATAAAATTAATTTAAATGTCATAAAGAATTTTGTCAAAAATTTGAAAATAATATAATATTTTATTGAATTTTCTTTAAAGTTTTCACATAAATTTCTGAGAAGAATTTTCTTAAATTTTCCAAATATAATTGAATTCTTTAGAGAAACTTTACTATAAATAATTGAAAAGAAATAATAAATAATTGAAAAGAAATAATAAATAATTGAAAGAATTTTATTTAAATTTTGTCACAATAATTGAATTTTTTCAAGAAATTTTATTAAGTAATTGAAAATAATTGAATTCTGACAAGGAAATTTTATATTCATGAAAATAATTGAATTCTGACTAGTAATTTTACAAAAACTGCATAGAAAATAAATAAAGAATCTTGTTATAATTTTAGAAAATAATTAAATTCTTTTCAAGAATTATATTAAATTTTTAAAAAATAAAATTGAATTTCACAAAAGAATTTTCATAAATTTTTTGAAAATAATTTAATCCTTTCGATTTTTTTTATAAATTTTATTTATAAATTAATAAATAATAATTGAATTTGTGAAAAGTATTTTATTATTTTGTAAAAATAATTAAATTCTCGTGAAGAATTTTATAAAAATTCTTTTAAATAATTTTGATTTTTTTCTCAAAATTTTATGAAAATTGAATTCCTGTGGAAATTTCACTATTTTCAAATATAATTGAATGTTAGCAAAGAATTTTATCAAAGTTATTTTGAAATAATTTTTAAATAATTGATTTTTTTTGAGAAATGTTTTTTGAAAATAATTTAATTCCTCGTAATAATTTTTTAAAAATATATTTTAATAAATATTAAAAACTACAATATTGTAAAATTAAAAAATTATGAAGACTCAGAGGAAATTATTAGCGAAAATTAATTTTAAAAAAAGTGGGAGAATCTCGTTGACCCTGGAATCGGTCAGCATATATACATTAAATATATTACATCTTCATCGATACTTTAGTTTCGAATCAAGTCTTTCAGTTGTTGCTTTTAATCTGTATTTTAACGAACATATGAACTCGGATCTATCATTTAATCAGCCAAAATGGAAACCAGATTAGGTCCATTATTTTTTCTCCTGCTAATAAGCATTTTTATCTCAAGTGAGTAAATTTTATTAAAATTTAAATTATTCGTTTCTTCCAAGGTAAGAATAAAGAAAAATCTTTTAAATAATATTTTTTTACTCATTGTTTCTTTACATTTGTAAAACTTTTAAAAAAAATTTGTTTTTGTAAAAATTCAATATTGACTAAAGAAAAGCTAAATTAAAAAAATTATGATTCAAAATTAACATTAACTTTAGAGAAATACTGAATATATAATTTTATATAATTGTCTCAAGTTACGAAAGATAATCAGGGTCATCGTGTATTTTTCTTAAAAACTGATAATATTCGAAAATAAGAATCAGCAATTTTGTTAAGAAATATTATTCAGTGGAGAATATTATTTAGTCGAAAATATTATTTTGTCAAGAATACTATTAAGTCAAGAATACTATTTACGAAGAAGAAGAGAAAAATTAGAAAAACATATTAATAGTCTTAGAAATTTTTATATAATTTATAAAACAAGGACAAAATAGTTTTTAAACGAGTTTCTTTTTCCTTGACTTCTGTTCAATTCTGACAAGATTTAAAAAAAAAACAGATTTACTCGCAGGAAGCGTTTAACTGCGTTTATGACTCACAGTTAGCAAAACAGCAAAAATTTGCTGAATTAAGTATTTTCCTACGTTTTTAGATTTCCAAGAATGATTAAAAACTAGATTTTTTAAATACTTTGTTGAGAAATAAAATTATTTCAGATTTCTCGATTTATATTCGAACATTTTTTTTCTACTACTAAAATGTACTTTTTTCCTCTCATAATAATATGTAATAATAATAACAATAAAATTTTTCATGTTTCTAAAGTTCTGAACGTTCAAATGAACGAAATTTGTTCCTTCAAATAAAAATTTTGTTATCAATAATTTTGTGTTACGTATCAAAAAAATTAATTTCAAACTTTCTAAATATTAAATATAAATTTAAAATTTTTGTTAAAATTAGTAATTTATGAAAATATTCCTTTCATTTGAACATTAAAAACTTGTGGATCATAAATTTTTCAATCTCAACGATTAGAAACAATCAAATTGGAAAATTTCTATATTTACAGGAAGAAAATAAAAGTAAATTGTAAATAAATTTAAAAAAAAAATTTTTGAAATATACAAAACAATTTTTCTACAGGAATGAAAATTTCAAATAATTTCAATGAAAAACTTCATGAAATTTAATTATTTCTGAAAATTGCAACTGTAATTCTTCCAAAATTCAATTCTTTTTTTTAGAATTGTTGAATAAAATTATTGAAAAACTTTAAGAATTTTTAAAGAAAAATTTTAACTGAAATTTTTTTAAAACCAATTTCTATCAGAATTTAAAATGTAAAATTTCACAAAATTTCCAATTGTTTCAGTTTTTAAAAATTATTTTCAGGAATTCAAGTATATCTTCAAATAATTTTAATCACGATTTTTTAAAAACCTAATTTTTCCAAAATTTCCAAATTAAATCTTTCAAATTTCAATCATTTTTGTAAAATAAATATTTAAATACTTTTTGTATTATTTACTTTAAAAGGAAATAAAAATTTTTAAATTTAAATAATATTTACTATTATTTTTATTAATAAAAGATGTTTAAATTCTCTTGTTTGGACTAATGACATAATTATTATTTTTATTATTTACTATTATTATTATTGAAAGTGGAGAAAATATTTGAATTATTTATTTGATGACTTGAAAAATGATTTGAGAAAATAATTTGAAAAAGTACAAGTAATATAAAATTAAAAATAAAATACCTTTCAGAATTATCGGCACAGCAAGAAGATTGTGTAACGTCAAGGAGAGAACCAGGAGTTTGCACTGGAATTCGTCAATGTCCGCGGATGATCGGTATTTTACAGCAAAGACCATTGCGAGAGGATGATCTTCAATATCTTCAAAGATCACAGTGCAGTTTTGACAGAAGTAATCCAATAGTTTGTTGTCCATCGCAATCACCAACTCCTCGTCCAACTTCTCGTCCAACTCCTCGTGTTCCGACAAATAATGGTAACGGCAATGAAAATCCAAATGTTAATCTCAGGAGCAATCCTCTTTTCCCCTCTGATTGTGGAACCGACACTGAAGAAAGAATTGTCGGCGGGGAAAGCACTGATATTGACGAATTTCCCTGGATGGCCCTTCTGGAATATCAAAAGCGTAAGTATAAAAAAGAAAAAAAAATATTATTAAAATATTTTAATAATAATTCTTTTCTAATTTATTTTAGTAATTATTATTTATTTCCTATCTTTCTTTATTCCTTTAATTATTTGGTTAAAATAAATTTTCGAATAATTTGCCTTTCAAGTTATTTAGTACAAAATCAATTTTTAAATAAATTGCATTTTAAAATTGCTAAGTAAAATAAATATCTAATAAGTTAGTAAGTAATAAGTAAACGAGTATTTAATTAAATTATTTTTTTCTCTTAGTAAAAAAAAGGGAAAAAAATAATTAACATTTTTCAATTTCATTTATCAATTAATAGTTAGTAAAAATATTATATATAAGGTTTTGATTTTCCCTGACTTTTCTCTGATTTCCAGACAGAATTTTGACTTCATTCCTGATTCCTAAAAAAAAAAAATTTTGAGAAGTTCAATAATAAAACAAGATTTCCAGACAGAATTTTTACATTTTCCCTGATTTCTAAAAAAAAAAAATTAAAAGGACATAAATTTTAAAAAACTCGATTATTTTCGAAAATTTTAATAACATTCTTTAAAAAATAAATTTTTTTAAATAGAATTTTAGAAAACTTTAATTATTTCAAAAAATTTCAATTACTTGAAAATTCAAATTTCAATTGAAAAAATTAGATTTCAATTCAATGAAGAAAACAATTTTAATTTCAATCTTTTTAAAATTAAACAACTAATCAAAATTTTGAATTATAACTGTTTCAAATGAAATAAAAATTTTAATTTTTAAAATAATTTTTCTTTTTAAATGTTTAAAATTTTTAAATTAATGTAATGAAAATCATTGAATTCTTGAAAAGTATTTATAAAATTTTTTTTAATAATTGAAATTATTTCAAGAATTTTATCAACATTTTTTTCCATAATTGAATTCTTTCATAAAATAATATAATTAAAATTGTATTGAAAATAATTTAATTCTTGGCAAGATTTTTATTAAAATTCTTTAAAATAATTGAATTGCTCTTAAGAATTTATTTCAATATTGTTGAAAATAGTGAAATTTTTTTAAAATACTTTTTACTGAAAATTTTTAAAGTAATTGAATTTTACGAAGAATTCAATTATTTCCAATAATTGTAATAAAATTCTTTGCAAAAAGTCAATTTATAAATAATAAAAATCTTTAATTACTTTTATATAAATAATAAAATTCTTATTAGAATTCCACTTATTTTCAATCTCAATTTAAAATGATTTCTTCGAAAATTTCGATTTTATCAATAAATACCTAGTAAATTTTTTCCAGAAATTCAATTATTTTAAATGCAATTTTCATAAATGCCTTTTCAAAAATTCACTTATTTTTTAAAATTTTACAAAAAATCAATTATATGCAGAAATAATAAATTTTTTTGGTAAGGATTTAATTATTTAAAAAAGTTTTAATAAAATTCTATTCAAGAATTCAATTATTTTCATAATTAATTAAATTTTTGATGTACTGAAAATCATTGAGTTCTTGTTAAGGTATTTATAAAAAATTTTTTAAATAATTGAATTCATTTCAAGAATTTTATCAACACTTTTTCAAAAAATTGGATTCTTTCGAGAAAATGTAATTAAAATTGTATTGAAAATAATTTAATTGTTGATAAGTTTTTTATTAAAATTCTTTAAAATAATGAACTTTTTTAAAATAATTTTTACTGAAAATTTTGAAAATAATTGAATTTTATCCTAGAAATTTTATTAAACTCGCATTGAAAATAATTGAATTTCTCAGAAGAATTTTATTATTTACAAAAATAATTGAATTGTTGCCAAGAATTTTACAATTTATAAAAATAATTGAATTGTTTCGAAGAATTTTTTATCAGAATTGTTTAAAATAATTGAATTATTATTAAATACTTGAAAATAATTGAATTTAAATAATATTATTAAAAATAATTGTACTCTTTTGAGAAATTTTATTAAAATTGTATTGCAAATAATTGAATTCTTTCGAAACAGTTCATTATTTATGAAAATAATTGAATTTCTTTGAAGGATTTTATTATTTATAAAAATATTTTAATTCTTGGGAAGAATTTTCTTATTTATAAAAGTAATTGAATTGTTTCAAAGAATTTTTTAATTTATAAAAATAATTGAATTGTTTCGAAGAATTTTATCTGAATTTTTGAAAATAATTGATTTTTTTGAAGGAATTTTATTAAAAATTTTGAAAATAATTATTTTTTTAAAAGAATGTTAAGAAAAATGTAAAAAATTTGAAAGAATAATTATTTACCAAACAATTAATTTTTCCGCACCATTTCTTTTTAGCAAATGGAGTAACAACAGCCTGCGGAGGAGTATTAATCAGCAAACGTTACGTCCTCACAGCGGCTCATTGTCTCAAGGGGAAGGACCTTCCAAAAACTTGGACTCTCTCAAGAGTAAGACTAGGAGAATACGACACAAATCAAAATGTCGATTGTATTCAACGCAACGGAATTCGTGTCTGCGCCGATCCACTGGTAACAATTCCAATTGAGGAGCAAATCGCTCACGAGGACTACATCCCAGCATCCAAGGATCAACGAAATGATATCGCATTACTGCGATTGAGTCGTGACGTTAATTTCACGCATTACATAAAAGCAATCTGTCTTCCGCTCGATTCAAACGTTGGACAATTACTCGATGTCGCTGGATGGGGTAAAACCGAAACAAGATCAGAATCAAATGTCAAATTGAAAGTGAGAATTCCCCTTGTATCGAATGCAGATTGTGTTCGTACTTACGCGAATGCTGGCTTACAATTGGGCGACGGTCAAATTTGCGCCGGCAGTCAAAAGGGTAAGGATTCGTGTCGTGGTGATTCTGGTGGACCACTAATGGCACGTGCATTGGGAGCTAACGAAGATAAGCCACGATGGGTCAGCATTGGAGTTGTTTCCTTTGGACCGTCGCCTTGCGGAATGGCAGGATGGCCCGGTGTCTATACAAAGGTCCACGATTTTCTACCCTGGATCCTGCGAAATATGAGAGAATAATTAATACTTAATAATTAAGATAGAGAAAATAAATTTATAATTTAAAAATATTTACAAAAAAATAGAAAAAAATATCAATTTTACAATCGAAAATTCGAATCTCTTAATTTCTTTTTTCCTGAGAATCTCTCAATTACAATTTTTTCCAAACTGGATTTTTTCTCCAGAAATTGTAACCATTTAAATTTAGTGCCATAAGTTTATTTTTTTAATTCTTTCCACTGTAATAAAATTGTAAATAAAATTTAAAAAAGTTACAAAAAAAAAATAAAGAACTACAAAAAATTAAAAGACAAAAGAATTTTAAATGACCTTTCTTTAAAATCTTTTAAAGAAAGATTTTTTTTTCTTTTTTACTATAGAAAAATCAACAATTTTTTGTTTGCAATTAAAACCTAATTGACAAAAAAATAAAAGTGGAGAATTAAATAAAAATCCTTGGAGAAAAAAAACAGAATTTCCAAGTTTTAATAATTAAAAAATCAAAAATTTAAATTATTGAATAAAGTTTTCAAGATACTTGATTATTGCACAAAACGGGAAGACGCTACCATTAAATAAATGACGTCAAATTTTTTTTTATTCTATTTTCCTTTCTCTCGGTTTCATGGAGAACATATTTCTATCTCTCTCGCAAAAAAATTATAACCGAGACTGTACGAATTGATTTTCGTTGTTCATCAGTTTCATTTCTGAAACTGATCAAGTTTCTCTTCTCTATATATCAAAAAAATAAATTTTTCTTAATTTATATAGAAAAGAGAAGAAAAAATAAATTAAGTGCCTAAACATGATTAACTAATAAATATAAAGCGGAAATACTAAAAGTTTAAGAAAATAAGGTCAAGGTGAAGATAAAGTAACAATTTTTTTGCAGATAAATAATTCACTATTAAACTATTTCTCACATTATAATTACAAATTCTAATAATGTTTCGTTCATTGTTTCGTTCATTAATTATTATTTTTTTCATCGCCTCCAGCTATTCACGTAAGTACTTGTTTTATTATTTTTAATTTTATTCCACAATTTTCTGCTTCTTTTTTTATTTTCCTTTTTTTATTAATTGTTCCTTTTTTTCAAAAGGAAAAAAAAATTTCTAACAAAGACAGTATTCAATATTCAATTATTATATTTAATTAAAAAATTAATATTGATTTTGTTTATATTCATTTTATTACTTTATAATTTAATTAATAAAAAATATATTTTCGTTCGCTAATGTGAGTGGTTTTGAAAAATATTTTCTTTCAACTGAAATTTTTTAAATTCACTGGAATTCCCTATCAAAGAATTAATTAGCCTTCAATTATTTTATTTTACCCTTTAGAGGAATCGGATAATTGCATTACACCGACGAAAGTATTAGGAATTTGCGTCAATATAAAAGAATGTAAACCATTAGTTACGCTTCTAATAAAGGAAAAACCAATTCCAAACTCGGTACTTCAATTATTAAGAGAATCGTTTTGTGGTTTTGATGGAAAAACCCCAAGAGTTTGTTGTCCACAGCAGGTATTAAAAATCTTCTTATTTTTTTTCTTTTATTTCTTGATAGAAGATTTTCCTATCAAGAAATAAAAAAAGTTTCTAATAAAATGAGAATATAATTTGATTTTAATTAATTTTTGATAAAATTAAATTAAATTTAATGAATTATGAAAATAAATTTAATTTTGATGCAGTTCAATTAATTAATAAATTTAATTTTAAAGTAGATTTTCCAAACTTTTAGTCAGACTTCTTCAAAAATACGATTATATTTAAAAACAATTTTTATCAGTGAAACAAAAAATTCTTTAAAATATAAAATTTATTTCAATTAAATTTAATTTATTTCATCTAAATATTCCATTAATTGGAAATTTAAATAACAATTTTTTCCTGTGGAAAATTTTACTATTTGTAAAAATAATTGAATTCTTGCAAAGAATTTTGTTAAAATCTTTTGAAATAGTTTCTTTAAAAATTATGAGAATAATTTGTTTATTTCAACTATCATTTGATTGAAAGTAATGCAAATTCTCAATAAAAAGAAAAAAAGTTGCTTTTAGTGTCAAAAATCTAAAAAAAAAGAATCGAAATAGTATCAAATAGTAAAAAAAAAATTTTTGCATATGAGTGCGAAGTTTAATTCTAAAATTAAATTTAATTTTTTACTTTGAAAATTCAACAGTCGAACGAAGTCTCTACAGATAGAACAACGACAACCGAAGAGACAATAACGAATGATCCTGAAACTGCACCAAAACCGCCAGACGTTACAAATCATAGAAATTTGCGACTATTAGATTTTGACGTCTGTGGGCCTGTTAGTCAACCAAAAATTTTTGGTGGCAAAAAAACGGGCGTCTTGGATTTTCCCTGGAATACATTGATTGCCTATAAAAACAGATTTGGTGATTCTGAATTTAAATGCGGCGGATCGGTAATTAATAAACGTTATATTCTCACAGCTGCACATTGTGTAACCAGTGATGGTAATTATTATTCAATTGTTATAAAATAATTTTATGAAATTTTCTAACATTTAATAAATTCTAACATTTAATTTTTTGCAACACTTTTAATAAAAATCCCTTACTTTTCTCTGACCTGTGACAACCCTTAAAAAAAATTTCAAATCATTTTGATGTTAATTAATATTCAACAATTAATTATCCCTAGGAGTGGAATTATTAAATGTAGTCTCAGTGAGAGTTGGCGACCACGACACAACCAAAGAAATCGATTGCGATGTTGATAAAAGTGGCAATATTTTGGTCTGCGCTGATAAATATCAAGAATTTGGAATTGAAAAAAGAATTTTCCATCCAAAATATTCGAGAGCAAAATTAACGGACGACATTGCTTTGTTAAGAGTCGACGCTGATATTAATTTGCAACTTCCGAATGTTAAACCAATTTGTCTACCAGTTGGTACCGCAGTCAATATACCACCGAAAAAGGTATTTTTTCTCTCTCAAAAACTATAATTAAAATAAAAATTTATATTTCCATTAAAAGGAATATAAAAAAATACCTTATTTTTAGGTCGTTGTGACTGGATGGGGAAGAACTGCTGTTCAACCACGAAGCAATGCACTGATGATGATTCGAATTGATCTCGTCCCAAACGTTGATTGTGCCGAGACGTATAAAAGAAATGCTCAAATTGGTTACAAGCAAATGTGCGCCGGTGGTAAAAAAGGTGTCGATTCCTGTGCCGGTGATAGTGGAGGTCCTTTACAAAGTGTCCATGTTTTTAATAACACCGAAGCCAGATATGTTCAATACGGTGTCGTCAGCTTTGGACACATCAATTGTGGCGAAGCGGGATTTCCTGCCGTTTACACTCGAGTTCCTTATTACATGGACTGGATTCTGGACAATTTAGAAGAATAAATATTAAATTTCACATAATTCCATTCATTTTTAAAGAAGAAAATAAGTATTCAATTAGATTGAAATTCTATGCATCTAGAAATAAAATATTCAAAGTGTTATTCAATAAGAATAAGAGCAAAAAATTTTAAATTTAAATTTTATTATTGTTACGATAAAAATGTTCTATTTTAACAAAAGCGGTTCCAAGCTTTTCAATAATATGAAAATATAAACAAAGAATCAGAATAGAAACATTTGGTAATATCAACAAAATATTTCATAAAAATAAACTACAATTAATAATTTAATTTGCAATTTTACACTGAAGAAAATTATTTGAATTAAAAAATTATTTATTTTAAGTAAATATTTATTTCATAATAACTAAAAAATATTTACTTGTAACAATTTTTTTACATTGAATAGAATTCTTTTCGAAGTAATAATTTTCGAATTTGAAGAAAATACTTTTGATCTGAATGCAGATTATTTGATACATAATAAAATATTTATATGACAATGGTCTTGTAGTTTTATTATTTTAAGCAAATTAATTTTTTCTTCAGTGTAGATACTAAATATTTACAAAACGATAAATTATAAGAATAAAAATATTCATCTTTTTTCAAATAATGATACAATTGTAACAAGAATAGTAATTTTCGTGTATAACACGCAAAAAAAATGTTTTGTCTCGAACGACTATAAATTTTATTCTAATAGCGAAATTTTTAGTTGATTCAGTTAATAATTTCGCTATTTTAGAAAAAATAATCGCTGTTCCAGGTAAAATATTTTTTTCATAAACTAATAGTTTTTAATATAAGTATATAAAAATTACTGATAGTTTTTAATAACAGTAAATAAAAATTACTGTTTACGTAAAAATGCATTTAAACAAAATTTTTTGAAAAGGAAAATACGATACTATATCACTAGCTCGCTTATCAAAACTACCACAATGTATCTTATTTGTTACAAAAAAACAGCTAAATATTATTTTCCTCAAAAATTAATTTTAATTTTACTTTAAATTAATTCCAAATTGAGAAAAAAATAATACAAGGATATTTAAAAATAAAAAAAATTAAAGTTAATAAAAATAATTATATGAATTATGTGTCCATAAAAATTTTCTACATTTTATCATATAATATCTCGATTATATCTGTCCAAGCGTTAGTATACTTTTATCTTTCCAAGTTGAACGTTACTAAAAGTCTTTTTTAAAATGGTTAAACCCCGTATTCTCGTCATTAGCAACGATACACCTACTGTTGCTTTGGATCTTCTTAGAACCAAGTGGGTCTAATTAATACTTAATTTTACTCTAATTAATTATATACCTAATAATTAATTAACAAATTCTTTAAAATATATTTTTTACAGACTTTTTTTAAAATTCAAATTTTATTTCTGAATATTAAAAATTTATTTCTGAGTATTAAAGATTTATTTTCGAATATTAAAAATACGTTTGCGAATATTCTGACTATGAAACAAATTGATTTATTTTCAAACTTGTGTTACCTTTTTTCCAAGATGTGACTTGACAATTATTCCGTCTCCCCATCCAACGAGGGAACATGTTCTTAGAGTTGTTCCAGAACATGATGGAATTTATCTCAGTTCAAAAGTCAATGTTGACAGTGAAATGCTCAACGCTGCAGGTGATATAGCTGAAAATTGCAATAATACAAAATTAATCAGTAGTTGAATAAAATAACTGCTAATTTATTTAAATAAATTAAAATACATAACTGCTAATTATTTACTAATCAATAACGAAAAAAACTAATAAACCGTGTAAGTGATTAAAAAAAATATTTTTTTGAAATTTTAGGGCCTAATTTGAAAGTTGTTTGTACCATGGCAGCCGGTTATGACCATCTTGACATTCCGGAAATTAAAAGAAGAGGTATAAAAGTTGGCAACACATCCGAGGTTTCATCCTCCGCTGTTGCTGATATTGCCGTAATGTTGTTACTCTGTGCAGCCAGAAGAGCCAACGAAGGACGATTAAAATTAATCGAGTAGGTTTTTCATCTCCAGGACTTTATTTCTAAAAAAGAAACACTAAATCGATATTTAATTCTCTTAATTAAAAATTAATTTAATAAACACGAAAATCTTTCTTTTCAAAAGTCACTCAAATTCAGAATAAAATTGATAATTTGCTAAATGATAATTCATACCTAAATTAATTTACAACCTTCGTTTTTAAAGGGGAAAAGTTAAAAAAAGCCCACAATGGTTATTGGGAGTCGATGTCAAAGGTTCGACAATCGGAATTGTTGGATTTGGAAATATTGGCCAAGCAATTGCAAAACGACTGAAAGGATTTGAAATAAAAAATATTCTCTACACTGGACACTCGAAAAAGAAAGCTGGTTAAGAAAAATTATTTTTAATTGCAAAAAATAAAATTCAAACACAAAAATGAAACTAAAAATCTAACTATAAATTCGTGTTAAGAATTTTCATAACAAAACGAAATTTTCCAGGAGATGAATTAGGGGCAGAATTCGTATCTCTGGATGAACTTTTAGAAGAAAGTGATTTTGTAATTGCAGCCACGCCATTAACGAATGAAACATTAAAAATGTTTAATGACAATACCTTTGGAAAAATGAAGAAAACTGCCGTTTTTGTCAATGTTGGTAGGGGAAAAGTTGTCGACACTGATGCTTTAGTGAGAGCTGTTGAAAATAGGACAATTTTCGCCGCTGGACTCGATGTCGTTGATCCTGAACCTCTTCCTCGCGATCATAAACTTCTGAAATTAGCAAATATTGGTTAGTTAGGAAATTAAATTTTCGTGAATTTTCTAAAATTATTTATATCTAATTTTTATTAAATTAATCAATTTCGTAGAAATTATGCCACATCAAGGTAATGCCACTGTGAAAATACGAAATAGTATGGCAACAACTGCTGCACAAAATCTTTTGAATGCATTGGAGGGAAAACCAATGATTTATCCTCTATAATTCACCAAAAGTTTTAACATTATTTATTTACACTCGAGTTTCTTATTAAATAATGAATTTTAGACGATTTAGAAGAATAAATAATATTAAATTTCATATTATTTCCATTCATTAATAAAGAAGAAAATTAGAATTGAATAAAATTGAAATTACATTTTATGCATAATGAAATAAAATTATTTGATAAAAAATAGATATTTATTTGACAATAGTAATAATTGAGTAATCAATAATTGTAAGTAATCTATTATATTTGAAAGAAACTTATTTTTTTCGTGTATAAATATTTAAGAAATCTTATAAAAGGTATAAATATTTTTCAAAAATTGTATTTATATTTGTAGAATGAAAAATAAAAATATATTTCAATTATGAGAAAAACTAGAAATATTCATTTTCTTAAAAAATTACGATAGTGATAAGAAAAGTAATCTTCGAGTACTATAACAGAAAATTTTTAATAAAAATAAATAAAAATTACTGTATACGTCAAATTGATTTTAAAGTAAATTTAAAAAAAGTAAATACATTACAATGTATAAAAATTGATTAAAAATATATTTTTATATTTTCCCACAAAATTAAATTATTGTTTTGTTTATCAATATTTCGCTTATTAACGTTGGTTTTTTTAACCACCACAATATCCTTATTTGTTACACATAAAACAACAAAATATTATTTTACTCAAGAATTAATAATTTGAATGTTATTTGAAATTAATTTTTTAATTGGAAAAAGATAAAACTTGTAATTGAAAAAAAAAGATAAAACGGGAATATTTAAAATTAAAAAAATAAAGTAAATAAATATATATAAGAATAATAAATAAAAAAAGAAATATTTAAAAAAGGGAAAAAATAAAATTATCATCTGAATTTTATGACCATAGAAAATTTTGATAATTATGTATGAATAACAAAGTCAAAGAGTAATAGAAAATAATATAATTTGACATGACTAACAATTACTTTTATGTTTATTTTCAAGTGATAATTTACGCTTGCGCTTTGCTTTGTCTAGATTTTATTATATAATAACTCTGTTATATCTGCCTGGCGTTAGTATACTTTTAACTTTCCAAGTCGAATGTTACTAAAAGTCATTTAAAATGGTTAAACCACGTGTTCTCGTGATTAGTGACGATACACCCACTGTTGCTTTGGATCTTCTTAGAACCAAGTGTGTCTAATTAATACTTAATTTACTCTAATTAGTCAAATACTTAATAATTAACACTTTCCTTAAATTATATATTTTTTCATAATTCAAAATATTATTTTTAAATACTACAAATTTATTTCTGAACTAAATTAAAGGAAGTGAACTCCTATTTATTTCTGAACTCTTTAAATCTGAATTAGTGGAAAGTCGTCCACTAATTTAAATTCGTAAAAGTTTCTTCTAATTCTTAGTAAATTTTTCATTAAAATTTTAAACTACTAAACGAAGTAGTAAAATTTTACTAAAAGTAGTAGATAATTTTATTAATTTCAATTTGTGGACAACTTTTTAATAATTCAAATTGAGAGAGAACGTTAAAAAATTTTTTTTGAATATTAAACATTTATCTTTGATAATTAAAGATTTCTTTTCGAAAATTAAAAATTATTTTCGAGTATTAAAAATTAATTTCTGAATCACAATAATTTATTTTTGAATATTAAAAATGTACGTTTGCGAATATTCTGACGATAAAAAAGTGATTTATTTGCAAACATCTGTTACCTTTTTGTCCCAAGATGCGACTTGACAATTATTCCGTCTCACAATCCAACGAGGGAACAAATTCTAAAAGTAGTTCCAGGACATGATGGAATTTATCTCAGTGTCCATGCCAATATTAACAGTGAAATGCTCAACGCTGCAGGTGAAATAGCTGAAAATTGCAATAATACGAAATTAATAAGTTCAATAAAATCAATGCAAATTTTTCTTAATAATTACAAGTAAAATTTGTCGTAAAGTAAAAAATGATATTTATCAAAAGAGAAAAAAAACTAAATAATTAATAAAAAGAACACAAGTAAATTAATTGAATTCTTTCAAGAAAATGTAATTAAAATTGTATTGAAAATATGTAATTTAATTCTTGGCAAGATTTTTATTATAATTCTTTAAAATAATTGAAGTGTTTTGAAGAATTTATTTCAATTTTCTAGAAAATAATGGAGTTTTTTAAAAATAATTTTTACTGAAAATTTTGAAAATGCTTGAATTTTATGAAGATTTTCTTTCAAGTTTTTAAAATAATCGTGTTTATTAATAATTGCATAAAAAAGTGTCAGAGTGATTGAAAATAGCCAATAAAAATTTTCGTTTTCGATTTTTTAGGGCCTAATTTGAAAGTTGTTTCTGCAATGTCAGCCGGTTATGATCATCTTGACGTTCCGGAAATTAAGAGAAGAGGTATTAAAGTTGGACACACACCTGAAGTTTTATCCTCCGCTGTTGCTGATATTGCTGTGATGTTGTTACTCAGTGCAGCCAGACGAGCTCATGAAGGACGTGTAAAATTAATCGAGTAGGTTTTTCATCTCCATGACTTTATTTCTGAAAAAAACACTAAATCAATATTTAATCTCTCTTAATTAAAAAATTAATTTAATAAATATAAATAATAAATCGATTATTCGGTAATTCATTTTTAAAACAATTTTTATTAGAAAATTCTAGAAGAATTCAATTATTTAATTTTAAAAATTAATAATTTATTGAATAATTGACTGTTTGTTAAAATTCAATTCTCATAAAGAATTTCATCAACAAAGTTTTAAATAATTGCATTCTTTTGACAAATTATAATCAAATTTTTAAGAATAATTACATTTTTCGAGGAATTCGATTAAAATTGTATCAAAAATAATTAAAATCCTGCGATGAGTTTTATTATTCATGAAAATAATTAAAATTTTCCCTACAATTTTATTAAAATTTTTCTAAAATAATTGAATTTCGGGGAAGAATTTTATTATTTATAATAATACTTGAAATTTTGACAAGATTTTTTTTTTAATTTTTTAACATAATTGAATTTCTGCGAAGAATTTTATTACTTTTGAAAATAATTAAATTCTTCCAACGAATTTCATTCAAGTTTATAAAAATAACTGAATTTCTGTGAAGAATTTTATTATTTATATAAATAATTGAATTCTTGCAACGAATTTTATTCAAGTTTATAAAAATAATTGAATTCTTGAAAATAACTTTGATAAAATTTTTTAAATAATTGAATTCTTGCGATGAATTTTATAAGAATCTTTTAAAATAATTAATATTTTTCGAAAAATTTTATGAAATTTTGTATTTTAAATAATTGAATTCCTGTGAAATTTTGACAAGAATTTTATTAAAATTTTTAAAAATAATTGAATTCCGAAGATGAATTTTATTATTTCTAAAGATAATTGAAACTTTGGAGGGAATTTTTAAAAAATTTTTGAATATAATTGAAATTCTGCAAAGAATTTTTATAACTTTTAAAAATAATTGAATTTCTAGAATCACTTGTAACTTTTCCAAAATCCATTTTTTTTAGTGTTTTTAACTAAAATAAATTAGTCTCTATATTAAAAAATAAATTACCATCTTTCGTTTTGAAAGGGGTAAAGTTGAAAACCGACCACAATGGTTATTGGGAGTCGATGTCAAAGGTTCAACAATCGGAATTGTTGGATTTGGAAATATTGGCCAAGCAATTGCAAAACGACTGAAAGGATTTGAAATAAAAAATATTCTCTACACAGGACACTCGAAAAAGAAAGCTGGTTAAGAAAAATTATTTTAAATTGCAAAAAATAAAATTTAAACACAAAAATTAAATTAAAAATCTAACTATAAATTAAAAGGGCTACGAATTTTTATAACAAAACGAAATTTTCCAGGGGATGAATTAGGGGCAGAATTCGTATCTCTGGATGAACTTTTAGAGGAAAGTGATTTTGTAATTGCAGTCACGCCATTAACGAATGAAACATTAAAAATGTTTAATGACAATACCTTTGGAAAAATGAAGAAAACTGCCGTTTTCGTCAATGTTGGAAGAGGAAAAGTTGTCGACACAGATGCTTTAGTGAGAGCTGTTGAAAATAGGACAATTTTCGCCGCTGGACTCGATGTCGTTGATCCTGAACCTCTTCCTCGCGATCATAAACTTCTGAAATTACCAAATATTGGTTAGTTAAGAAATTTAATTTTCAAAAATTATTTGTATATAATTCTTATTAAATTAATTATTTTCGTAGAAATTGTGCCACATCAAGGTAGTGCCACTGTGAAAACACGAAATAGTATGTCAACAATTGCTGCACAAAATCTTCTAAACGCATTAGAGGGAAAACCAATGATTTATCCTCTATAAATTACCACAAATGTTAACAAACAAATATAACTTTAAAATATTTTATTAAAAGAATTTCTATCATATTTTGATAAATTTTATTTTTTGTTTAAATAAATCTGATTGTAATTTAAAAACAAGTTCAGTTTTGATTTAATTTGATATTTACATAATGGTAAATTTTTTATTATTCAAAATCAATCAATTTTATAGAGTTTTTTTTTCTGGAGTATTTCGATGAAAATAGTATTTAAATTTAAAAATAATTTAAATTAGTTGAATATTCTTTTTCCTTGCAGAAATATTTAATAAATTCTTTTTTTCGTTTTAGGAACCGAATTTACGTAATAAAAAGTGAATGATAGTCTTTTTCATTCACCGTTTGCTTATCTTTCTAAAATCGAAATAAAGAATTTATTAAAGTAAAAATAGAATTTTCTGCAAATTATTGTAAACGAAAATAGTTTTTTTTTCTCTTTTTCCACCTTATCAGAAACATTTGTACAGTCGATAACACATTTTTATCGCAATTATCAGTATTGATAATGTGTAAGTACTTTTTTTCAACTTTGATGCAAAAATTCTATTTTTTACTATTAAAAAGAATTTTCTCTTTATTAATTCCATTTTTTTTAAAGAAAAGAGAAAAATAAGCAAATCTTGAATAAATATAAAAAAATATTCATCAATAATGGAAAGATTGCAAAATTTTTAATTTGAAAAATGAAAAGAAAAAAAATTCTGTTTTCGATTTTATGAAATATTTATATTTTTTTCAAGTGATTCTTACTTTTTTCCATAAAAACGTCTTGAATTAAGGGTCGAATTCGATTTTCAAGGATCGACTGTAGGATAATGGTTGGATTAGGAAATTATCCAGGAAGTGATAAATTGTTTCTACGTCGATTATTTTCCTCACACGGGAGGCAAAAATTTTCCTTTTTCCAAAGTTCCATTGGAAAAAGCAGGAGTTTTCGACCTAAGGAAATTTAAGAAAGAAATAAATAATAATTTTAGGAATAAATAAATAATAATTTAAAGAATAAATAAACAGGAAGTATAAAAAAAATTACTTTCAGAAGAAAAAAAATTAAATCCAAGTAACCTGTTATTATTAATTTAAAAGGGTCTTTCTTTCAGGCGATTAACTTGAAAAGTACTTCAAGTCCCTTGATAAACATCTTCCTGGTAATTAGTTGCAGCGACTCCTTTGACTTCCGAGATCGTAGAAATATTCGACGACAAAATTTTTTTCGCAGAAAGAGAATTGCCATCTTCGTTAAATAAGTATTTTTCTAAAAAAAAGAAAATAAAAAATACACGTCAATTAAAACAAAATTAACTACACATATTTTAAATTTATTTCGCAGTTATCCATTCGCACTTTGTCGATGTAAATAATTGCTGAAAATACACTTTATAAATTATTTAATCTCAATTTTCATTAATTCTTTATTAATATTCCATATTTATAAAACGCATCCTGGGTATTAAATCTGTGTATAAATATTTTGTTCTTTTTTTTCATGATAACTTTGTACAAATCTGTACTAAAAACAGGATCTTATATACAGATTAATTTAAATATTCATTATAATATACTTATTTTTAGATAAACTTAAAACTTTAACGCTCAGTCGAAAAAACAAAAATTCTTATTTACAATTCACATTATTTCAAAAATTGTTCAATTATTAACAATTACTTATATTTTAAAGAAGTATTTGTCTACTTTTGTAAAAAAGAATTAGTTTCTTAAAACATTAAAAATGTTTACTGTAAATTAAAAATTTTGTCAGAGAAAAACTTTCTATATTATTAACTCAATATTAGAAAGTTAATTTATCCAGTAACGTATTTTTGTTTTTTCTGTAAATTTTCGTTCTTTTTAAATTAAAAAAAAAATTTCTTTTTTGATATAACGCCACCTTTTCCTTATTTTATTAAAGTCTCTGACGATCACTTCGGAATTGAGTTTCTTTATTTATCACCCATAGTGAACAATAGGTGGCCATCATGCTTCTGCTACTGCATTTTTTAAACTGCTCAAAATCGGATCAATTTTGCTTTCCAGTGACAAAATGTGACCCGTGTTGCATGTGTGACTGGCGATGAAACTCACCACCAATGGCAATTTATTAAGTTGTACTACCTGGAATAATAAAAATTTGTATTAGATTTTCCTGTCAATTGTTTCTGAAAAGAAATTTCGTTTTTTAAATTCTTGAAAAATGTGAATTTTACTCGTATTCTATAACTTTTGATCATAATTGAGTTTCTGCAATCATTTGTAACTTCTCCAAAATTAAATTTTTTCCAGTACTTTAATAAAAATCTCTGACTTTTCACTGACCAATTCTACTCTCCCTGACTTTTTCCTGAATTCCCTGACCTGTGGCAACCCTGTTGTTGTTTGCAAACTAAATGTTGTGAAACACTTGTCAATTATTTTGAAAAGAAATTTTATTTTTTAAAAAACTTAAAATGTCAAGTTCATTTTAATTTTTTTCACTCTCCAAGTGTTAAAAATTGTAGCTTTTACATGAATTTTAATTAAATTCGTAATTAAATGAGTGTATTTAGGTAAAAAATCGAATTAATATTTAAAAATGAAAATTGTCACAACCTTATTGTATAAATATAGAAAAAATGCCTGTACAGAAAAAAAAGTTGCTGTAAAAAATGCAGAATTTTATAAATAAATAAAATACCTGGTAACTACTGTACATACAGATGACACTTTTATTTTTCCTGAGACCCAGTTTACTGCCTTGTTCAGTGGCCATAGTGAAGGTGGAAAGAAAATTTGTTCGCATACCTAATTCAGGTGCGACTTCATTTGCCACTGATAAAACGGAAACTCCGTCTCTATCTGTTATTAATATACTGTAGAGACCGTCAACACTATTTAAAAGTTCATGTAAATATTTCTTCGTCTCCTTAAAAGAAAACAAAAGCAACTTTGTTATTGTAAAACATAACCTCAAATTTTCTAACATTTACTTTTCAACACTAAAGACACAATTTAAATACTTTGAAAACTCAACATAATTTCCATACTTACTGCCGTCATTTTCTTCACTTCTTTTTTGTTAAACTTTTAAAAATTCCTTTCTTAATTTTCATATAAAAAAGCATAAGATTTTTCCGATTTTTCCTGCGATCTGCTTTTGACAGGTGATAAAGGTGCACTCACAACACTCCATTTTGAACAAGTCAAGTCACGACGAATTTGATTCGCTGTCCATACGAGAAAGAACCAATAAAAAGTGAGCTAAGACTAGCGGGAAATTTTAAATTTCCTCTTCGAAAAACTATTATTAATATTATAAATTGTCAATATAATAAATACAATAAATAATATTATAATATTAATTTATAATGAACAATAAAAGAAAGAATGACAGGAAAATAAATTACGAACTATTTTACAAATATTAAAAACTTTAAAAAACGAAAAGAAAGTATTCGGCGTAAATAAGTATAAAAAAAAATTGTAAAAAGGAGAGGGGGCACCCGGGTTTGAACCGGGGACCTCTCGATCTGCAGTCGAATGCTCTACCACTGAGCTATACCCCCAGATGATTTTCAACTCTTCTAAGACTCTCCTATAGGTTACTTTCCCTTTTCAAGTTCATTAGCATAATTCATTAGCATAATTCTACAAAAAAAAAACTACTACTTAAATTGTATTATTGAAATTCTCATAAAATTCCAATTTTAAAAAGTGTTACTCAAATAAAATATAAAAATTTGTGACTTAAATTTTACAGATTTTAACGAAATTACGATATTTATTAAGAATTAATTAATTAATTAATTAAAAAAATTATTTATCTACCACAAGAGGATTTTAATTATTAAAAAATTAAAATTGATTAAAATATATATAATAAATTTTATCAAACTCTACAGTGGCGGGAAAATTTGAATTTTCAAAAAATGCAAATTTCTATTTCTTTTCAAATAAATAATTAAAAATTAATTAATCGCATTGCTTAATTATGATAAAGAGCTGAGGGATAAAAATGGTTCGATATAATGTACGCCCCTGAGGTGGTTGATGGTTTCTAAGCAACCCTTACAACTTACAAATTAACTGGTCTAGTCGAGGGATGTTGTCATCAGTGCGCGTTTCACCCTCGTGAGGAGTGTTTCATAATTTCCCTCTTTTATTTATGAATCAAACCTCGTGGCTAAACATTGAAAATTTATTATCAAAAAATTTTGCAATGAATAAAAAGTCAAAATATAATTCATCAGTCACGAAATTAATTCAAAATGATATTTCCTAGGGCTGCGCCTCAAGGACAAAGTAAGTTTTATTATTTTTATTTTATTACTCTCAAAAAAAAAAAAAAAAAAAAAATTTCCGACAAATTTATTTACTATCAATATTAGCAATTAAACAAAATCAATTATTAAAAATAAATATATTACGATTGCATGTAATTTAATTTTTCAATAAAAATAAAAATTGAATAATTCTTTTACGGAGAAAATAAATTAGCATAAATTTATTTTCACTTTGAAATATGCAAATTGCAAAAAAAATACAATACACAAAAAAAGTCTTTTCCTACAGTAAATCTATTATTATTAATTAATTAATAAATAAATAATTATTTATTATTTAGAAAACATAATAATAAATAAATAATTATTTATTATTTAAGAAACATAATAATAAATAAAAAATTTGAATAAAATTATTTTAATATTGCACAGAAACAGATATATCGAAATTTCGATTTGATTTTATCTTTTTTATTGAACAGTTTGTAAAAAAATTTTCTGATATAGAGAAAGAATTTACAGAAATTCAAAATTATTATTTATTCGTTTTAGAATTCTTAATGATGATTGCTGGAGAAAATTTTTTTTAAATTACCATTTTACTGAATTAAATTAATATCAAATTTTATTTATTACTGTTTAATTATTCGACAGTTTTTATTATTGAAGAAGTAAATTCCTTAGGAATGAGTAAACACAAATAAAAACCCCATTTTACGCTAATAACAGTAATAGAAAATAAATTTTTTATTCGAGTTGATATAACAATGACAGTGACAGTGGGAAAAAAAAATGAAAAAAGCAACAAAATAAAAGAATTTTCTTTAAGGTCAAAAAATATTTGTTTTTAAAAAAGCTTTTTATTATATTTATTATTTTTATTGCAACAAATTTTATTATTATTTTTTATTTGAAAAAAATTTAATTTTTATAGAAATTTTATTATAAAAAATGTAATTTTTATAAAAAATTTAATTTTTAGCAAAAGTTTATTATAAAAAATTTTATTACTATCAAATGTTAACTATCAAAAATTTATTTTAAAAAATTCAATTATTATCAAAAGTTTATTATAAAAAGTTCAATTTTTATCAAATGTTTATTATAAAAAATTTAATTACTATCAAATGTTTATTATAAAAAATTTGTTATAAAAATTAAATTTTTATCTAAAATTTAATATAAAAAACTTAATTACTATCAAATGTTTATTATCAAAAATTTGTTATAAAAAATTAAATTTTTATCTAACATTTATTATAAAAAATTTAATTACTATCAAATGTTTATTATAAAATGTTTATTTTAAAAAATGCAATTATTATCAAAAGTTTATTATAAAACAATTCAATTATTATCAATAGTTTGTTAGAAAAAATTCAATTATTATCAAAAGTTTATCTCGAGTTTATTACAAGAAATTTAATTATTATAAAAAGTTTATATTACAAGAAATAAAAATATTAAAAATATGCTAGAAAAAATTGTATAAAAAATTATGCTATTTAAAAATTTATTTATTTCATTTATTGATTTATTTCAATAAACAAATAAAATAAAAAATAGTACAAAAAAATTTATACATATTTAATTCTCCTAAGAAAAATTATTTATATTTTCAGTAAAATGAACAATATATTTGAAAAAAATAAAAAATTTTTTATTAAAATAGTAAAAAATTAATATTATTATAAAATATTGTTTTTATTTATTTATTTATTTATTTATTTATTCGGTATTTATTAATATCACGCTATTCTATTATATAACAATTTTATTTTATTTTGAAAATTTATTTATTTGGTTAAATAAATAAAAAATATTTTTAAAAAATTAAAGTAAAGTTTTTTAAAGCAAAATCAACGAATGTCTTTAAATATTTGAAATTCGACTAATTAAAATTCCCAAGAATCGAGAAAATTGAACTTTTTAACTGGGTAATAAAGATTCACGTGTGAATTAACGATTTTCACTCATTGCCGTTACACTAACCCCGTGAAATCGTTCATTATATGTATATAAAACGTTTACTCGAAAGAGTAAACACTTCTTAATACATATTTCGTTTCAGCGAGAGTTAAACAATTTTTTTCCAATACTTTAAATATAATTTATAGTTCCTTACATTTTTATTACCAAAAAGTACAATTTTCGAAAATAAAAAAATGTCTCCAGCAATCATATCAAGAATATTTCAATTTATTCTTTCAAAAAATATTGATTTCCTTTCGACGGATCTATTAATTTTTATTAAAAATAATAATAATTCTTTAATTATTAATTTCTGTTGCAAATAATAATAATTATTTTCTAAGTGTTTAATTTTATTAAAAATAATAATTATTATTTAAGTGTTTAATTTTATTAAAATAATAATTATTTTTTAATTATTAATTTCTATTAAAAATAAAAATTAGGTTCACTAAAAAAAATCTGATTAAAATTACCGCTTACTTGACTATTATCAATTAAATATTTTCTTGAATCAAATAATTTTTATTGAAATCAATTAAATTTGTTTCGAAAAGAGAAATTATTGGTTCAAATACAATTTAATTGATTTAAATAAAAATACTTCGATTCAAGTAAATATTTATTTGATAGACAAGTAATCAGTTATTTGACTCAAACACCTTTTCTTCAGTGTATTATTTTTTAATTATTAATTTTTACTAAAAATATTAATTAGAAAATTTCTAATTTCTTTTAAATTTTCTTTTTAATTCCGCACAGAAGAATTGTTCAATTTTTACAGTTTAGTAGGAAGAACTAAAATTATCTTTGGTCTATAATGCTATTTTTTAATTCATAAAAGTTAAGTTTATGAAACTTTTTAAAGAATTTTAAAAAGTTTTTGCAATTTATGAGAATTTCATTCATGCATATTCAAAGATTAGATTTTATAATGAATCGCAATGTCCTACGCTTAAACTTATTATTACGAGTAATCGATATGCGTTAAGTTTATATGCAAACTGTAGAACACTATTGTTTATTTATACAGTGCACGTTACTTTTTTCCTTCCGCTTTTTCATTCTTCAACCATCGCTAAATTTAATATTTTTTTTCTCGACTGAAAATTTCGAAAAATTCCAAATTATCGAAAATGTAAATTTTCGACAATTTGGAATTTTTTTTTCCAATTAAAGAATGAAAAAAAATATCCAAAAGTTAAAAACAAAAAAAATTATAAACTAGAATTTGTTTTTTATTTTCCTCTACATTATTCTTTTCTTGAAAAGATTTATTTTGAGAAAAAAAATAATTTTAATATGAAAAATATTGTCTACGCATAAATATTATTTTTGAATACGAGAAAATGTTATTTTGCATTTCATTCTCATTCAGAAAACATGAACTCAAAAGTTGGAGCAAAACTTTTACGGTGGCGTGACACCTGACGGGCAAATGCTTGAAAACTTAGATAGGCCTATTTAAGAAGCATGTGTTGGTTTTGTGTAAATGCAAGTCTGTGAATACAAGATTGAGGAAACTAGAGTAACATGTCTGCGAAATGAGGTGCGAGTCACAAATTCTCATTTTATGAAGAAAAAAGGAAGAGAGAAAAAAAATATTCCCGTTGAATATATATAAGTATATAATACCACTACTCAATTTTCATCAATAACTGCACTGCAGAATCATTTAATTAATTTTTTTTCTCAAATTATTAATTAAATTATCTAGATTTATTAATTTTTTTCTCAAATTATTAATTAAATTATCTAAATTAATTAATTTTTTTTCAAATTATTAATTAAATTATCTAAATAAATTAATTTTCTTTCTCAAATTACAGGTTTCGTACTCGATACTAATTAATTTAATAAAAAGTATCTTAAAGACAGAAAAAAAGAAGTAGTAAAAAAGTAGCTATCGAAAAATTAAACTTGACGCTACACAATTTTTTTTATAATTTCTTAATTACATTTAAAAATAGAATAATTTTTTAAAATGAATATTTAAATACCTATTTTTTGTTAACAGGAATTTAAATATTTTGTTTTATTCAATTCTAATTCAATTCTTATTATAAACTTCCACAAGAATTCAATTATTTAAATACAAAAATAAATTTATTGAATAATTGCGAATATTTCTTAAATTTGAATTCTTATAATGAACTTTATCAACATTTTTGAAAATAATTGAATTTTTAAGAAGAATTGCATTACAATTTTTGATAATAATTAAATTCATTCAAGAAATGTAATTAAAAATGAATTGAAAAATAATTATTACACTCTAAGAAAGAAATTATATGAAATTTTTTCAAATAATTGAATTTTTTCGAAGAATTTTATTCAAGTTTTTAAGAATAATAATTGAGTTTTAGCGGCATTAATTTAAAATTATATTAAAAATAATTGAAATCCTGCGATTAGTTTTATTAGGTACTTATGAAAATAATTGAATTTTTCTCACCGAACTTTAATAAAGTTTTTAAAATAATTGCATTCTTGAGAAGAATTTTAGAAAAATTCTGTTAAAGAAATGATTTTTTTCAAAAAATTTTATGATAATTGTGTTTTAAATAATTGAATTTCTTTGAAAATTGTATATTATTTATAAAAATAATTGAATTCTTTCAAAAAATTTTATTAAAATTATATTGGAAAGAATTCAATTATTATAAAGAATTTCATTAAATTTTTTTTAAGTAATTGAATTCTTTCAAAGAATTTTATTAAAATTTTGAAGAATAGTTGCATTTTTCGCTGAATTCATTTAAAATTGTATAAAAAATAATTGAAATCCTGCGATGAGTTTTAATATTTTTGAAAATAATTGAATTCTTGCAACGGTTATTATTAAAACTTTAAAAAATAATTTAATTTCTGAGAAAAATATTATTACTTATAAAAATATTTGAATTCTTGCAAAGAATTTTATTCAAGTTTATAAAAATAATTGAATTTCGGTGAAGAATTTCATTATTTATAAAAATAATTGAATTTTTGAAAAGAACTTAGTTAAATTTTTTTTAAATAATTGAATTCTTGCGAAGAATTTTATAAAAATATATTTAAAGAATTGATTTTTCTCAAAAAATATTCTCAATTAATCTCTTGATCCTTGTGGCTTAAGGTCTCTTAATCTCTTAATTCCTTATGATTTTAATAAATTAATAAATCTCAATACATTTCTCAAAAAATATTAAATTAAAAAAAAACATTTTTAGTCCATTACATCGTGTAGTTCAATATTAATTTTATGATACAAAGAAAACTTTCTTTTCATTCATTTTCGTTTAATTTTTTCCTGGAAAATCGAGACTTTTTTTTTTAAAGCAGCCTTGTTTCCTAATCTCAATCTCAATCAATTCCTCACAGACCTGAATTTACATGTCGCAAAAGAATTCAATATTCCTTGCACTTGACAAGTTCTGACCTTCTAAACATTTAAAGCTCACTTCCTAGAGACTCCGGAAGTCTCTCTTAATTAGCATTCACCAAATATTCATTAGAAAAAACCAGGTCAAAATTTTTTTCCACTTTTCCATTTGACGCGAATAATCAATTACTTGAATATTATCAACAGCAAAAAATTTTCTTTTTATAAAAATAATTATACTTATTTCAAATTTTTTTCCAATTCTCCGAAACTAATCAATTACTTGAATGTTATCAAAAAAATTTCTTTTTGTCAAAAATAATTATTTGGGTCAATTTCTTTTCACTTTTCCATTTGGCTCGAATAATCAACCACTTGAATATTGTCAAAAAAATTTCTCTTTATCAAAATAATTATTTTTGTCAATAAAATTGTATTTAATGTCAAATTAATATTTAATGTCAAAATAGTATTTAATGTCAAAATAATATTTTATTTGAAAATAATATTTTATTTGATACAAGTAAATAATTATTTCGATCAAATATTTGATTATAATCAAGTAACCGTTTTATGGGATCAAAAGAAAAGTGGAAAAAAGGGAAAGACTATGATAAAAAAATTTTTCCAAAGAGATAATTGAAGGTCATAGGAAAAAAAATAATAAATGATAATCGACCCAAATGACGAGGTCACGTGGAGGATCCTCTGACGAGGATATAAATTCAAACGAGTCAGCTGACTAGAAAACCCCTAGAGTGTGCCAATAAATCGAAGAAAGCGACTGCCATAAATTAAAGTTAAGGAAGTGTTTATTTTTTGACACGAGACGACCTTGTCGTGAGATTTGCCATTAGAGTTCTTTATCGGAACGATAATGTTGTGGCAGTCGGTTTCTATGGTATCCAAGTGACCTGGTCAATTTTACCCACGTGGTCAGTTAAAACCGATATGCCCGCGTTTAAAAAAAAAAAAAAATCAAGACTCGAGCTTTCTCTCAAGATTCCAATTTAACATTTAGTTGCTTTTCCCTTCTGTGCTCGATTTAACATCTAAGATTATCGCGTAATACACGCCAGACGCTTTATATATTCAAAGAAGGAGGTCAACGCCGTCGACTACTCACCTGTCATGCGATAATCAAACAACAATGTCCTCTTTTCATTGTTTCTTTTCTTCTTCTTCTTCTCTTTTTTTTTGGGTTTTTTAAGCGCTGACCCAATTTAGATGCCACTGTGGATGAGGGAAGCGATGATACTGTTCAAAGGATGGTATCGAGGATGCCTGTTGGTGTTGATCTAATCAGACCACGGTGCCATAGACGGGCATGGACACTAAGACTCCGTTGATTCCGCAGAAACAGCATCCGGAGAGATCACGTCCAAAAAAGCAGGAACGCGCAGCCGATGTGTCCTTGCCCCCATTGACACCGTTTCCCAATCATCGTCCGAGAGCAAAAACCTCATGGAATTCTAGTCCGCCCAAGTCGCATCCCCTGGGATTTCAAGACTCCCTCAAGAGAAGACCCTACAAGTAAAGAAAAAAAATGAACCTGAACAGAATTTTTCCAAAAATATATTTTCTTTTTCGTTTTCTTTTCTTTCATGAAAAAGGAAAAATAAATTCAAAACTACACCTTTTTTTCGTTCTTTTCTTTAACGAAAAAGAAAATTAAATCTAAAAATATACTTTCTTTTTTGCTTTCTTTTCTTTAATGAAAAAGGAAAAATAAATCCAAAACTACCAATTTTTTTCGTTCTTTTCTTTAACGAAAAAGAAAATTAAATCCAAAAGTATATTTTCTTTTACGATTTCTGTTTTTCAACGAAAAAAGAAAATTAAATCCAAAACTATCTCTTCTTTTTTTTCCTTTCTTTAACGAAACAGAAAATTAAATTATTATTTTACTATCAATTAAAATTTAATTTTAATCATTACGATTTATATCCTTTCAAAAGAGAATTAAAACAATTTTCTTAAATTAATTTCTAATTTACTGATTTTAATTTTCACAATATTATTTTGCATTAAAAGTTCTGTTTCTTAGTAGAATTTCTAAAAAGAATATTTTTTAAATCGCCTGCCTGATTCGTGTGTACTAATTATTGCGTGTTAATTTTCCCTTTTGATTACTCACGGCTCTATCATAATTCGTCAGACTCCAGTTATCGTTTTCCATATTGTGTGTTATCTACAAAATACAAAAATGAATTAGAAATTGTTATAAAAATATATTTAACTATTTATATAAATATTTATTATTTAATAGATTTCTAACGAACTTATATTAGTTACCGAATTCAATTTATTCTGCATTATTAAAATTTACATTTTGTTGCAGAAGAGTTCCACTTTTATATTTGCTACTTGATATTAAAATCTTTTTAAAATAAACGTTAAATTTCGATACATCATCGAAACAATTAATAATTGAGCAATTAATATTACTCAAATAATTAATATTTGAAAAGAACTTCAAAATTCGAATTTTACTCAATTTGAAAAAAATTACAGAAAAATTATTTTTAAATATTGAAAATATATATTCACTTTACTATCTCAATAAAAATTTTTTCTATCATTTATTTATCTTGTCTCATTTATTGTCTTTTTTATATTTTATGTACTTTATATATTTTATATTATTATAATTTTCTTATTAATATTATTATTGTATCATTATTTTATTAATTACAATTTTATTAACGGAATAAACAAAATTCCAAAGAAATAATAAAATAGGAAAAATAATTAATAAAAATGAATAAGACGCTTTTTTAAAATTACAGGCCTCGGATCAACTTTAAGGCGCAAAAATATCGTTTTAGTCGACTAAAAAAAAACAAAACAGTGTTTATTTCATTCAGTGTTGTCACAGAAATTTAATTTTGTATTTCCTTTGGTCTTTCACTGATTTCTAAATTCAATAATTCAAAACTTCAATAATTTTATTAAATAAATAATTAAATACCCCTGTCATTTATTTTTTAATAGAAAATAAAATTTTCTAAATTTTAATTTCAATTTCGAATCGTCTTAAATTCAATTACAACTTCTAACCCTTCTAAAATCCAATTATTTCATAGAAGTTTTAACTAAACTTCTTCTCTAAATCAATTATTTTAATAATTTTCAGAATGCTGCTCGAAAATTCAATTATTTAAATACAAAAATTCATTAACTTTAAATAAATTAATTGAAATTTAGTAAAATCTTTAAAAATAATTGAATTAAAAGAATTTTCAATAAATAATAAATAGATAACTAAGAAATATTAAAAGAAATGTTTTGGAAGAATTTTAATTAGTTCCCTTTTGAAAATAATTGAATTTTGTAAAATAATTCTCGAAAAATGTTAAGAAATAAGAAAAAAGATTTTGAAGAAGTTCAATTACAGTTTTTTTTGGGGAAATAATGAAATTTTTTAAAAAATATTTCCCGAAAGAGTTAAGAAATAATTAAGTTATTGAAGATTTTTAATTACAGTTATTTTGAAGTCGAGAAAAAGTCGCATTTTTTAAAAAATGAATCGAAAGAACTCGCCTTTTTTTAAAATATGTAGTAAAAAAAAATTAAAAGATCATACTATCCGAGGCCTGAAAACACAAAATTTGTAAACTAAAAGTCGTTATTACGAATTTTAGAGTCCTTCAAATCGGAGCAACACCTCTTATGCATGCATGTCAACAGGGCGACAGAACGCGTGTTTTAAAACTCTTAAAAGAGCAAAGTGAGACAATTGGTTATCGAGATCGTACCTTGAGAAGTGCTCTTCATTATTGCATGGATGCTGGAACTGGTGGTGCCGTCGCATCGGCGGCACCCGAATTGGTCAATCATCCCGACTCTGAAGGACATACGCCTTTACATCTCGCTGTTATTGCTGGCGATACACAATTGGTCGCTGTTCTTTTGGCGAACGGTGCAGACGTTAACGCCAAAGACTTCGAGGGGCACAGCGTTCTCCACTGGGCAACTGGTGAGTTCCAACTTCTAAAAAAAAATCAAAAATTGTTAATCTATTATTATTAATAAATAATTTTATTATTATTAAGATTTTTATTTGTAATAAATAAATAATTTCATAGACGAGACAAATATACTTTTATTTAGCTCATATAAATTATATTTGGTTAGAATAAAAATTTTCTCTGGGTGTAACAATTCATTATATTTTCTAATAATATCTATTATATTTTAGAACTATAATATAGATATCATATTTTATAACAGTAATAATGAAATATATCAAGATTATTACTGTATAAAATTATTGTTTGTTTCATAATATAAATTGGATTACTTCTCTATTTTTCTTTTCTGCTATTTCGATTCACGTGAAACTTTTTCGCTTAGATAGGAAACAAGATTGGACCGTTATCAGTTTGTAAAATGAGAGCCTTCCCACAAGTGGCAGCCAATTTTTCCTCGACTCCGCAAACTTTGTCTTTTCTTATTTCAACTGCAAACATAGAAACAGAATAGTTAAACATTCGTTTAATTCTACCGAATCAAAATTATTTAATTAAATTAATTCAAATTAATTTTTACTGTTTACTTAAAATAGTAAAGATAATAGTGTTTTCTCTGTTAACAAAAAGTATCACTAATTATTTTTCTCCAGTGAAATAATTATTATATTAATTATTATTTTAACTATTATAACTTGGAAATTTTTATTTTCAAAATTTATATTTTCTTGAATATTTTGTACATAAATTAACCCAATTTAAATAGACACAAAAAAAAACTAAAATGAAGGGCGAAATATTGACCTATTTCTTTTTTCGTTGGTATTCTTATCGAGAAGGAAAATCAGGAGAAAGATGATTTTAATATGCTGAAGGACGAAATATATTGTCATGAATTTTGAAACAAGTTTAAATACTTATGGGCAAAGGTAATCTCTCTTTCAAGATCTTAGACAGGAAGGAGGTTTGATACCTAAGTACAAAACAGAATGGAAAACTGACCAACTAAGGTCAGTGGGTCAGTCAAGTGACGTAACACTCGAGACTTTATCGCACACGCAATTGGATAATGTCCAGATTTTCCCTATGATTGACCAACAAGCGTTATGCTTGACCACCAAACATCGAATAGATTCAGATTCACATAAATTCTTCTTTAATTAATTCACTTTTTAACCCATATTTCTTTTCGAAAGATAATCTCATTTTTTCTAGTCAAATTGGAGACAAGAGTCAAAGAATTAAAAGTTCAAATAAAAAAAGGATTTAAAACTCCTGAACTTGTTGAATTAATTTTCGTTTGAAAAATAGTTTAATAAATAAATTAAAATTTCAATCTCTAAATTTTAATCAAATAGAAATTAATTTCAAAAGAAAGTTAATTCAAAAAAACTATTAAATTCTTGAATTACTGAATGCAATCAAAATGAAATATTACATTTATAAACTTTGTAATTTATTAATTTCTTTTGCTGTTGAAGCAAAGTTACTGTAATAAGAATATAATTTGCAAAAGAAAGAAATGACTTTCGTTCATTTGAACGTTCAGAACTTTTACGAATTATTAAATTGAACAACGAATTCTAATTAAAATAATGAATCCCAATTACAATAATCAATTTAATTCAGTTTAATTATTATAAAATATTTTTTTTAATTTAGTGACTGAAGGAATTATCAAATTTTAGTTTGCGGAGAAGCAGAATGTGTGCGATTGGTTCTGGCGGCTGGAGCAAGACCATCAACTCCGGATTTAAGAGGAGGATCTCCTCTTCATTATGCTGCCCAGTGTTGTGGAGCTGCAGTAACTGCTGAGCTTTCAGTTCCGAAAAAAGTTGGCCTCAAGGTATTTTTTCACAGCCTAAGAAAGTAGTTTTCCAAACTAATATTTTTTTCCTGCAACTTCTATCACAAAAATGTATCGAGGAAAATTTTCAGTCATACACCAAGCAACAAATAGGTTTTTTTTAAATTACTTAGAGGTAATTTAGTTAATTAAATTTTAAATTAGATTGGAGAAAACATGAAAATTAACAAATTTAATTTTTTACAGGTTCTTCAGACTCTTTTGGAATTTGGATCAGACGTGAATGCAAAGGACGAGGACGGAAGACAACCAATTTTATGGGCAGCTAGCGCCGGTAGCGTCGAAGCAGTTCTCGCCTTAACCAGGTAACATTATTTATGCAATGATTAATTATATCCTTGATTTATGATCGAAACAAGTAGTTATTATTTTTTAAATTTTCCTTCCAAAAGGAATAATATTTCGTTTTATAGTGAACTATAAAAAACTATTAAATTTTTTCATATTTAGTAAATCTTATTTTTCCAAAAAAAATTATCACTTGTTCAGGCTTCGCACTTGACAATTAATTTTTATACATTATCAAAAAGTAGATTCAAGACTAAAAACTTACTACGTTTTTTTAAAAATAAATTTATTTATTTAATTAAAAATTTATTTAAAAATTTAATAACAAAAGTAATAAAAAGTAGCGTTTGAAAAATTGAATTTGATGACTGAAAAAGCTCATTTTAATAAATTTAAAATAACTTGATTCAGTTTAATAGTCTCCACCCTTCAGTAAAAAATCTAAAATTATCAAAAATTCGAAAAAATGAATTTCTTAAAATTCAAAAATTTCTCTTCTCTTTTATGGCATTTAGCTTTATTATTTTTAGGCTTTTGGAAAATACTTTAGTTATTTAATAGTCTCGACTCTTTGGCAAAAAATAAAAAATTATAGAAAATTATCAAAAAATCCAAAAATCCGAATTTCTTAAAATTCAACATTTTCTCCTCTATTTTATGGCATTTGGCTTCACTATTTTTGTGCTTTTAGAAAATACTTTACTTATTTAATAGTCTCGAATCTTTGGCAAAAAATAAAAAATTATAGAAAATTATCAAAAATTCAAAAATCCGAAATTCTTAAAATTCAACATTTTCTCATCTCTATTATGGCATTTGGCTTCACTATTTTTGTGCTTTCAGAAAATACTTTACTTATTTAATAGTCTCGACTCTTTGGCAAAAAATAAAAAATTATAGAAAATTATCAAAAATTCAAAAATCCGAATTTCTTAAAATTCAACATTTTCTCCTCTATTTTATGGCATTTGGCTTCACTATTTTTGTGCTTTCAGAAAATACTTTACTTATTTAATAGTCTCGACTCTTTGGCAAAAAATAAAAAATTATAGAAAATTATCAAAAATTTGAAATCCGAATTTCTTAAAATTCAACATTTTCTCCTCTATTTTATGGCATTTGGCTTCACTAATTTTGTGCTTTTGGAAAATACTTTACTTATTTAATAGTCTCGACTCTTTGGTAAAAAATAAAAAATTATAGAAAATTATCAAAAATTCAAAAATCCGAATTTCTTAAAATGCAACATTTTCTCCTCTATTTTATGGCATTTGGCTTCACTATTTTTGTGCTTTCAGAAAATACTTTACTTATTTAATAGTCTCGACTCTTTGGCAAAAAATAAAAAATTATAGAAAATTATCAAAAATTCGAAATCCGAATTTCTTAAAATTCAACATTTTCTCCTCTATTTTATGGCATTTGGCTTCACTATTTTTGTGCTTTTGGAAAATACTTTACTTATTTAATAGTCTCGACTCTTTGGTAAAAAATAAAAAATTATAGAAAATTATCAAAAATTCAAAAATCCGAATTTCTTAAAATTCAACATTTTCTCCTCTATTTTATGGCATTTGGCTTCACTATTTTTGTGCTTTTGGAAAATACTTTACTTATTTAATATTCTCGACTTTTTGGAGAAAAATAAAAAATTATAGAAAATTATCAAAAATTCAAAAATCCGAATTTCTTGAAATTCAACATTTTCTCCTCTATTTTATGGCATTTAGTTAAGATTTCAATTATTTCCATAGATAATAAAATTTATCGAAGAAATTCAATTATTCGCTCAAATTTTATGATAAAATTCTTTGCAAGAATTCAATTAATTTCATAAATAATAAAATTCCTCGAAGAAGTTTAATTATTCTCAATTGTTTTGATAAAATTCTTTGCAAGAATTAAATGAGTAAATAAATAAATCAGTAAATAGTATGTTTTAGTAGATGAGTGCGAAGCCTGCTTGTCTTTAAAAATCTTATTTTTTAAAAAAGAAAAATTATCACTTGTCTGAATATACATTTTTTCGATGCAAACAAAAAGGAGAAAAAAATATTTTTTTTTTACGACTTCTTTAATGAGAATCTGGAAGATCTTTGTTGCTCTATTATACTCATGAGTAGATTGCTTAAGGACATCCGAAAGAAATAATTTTCATGGAGGTAAAATTTACATTCAAAAGATTAGGAAGTTAATGACTACTGACCGCATTTTAGAGCCGGTGGTTCAGCCGCTGCGGGCGCCTCTGATAAGGACGGATTGACGGCTCTGCATTGCGCCGCCTCACGGGGTCACGCCAGGTGCGTGGAGGCTCTTGTTAATTTGTGTGGTTCACAACCAGATCACGTTGATGATAATGGCTGTTCGGCCCTTCATTATGCTGCGACACTAGGTCATGCGGATGCCACTGCTTTGCTTTTGAGATTAGGCGCTGACCCAAACAGACAGGATCGAAAGGGCAGAACGTACGTTTTTAAAATCAAACCTAACAATTAATTATTTAATTCTCATCACTTGATGCGAATCATCTCAAATCATCGTCTCATCATTATGAGAAAGTATTATTTTGTTTTATAAAAATATTCTTTGGAATATTCCAAAGAATATTTACATAAAATAATATTTTCTTATAATGTTAATAAAAATAGAATAATTATTATTAGTAATAAGACTAATAATAAAAATGGTTTTCATTTAAATAAAAAAATTGTTGCAGGCCAGCTTTGTGTGCAGCAGCGAAGGGACAATTGGAAACACTGAAAATATTATCAATTCACGGCGGTTCTCTTCATGCGAGAACAATAAGAGGAACGGGAATAGCTCACGAGGCAGTAGCTTCTGGTTGCGTTGAATTGGTGAAATGGTTGGGGAAAAAGCGCAAAGCTCTTCTCGACACTGTGACACAAGATGGAAAAACGCCTCTTCACGTTGCTGCCCTCCATGGCTATTTGGACGTTTGTAAAGTACTTTTGGACAACGGAGTGAAAATCAACGTTATTTTAAAAACCAGTAAAGGTAGTTCAATGACCGCCTTGGATGCCGCTCTCTATCGAGGAAATCGCGATTGTGCTAAATTAATTCAAATGCACGGTGGATCAACAGCCCAACATTTAAGATCACACAAAACTGCACCTTCCAAAGGTTCGATTTCAAATTCTTTCCATTTCTAACTTTCGATTCTAATCAAGAATTTTTAAGATCTTTCATTTTCATTTCCTCTTATCAAGAAATTAAAAAAAAATCTGAATAAAGAATTTCCTTTTCCTTTGAATTTTCAGTCTTCGCTGCAAAACTACGAGTTAAATGTCCCGATTCGAGCACAGAAAGTGACAGCAGTCCTCGACGAAAGTCCCATCGGCATCGTGATCCCGATCTTTATTACGAGGAGCGTTGGATCGAGCGGCGAACACGCAGAAGAAAAGGCAATTCACGTAAGCTCTCACGTAGGGACAGTCGAAGTTTCAGTGAAGAAGAACTTCGCCACTCGAAAACACAATTCAAAAAAGATCAGCAACGACGAGCTCTGAGCGAATCGGCCCGTTACAACAACGAGAATGAAACCGACGACGATTCATCGCCGTCAAGAAAACAATACACAAGGCCAAAGAGAAGCAAACACGAATACAGTGAATCGTGGACAGAATCAGAAACCGAGGACGATATTCTATCATCAAGTCGAAAAAGTACCAAAGAAACGAAAGGGGAAAATTTCCAAGAATCATCACTAAGTGATGACAGTCTCGAAGTCGTTATTGTCAAATCAATAGAGAAAAAATCCGAGAAATTAATATCAGGCCGTAAATCAAAGACTCCAAAAGAGAGTTACGAGGACAAGAAGATAATAAAATCGAGAAAAAGTTGCAAGAAGCATAAAACGAAAGACGAAACGGAAAAAAAGAAGAAAACGAAAACAGTCGAAATTGACGAATCGAGTGTTAAAAAAACGGAAAAATCTGAAGAAGAAGAAGAAAAAGACGTGACTGACACAACGAGTCACGAAACTGTCGAAACTGTCACTGTCACTGCAATGGTTCACAAAGATCAAGCACCTGATACTCCAAAATTAAACGAAGAACCCGAAAGCAAAAATAAAAAATCCAATTTAACCAAAACAGACCAAATTCTCCAAGAGGCGGACAAAATGCAAAAGGAACTATCAAAAAAAGTCGAGGAAATGGAAACAAAATCTAACGATTCACCAAAGAGTATGGAACAAATTTCCCAATCCGAAGAATCGGAAGAAGTTACCCATTCCACTTCGGAAACGGAAAAATCCCTGAAAATCGAAAACGAAAAAAAAGATAAAATTCAAAATTCCCCGAAAGAAGAAGAAGAAGAAGTCAAAAAACAAGACGAAGTGAAACAAGAAACAAAAATCGAATCAACAAAGAAAGAAATTGATTCTCACGAAGAATCAAAAAAGAAAGAAATTGATTCCCCCGAAGAATCCACCACGGAATCGAAATTAGAAGCATCAAAAAATGATAATCAAGAAAGTGCAAAATCGAAAAAGTCAAAAACTCGTGACGAATCTCAAGCAAAGAGTGACAGAAAACAAGGAACAAAGGAAGAAAGAAACGAAAAACGAAAAAGTGCAAAATTAGAAAAAGAAACAGTTTCTCACTTACCGATCAAAACGGAACCAAACACTTCGAGTACTCCAATTCTTCCGGAGAATAATCAATTCGAAAAATCCCGAGGGAAGGAGGTTTCCTCGCCGGAAACATCCAAAGCCGACAAGAAGCAATCTGAAATCAAAAGTAAGCCATTAGTCCATCAAAAAATAGAAAATCTATAAAAAAAAAAATTAATCTATCCCCTTTTTTACAATCCAGATCCAAAAATCCTTAAAATAGTACGTTTTATTTTTTACAGGCGCAACAACAAAGGTAAAAACAGAAGAGAAAGAAAGTAAGGATAATCAGACAGATAATCAACGTTTTATTGACGAAAGTTCGTCAAGTTCTCCAAGGTCTTCCAAATTGTCGATTAAATCGAGACCATCGACTGCCAAGTCCCGAAAATCGTCTCCAAAAAGAAAAAAGGAGGACAAAAGAACAACGTTCTTCAATGAAACGTCGGAAGAGCAAAATTCTGAGGATCAAAGTGCAATTGTGGCTGTTATCGAAAGTCCCGAGTGGGGAGAGGATGATGAAGATGATGAGGAGATAAGAAATGCAATTGGTGATGATGATGTTGAAAGAGATACGGAATTGGAAATTGATGATGGAGTGGGAATAATAAGAGTTCTACCCAGTACAAGTGAGGAGGAGACTCCACGAAATTTGGGAATTATGAAGAGACCTGGAACTGATACTCTACCACAAGTAATTTATTATAATTTGACTCATGAAATTATTTTTTTGCCTTTTTTCAAATCACGATTTTTATCAAGGTGGCACTACAAATTTGATATTTTTTAAAATATTTATTGTGCTATAATTTAGGGCTGATTACTGTCCAAATTAAAAAATTTACCGTCTTGTATTAAAAAAAAAAATTCTTACGAAGATTTTTACAAACAATTTTTTAAATAATTGAATTCTGATTGAAAATTTTATGAAAATAGTAGATATTGAAAATCATTGAATTGGGAAAAGTTTTTAAAAATTAAATTTTACAAAAAATTCTATTAAAATTTTTGAACGTAAATGAATGTGTGGAATTTTATTAAATTTTTTTAAAAATAATTAAATTCCTAAAAAGCATTTTCTTATTTATGAAATAAATTGAATTCTTGCGAACGATTTTATTAGAATCTTTTAAAATAATTGAATTTCCAAGAAAAAATGTGTTACTTTTAAAAATAATTGAATATTTGTGATGAATATTGTTATTCATGAAAATAATTGAATTTTACAAAGAATTTTATTAAAATGCCTCAAAATAATTGAATTGTCGGGAATAATTTTGTTATTTATCGACACAATTGAATTCTTTCGAAGAATTATTTATGTAAATAATTGAATTCTTGAGAAGAATTTTATTTAAATCTAAAAGAATAATTGAATTATTATTTTAAAAAAATTTAATTCAAATTGTATTTAAAATAATTGATTTCTGTCGAACTATTTTATTAAAATATTTGAAAATAATTGAATTTCTACGAAAAATTCTAATATTTTTGTAAATAATTGAATTCTTCGAAAGAATTTTAAAAAAATATTTTTTTAAATAATTGATTTTTTCGAGGAATCGAAATTAAATTTTTAAGATTAATTACATTTTTCGAGAAATTCCTGTAAAATTGTATTAAAAATAGTTAAAATCCTACGATGAATTTTATTATTTATGAAAATAATTGAATTTTGGATGAATTTTATTAATTTTTTTTTAAATTAATTGAATTATTTTGTGAAATTTTATGAAAATGATGGATATTGAAAATAATTGATTTTCGAATATTTTTTGAAAATAATTGAATTATTTTCTAAAGTTTTAACTAATACTCTTTTTTAAATCAATTCTTATCAGAATTCAATTATTTAAAAGCAAAAATAAATAATTCATAGAATAATTAATTATTTAAAAAAATTGCAACTGTTCCTCTTCATTGAGTTTTTGAAATTGGGTTTAAATTTTAAATGTTTTTAAAAAATTTCTACTGAAATTCTAAATCTTGATTTAAATCACAAGTTGTTAATCTATTATTTTCCAACTGAGTGGACAAATTACTAACACCCTTTTTAGACGGCAAAATTAATGAAACTAAATTCAGGTTAATCAAGTGCTAAAATTTCAATAGTCATGCAAATGTAAACAATCCTTGACTCAAATCTTTGGACTATTATAAATTTTACAGTACATCACTGATACCAAAAATAAATGACAATAATTACAATTTGTTAAATTTAGAAAATCGTTTATCTATAAATATCAAATTCGTCTATGAAGTCAAATATAAATAAATATAATAAATATAAATAAATATAAATAAATATAAATAAATATAAATAAGTAGAAATAAATATAAATAAATATAAATAAATATAAATAAGTAGAAATAAATATAAATAAATATGAACAAATAAAAATCTAATTTCGTTACAAATCAAATTCAAATTAAAAATATTTAGTGGAAATTCAAGCGAAAATTGTTTCTAAAATTAAAAGAGTAAAATAATAAACATTTAAATTAAAATAAAAGAACCTTGTGTAAATAACAATTTTTTATTTCTTTTGCAGGTTCTACGGGAACCTCAAGTTCGATTGACAAGATCGCAAAGTCCTCGGGAGGTGAGAAAAGAGAAGATTCGTCAGAAACAGAGGAAGGACAGTGGAGGAAGAGACAGTGGAATAGAGCCAAGTCCCAGAGTCTCTAGAATTCCCCGAAGAAATTTAAAATGTTATCCAAATACAGAGAAACAACAATCAATTAATATGGAAACTATAACAAGGGATGTGCAAATAAGTGTTCGACGTTATTATCTGGAGCGAAAGATATTTTTTCAATTGATGGAATTAAAGAGGCTTCAGATAAGACATGGAAAAACGAACGAGCATGTTTTAGTTAAACGACAAGTTAGTCAATTTTTACATTCATTGAATCGCTCTCTCTCAATGAGTACTTCATTTTTAAATTAAATTGTTCTTAATTAATAGTAATTTAAGTTATAATCAATATTAAATTAAATTATAATTAATATTAAATTAAATTATAATTAATATTTCATTAAATTGTAACTATTTAAAATTATAATTTAAATTAATGTTTCATTAAATTGTAACTATTTAAAATTACAATTTATATTAAATTAAATTATCACTAATATTTAATGAATTATAATTAACATTTAATTCAATTGTAAGTAATTAAAATTAATATTAAATAATTATTAATTTTCAGGTTGACAGTTTCAATAAAGCGGGGATGACTGGACCAACGCTTGGTGTAGTTAAATATGAAAAGCCATTTACTTTCCGGTTAGTGTTCAAATATTTTCTCTTCTCTACATAATTATTGTTATTTGCACTCGGTTTTCTATTTTGAATTAATTTTTTTCACTATAGTTTAATATTACTTGATTCAATTTATTTATTCGATTCTATTTGATTATTTGATTCAATTTGATTATAAGAATCAATTCAATTATTAGATTCAATTTGATTTGATTTAAATAATTGGTTACTTGGCTATTATCAAATAATTGTTTACTTGAACAATTTTCGGAATAATCTTTTTCTTCTTGAACGATTTTCTTTCAAATTTTTTAAGTCAATAATTTTGGTATTTAAAAAAATCATTTTAATTAACTCAAAATTAAATTAATTAACTAAAAAAATTTAATTATTTAAATATTATTCAATTATTATTCTTACTCGGTTATTATTATTATTATTATTATTATTATTATTATTATTTATAAAAAACCATTATTATAAAAGTAAATATTTAAGGCAAATATTTAATTTAAGTCATAATAATTAAGATTCTTTGAGAAAATAAATTTTTTCAATGTAAATATGAATTTTGAGATTGAATGTAATTGTAATTACAATGAAAGACATTTTTTTTAAGGGACTTTGAATCGTTCTTGTACGAGCAACTAAGACGTCTTCAGAAAAGACCAGCGACTTCTGAATGGTGCACAGAAGCAAAACAATGCACACAAAAAACTCATCGATGTCATCATGCCACCAGTGCCTACACATCAGTTCCAATTTACACATATCGTAAGTTTAATAAATTCGACACGAAACTAGAAGAAATTGCCGATTCCAAAAGTTCCTCCCCTAAAAATTAACTCTAATAATTCATTAAAAATTTCGTTCGCCAGTTTTTTTGAAGTAAATTTTCTTCCAGTAAATTTAATACCTAATAATTTAAAAAATTTTAATTTAAATAAATAAAACAATAATTCAGAGGTAAATGAATTATTTATGAATTAATTATCGAATTATTAATCCATTAACGAATTATTAATTAATTACTTATGAATTAATTATTAATTATTTACTAATTTTGAATTATTTATCAATTATGAACTAATTAGTATGAAGTAAGAAAAAATTGATAAATAAAGACTCACCATTATTTTTGGAGCGGCAATTTCAATTACGATGCATAGAATATTTGTTGTAATTGAGAAAACAACAGAGATTCTCCTTTCACTAGAGTTAGAGGCATCTTGAATTTTTGGAAAGAGTCAGTTTGCATAGTTTGATCCTAGATAATAATTGCAGTATGTGGAGGCGTCCCAGAACAAGGGGCGAGTCTTCTTCCGAAGATTGAAAGTCGAGGAAAGGGACAAATGACGGTAAAAATCCAATCTACAAAAAAGAGAAAAACATTAATCACAGAAAGCGAACAATTTCCCTTCAATTTTATAAATAAAAATAAAGAAATAAAATTTTAACAGATTTTATCACACAGTTAAAAATAAAACACTAAAACTGAGTTTTAGTATTATATTGATTTAGTTTCATTTTATTTCAATTCTATTTTAATTTTAAACTATTTTTAAGTAAGTTACAAATTTATTTTATTTTCATATAACAACTTTAATCTTTGTAAAGTATCAGATTTAAAATTTTTAAAAATTCACATATTAATTAATTAGTATTTAAAATTTTTTTTAAATTCTTCGCAGGAATTCAATTATTTTTAATAAAATTTTAATAAAATTTCCAAACAATCCAATAGATTGTCAAATTGTTCAAGTTTTTAAACAAATGTCGTTTTTCAATTTTAAACCAAAAAAATACATTAAATTTTAAAAATAAGAAAAACTTTTGACTTTTTTTCGTCCCTCTTTAAATTAAAAACAAAAAAATTGTTGTTAAATTAATTGATTTTCAATTATCCTCAAGGTGGAGGTGTCGCACGGAGAAGAAAAACAGGTGATTGCTCTTCCGGCTGAAAGACTGGATCGCACGAAGAGATATTTTGTTACATTCACGGTCAGGGGTGAAACGTTAGAAACAGAAAAACCTAAGCTGCCCAATAGCGCACAAAGAAATACAAAAAGTGTCTAAAAAAAAATAAAAATTATAATATGCTTTGTAAACGAAAAATTCCTCGTAAATATAAAAATTAAAGAATAAAAAATTATTTAAAATAAATAAAACTTTATTGTGCATAAATAGCTTTGTTTAAAAAAAGAAGAGAATATTAAAATGATAAAAATTTGTTAATCAAGACTACTTTATTTACTATCTATTCACTTAATAATCTAAAATTTTCTCCAATTATTTTTCTCTCGTTTCTCAACTCCTCTCTCAGTTTGAAATTTTGAATTATAATTCATAATTTTAATTTTATAAATTATTATTATTATTATTATTATTATAAATTTATAAATTATTATATTTATAATTCACGAAAAGAAATTAAATTCCTGTTATTAATTATTAATTAAAAAATAAAATTTTCCAAAAGACTATTTCGATATTAAAATAGGTTCGATTCGATTAATGCAGAAATAAACGAAAATGATAAAAAATTAAAGAACGATTAAAAGAACATTATATTTGAAACTATAAATATCCTGACTTATTTTAAGATTATAAGACCTTTATAAAAAAATAAATCACAAACGTCTATTTTTAAATCGCATTTGACGTGTTTTGATAGTTTCTGATTTAAAAAAACATAGTTACCTGAATATCGATTTAAGTGACGTAATTTCGCGCACATGAATCAGTTCCGTTCGCAGTATATAGTTAAAAAGGTGCTTATTGTTAGTTCCAAGACAGCAGTGAGTTTACAAATATAATGCACTTTGAAATTCATTTTTCAAATTTAAAAAGTCAAGTGCTAACAATGAAAGACATTTATCAAAAGATTTCTTCAAATTTATAAGGAAGACTCAAATAACGCATGGACAAATGGCTACAAGATAGAAAGCTCTGGCTATTTGGGAGCACTCTTCCTTTGCTTCCACGAAGGTAATTTTTAACTAACAATTGCATTCAATATTATGCAATTTAAATTTTTAATTTCTAAAAATAAATTTTTAAAATAAATTTTAAAAAGAAATATTAAATTATTTTTTACTTTAAATTTTTCAAAATTAAAATAGTTGTCAAACGTAACGCTTTCGTTTGCTTTTTTTCATTGTTAGACTTTGTTTAAAAAATTTAATTTTTACCCGAAAATGGAAAATTAAAGGCAAAATAAAAAAAAATAAAAAACAATATCCAGCAGAGTATAATTTTAATCTATAACTATTTTCGTAATCAAATTTCAAATAAACCCTAATTTTTTTGAATGTTATTCATCAAATTCAAATTGTCAATGGAAAATTTTATATGATAGGAATTTAATTTAATTAAACTCAATAACTTTAAAAAAATTAATTTCTAAAACAAAAGAAATAAATTCCAACACGTGATTATATACTTACCGAGCATGAATCGTCATTAATTTTTCTATATTCTGTAATCCATTAAATATGCATCATTCTCGGAGCAATATATTTGATTAAAATATGTGACCCTCTGTAAAAGTCGTTCAAACTCATGTTTTCTGACGAAGTATTATCGATTGTCAATAATCAAGCAACAAGCATAAAAATTCTACGTATGTCCAGTATTCCTCGGTATGTTCTCTGACAAGGTTCTTTTTATACGCAGACTAAATGAATTTCTTCTTTGGACTTTTGTACGTATACTTTCAAAAATTCTCATCCTCAGTTTCATCCGTTTTCCTAAAAAAAGACAAACACAAACAATGTCAACAAACATTAACAAAAAGAACGTAAACAGCATAATAAATAAAGTCTAAAAATTATTAGTTTTTTTTTTAATTATTTAAAAGAAAAGGAATATAAATTATTAATTAATTTCACTTAAGATTTCACGACCTTGACATTTTAGAATGAAACGAAAAGTTTGCGAAAGATGCATAAGCCGAAATTAAAGATAAAATTAAATAACTTTAAAAAAGAATATTTTTTGAAATTTATTCATTTGAATATTGAATTTTTTCTCAAGTGTACAAGAAAATAAACAAAATGAAGTTGTCAAATCAGTAAGAATTTTTGACACGTGAAGGTTAGTCTCTTTTAAGAAACTTTTTTATTATTTATTAAACTTATATTAAACATTATTAAATTTTTTCGACAATTTTAATTTTCTAATCCTTTTGTTTTTATAAAAAATTGTTTTAAATATTTCAAAAATGGTTAACGATTTACGATTTGCTCATTGCAAACAATGGATTCCCATTTGGTGAGACTTTAGTTTTTCGAAAATTAAACAACAAAATAATCATTATTAATTAATATAATTATTCGATATTAAAAAATTAATTATTAACATACTAAAAAAAAGATTCATTAAAAATTGTAATAATGAAGTGGAAAAAAATGATAAAAAAAGACTTAAGAAATTATTCATCGAAAACTAATATCTAAAGTGAAAAAAAATTATGAAAAAAGAAAATTAAATAAAAATAAAGAAATTAAATAAAAATGATCGAAAATTGTAATAAAGTGAGAAAAAATTTAACAGCAAAACTGTTTCATTTAATCTAAAAATTGATAAAAACTTTTGTGTAATTAATAAAAAAGCGGAAATGACTAATAATGTTGTTTTTTACTGGCTTTAAACTTTTTGATTAAAATAATGATATTGCGCTTGCGTATATCTACAAAATAGACAACCCCCTAAGGGAGCTTGACCCTTGGTCAGTGATGAGGATAGAAAACAGTCAGGCCTTCAGCTTACAAAGAAATAGAATGCTTTTTACTCAACAATTCACCCTGCCATGTCTTTCAAAATATAAAAAGTGTGTATAGAACAAAAAATCCCTTAGTCAAAAAAATAAATAAATAAAAAATTTCTCTCAAAAGTCACGTAAGACACATTAAGAATAAAAATTAATAAAAAAAAAATAAAAATTAATAAAAATTAAATAAAAAACCAAATTAAAAAATGTTAGAAAATAAATAAATAAATAAATAAATAAATTGAGAGTCAAAATGAATAGAAAACTATTTTATTAACAAACGAAAAAGAGTCTCTAATAAATTAAGAAACGTTTTGAAAATAAAATTAAAAAACAAAATTAATATTCATTGAGAGACAAAATAAAAATAAAAAAATAGTAAATTATATTATAAATAAATTAATAAGAGTTTCTAATAAAGTTGGAAACGTTTCGAAAATAAAACTAAAAAACAAAATTAATACTCATTGAGAGTCAAATTAAAAATAAAATATAAATAAAAATTAATAAAATGGAAAACGTTTTCAAAATTAAAAAACAATGCTTCCAAGAAGCAATAAAATTAATATTTAAGTATCAAAATAAAAGCGAAAAAAAAAATAAATAGAAAATTATTATATCAATAATGTAATAAAAGAGACTCTAATAGAATAGAAAATAAAATTAACATTTTAATGAAATAGTAAATAAAATTAATATATTAATGAAATAAAAAATTAAATTAATAAACTGACAAAATAAAAAATAAAACCAATAAGAGAGTAAAAAAAATTTTTTTTAATAATTAAAAAATTACTTTATTTTTCAGTTTAATAATTAAGAAAATAATTTTGATATGAATAATTTGAAAGTGAAACAATAAAGATCTGTATCAATTGAAAGTAAAATTAAAATATGAAAAACTAAAGAACTAAAAGGAAGAAAAATGATATGTTTAGAAAATTAAATACTCACTTATTAGGGTGAATTTCTTTTTTCATATCTAATTCAAAGTTGATTTTCATTTGGGATGAAATTTTAGGTCGCGTGCCCCAAGTAAGGCTATGGAAAGATATGAAAGACTGGCACGTCTTGGAGAAGGAAGTTATGGGGTTGTCTTCCAATGCAGAGACCGACAAACTGGCAAATTAGTGGCTGTCAAAAAATTTCAACAGACAGAAGATGATCCACTCATTAGGAAGATAGCTCTTAGAGAGATACGTCTTCTTAAGGTTCGTAAATCTCCTCAAATTTCTGCAAAAAAAAATAAAGAAAATTAGAAAATATGTACTTATTAAAATATTAATAATATTATTATTATTATTTATACAATGTTTATATATTCGGTAAATAGGAACTATAACTATTCGATTCTAAAATGAAATATTGTTGTAATATTAATATTAATAATAAAAATAAAAAATAATAATAAATATTATTATAAATGTAGATATCAATATTATTTATTTTATTTATTTATACATTCGTCTTTCTAGACATGAATATGAATACAAATCTCATTATTATTAAAATTCAACTTTCAATTTATTAAATTTTACAACGTGAAAAAACTTTTCGTTTATGATCAAATTGTTAAAAAATGCAAAAATACTCAAAACATAAATATTTATAAAAACAGATTTGAATTTCTCTCTCTACCCTTTTTTTTCTATCGATGTTTGTTTAAATTAAAAAAACATTCCTACTGTGAAAGAAAGAGCGTCAGGAGAAATTCTTAAGGGTCGTTGACCCAAACGAGAATCGGAAAATACCCCGAGACAGTTTCAATGAGTCTCGAGGGTAAAATTTTAGAAAACAATAAAAATCTTATCAGTCAGATCAAATTCTTTTTTGCAGTGGCATTTTTCAGAAAGAAAATTTTCCTTTGCATAAATTTCAGAGATATTTTGAAAAATCAACATACACACGAAAACCTTTAGAGAACTAGCCACTGGTCAATAAACGTTGTACGGTCAATATATCGCGTGCTAAGCTCCTGTTCTCGGTAATAATTCCTCCTCAAATCGACTCTTTAACAAAAAAAAAACACGTTGAAAAAAATCATTAAATTTTATGCCTTTCATATATTCTCTTTGTTAGTTTATTAATTTATGAAAAATTTAATTTTAATATTCAAACATAAAAAAATCAATTTCTGTATGACATGGAAATTTAAAATTTAGAAGAAAAAATGAATTAAGAAAGTTACTTTTTATCAAGAAAATTAACTTCTATTTGAAAAATAATTTTTCGTAAAATTTTTCTTAGAAAAAAGTATTCTATAATAATAGTAATAATAAAAATATTCTATCTTCACGTGAAGTTAGGACTTTTTGATTCCAAATTGTTTTGAATTTTTTTTTAAATTCCCGAAAATAGTTCCAAAAATTGAAACAATTAAAAGTTTTGTCAAATTTCATTAAAATTTTATATTTCAAAAAATGTAATTCAATTTTTAAAAGGAGAAGAATTATATTTCGTAAAATTAAATTTTCATTATATTTCAAAAGGAAAGTTTTTGCAATTAAAAATGTAAATATAGTAGTTATGCTATATTTTTGCAATAATCGTCAAAACAGTGATAAAAATTTCATAAATGAAAATGAGTGTAACGAAAGCTATTTAAAGAAATGTGTACATACAGAAATAATTCTATAACAGAGGAAATTAAAGTTTACATTGAAAATTAAAGCTTTTGACTATCGCCTTGAATAATGTGTGCATACCAGGAGAGCCTTTGACATTTTACTTTACAAACGCCAAGGATTCTTTTTTTGCTTATGCATATAATAAAACTAGAGTTGTTATATATAAAATCGCAACTAGAGATTAGAAAATTTACTATGGCTATGCAGATCTATTCATACCTACATCCTATAGAATTCGTTCTTGCAAGATAAACGATTTTATATATATGTGTACATATAATATGTATTTTTCAAGTACGTCATTAATGATCGCGTGCAGATTAAATTACAAAAAAATAGTGGACCTTTCGCGAATTAGAAAATGGAAAGAAGCCACAGAAGGTTTTACTTCTCATATTATATTCAACAAATCCTTCATTACTTTACTCCCCTTTCATTTTTCATGTCTTGATATTTGCATTTTCCATTCTACGAAAGGTATAAATTACAGTCTAATGACTTTTCATTTAAATTTTAATTTTCAAGATCGATTTAAATTTTTCTTGCTATTCTCAAATTAATCTATTAAAAATGATGTATGGAACATTATATTGAAAACAGAAATAGTTTTTTTGAATTTCTATAAATATTAATAATCCCGGATAAAAATAGTTCTAATCGAATTTATATCGATAAATTTACTATTATTAGATAAATAATTTATGAGAATAATTAGTTTAAAAAAAAGAGTAACTTGCTTATTAATTTCAGTGATCCTTTTGATCTCGATCATTCCTTTCCGGTTCTTTCGTCTCCTCTGGTTCAAATCTTCCCAAACCTGAAATAATAATATTCTGATTGTAAATTAATGTTAAAACTATCAAATTGTTAGTAAATTGAAATTAAATTTTTATTTTTACAGAATCTTAAGCATCCAAATTTAGTGAATCTAATAGAAGTCTTTAGGAGGAAACGGAAATTACATTTAGTTTTTGAGTACTGTGAACACACACTTTTGCACGAAATGGAAAAATATCCAAAGGGATGTCCCGATATAACGACAAAACAATTTACGTGGCAAATATTACAAGGTGTGGCCTATTGTCATCGACTTGGAATTGTTCACAGGGATGTGAAACCAGAAAATATTCTCCTCACAGCCGATGGAATTATTAAACTCTGTGATTTTGGTTTTGCCAGAATGTTAAGTCCTGGTGAAAATTATACGGAATATGTCGCAACAAGATGGTATCGAGCACCAGAATTGTTGGTAAGTTTTCTTTTTTGTTGAAATAAATTTATAAAATTTATAAAATTATAAAATTTAAATTTATAAAAATTCACAGAGTGGAAAATAATTTCTAAAATTAAAATTTTAAAACTCGAAATTTAAATTCAGAAATACTTCAAGGTTGCAATAAAAATTTTAATTTTTTTTCTCTGATTTCCAGACAAAATTTTGACTTTTTTCTGATTTCTGTAAAAAAAAAATTAAATTCTGAAAATTGATTTTAGGTTGGTGATACGCAATACGGTACGCCAGTCGATGTTTGGGCGATTGGCTGTGTTTTTGCGGAATTAGTAAGAGGAGAGGCTCTATGGCCTGGAAAATCTGATGTTGATCAATTGTACCTGATTAGAAGAACTTTAGGCGATCTCTTGGCGAGGCACATGGCTATTTTTCAGCAAAATGAATTCTTCGCCGGTGTTACTCTACCCACTCCACAGTCTTTAATTCCACTGGAGAATACACTTCCAGAAAAAGCCAGTACTCCAGTGCAGGCAGGTTTCACAAATTTCTCTCTCTAAAAAAAAGGCAAATTCGTTAGTAAAAATAGAAAAATTCCTACTGTAATTTACTGATTTTTAATTAATTAATTAAAATTGGAAACATTAAGCAAATTATAAATAATTACAAAAATTACAATTATTACTTATATTATAAACAATTTTTGTAGAAAATGAATAGATTTTCAGAAATCTCTAAGAAAAAACAACAAATTCGTTTGTCAAAATAGAAAAATTCTTATTTTTAAAGTAGAAAATATTAAGTGAATTAAAAACTATGAAACTCTCTGTGAATAGAGAAATAAATTTTTTTTGGCTTAACTATCAATAAACAGAAAATTCTTTTTTGACAGCAGATTGACTTTCTAAAAAAATGCCTAAATAAGGATCCAGAAGAAAGGTGGACTTGCGATCAACTTTTGCAACACATGTATTTTGAAAATTTTAATTTTCAAATGCCACACAGTGATCCGGATGAATTTGAAAAACTAAAAAAGTATCGCGAGCGATCTAAAGTGAGTAAGATTTAATACAAAAAGGTTTTTTGTATTTTATTTTATTATCGTTTTAATAAGATAAATAAATAACTAACAAAATAAAAAATAAGTAAATAAAATGAACAAAATAAAGAAAAATAAATAAACTAAATAAATCGCAATAAAATACAATAAATAAACATTAATGAATAAATTAAATAAATACTAAATAAATAACTATATAGAAATAAATTTAACTTTTCTATGAATTCCTTTGTTACTTACTTAATTATTAATTTTTCAATTACAGAATGCAAATTACAATCAAATGGTGCTGCCTCAACTTCCTAAAGCTGTGCTTAATCACAATCAAAGTGAAATCCGTCCACGAAGCTCATCATTGCATCAGCAATCCTTCGATCATTTACCGACTATAAGAGGCTAAAACAGTCTCAATTGTACATTTATTGAAAAAAAAATATACATATTATATATATATTTCCCTAAACATAAAAAATATTTCGACTTTTACGCTTCTTTGTAAAAAGTTGTATGCTTTCGTTAGGAATAATTGCGAAAATCGCAACCTAACATTTGAGATTCATCTCTTTTTATTTATAACTATTTATTTACGTCGCTTTACTTTCTGAGTGATAATAAATAAATTTTTATACAAAATAAATCTCTACCTTTTTTACCTGTTGCCTTGAAAAAAAACAAAATACAATCAAAAGCAGAGTACAATTTAAAAAAAATACAAACAATAGCAAAGTTCAATTAAAAAAATACAATCAAAAGAAAATATAAACAAAAACTAAATTAAAATAATTTTAAATTAAATAATAAAATAATCAGGGTGGTCACTTCATGTCTGAATCAATTAATTTAAATAATTTTCCAAAAATTCTTCTAGAATACAATTATTTAAATACAAAAATACAATTTTTTATAATAATTGTAACCCTCCATAATTTTTTTAAAAAGTTATTAAGGTATATTTTCAAAAAATTATAAAGAATTTCTTACAATTAATTTTTAATAAATATTTTAAAATAAATTTTTGAACAATAATAATAGTTTTTCAATTTTGAAAAATTTCCAAACAAATAAAATTTGGTAAAATCTTTTAAAAATAATTGAATTTAATTAAAAATTTTGAACATGATTGTATTCTCCAAAATGTTACTATTTTTGGAAATATGTAATTGAAAATATTGAAAATATTAAATTACAAAAAATTAGAAGCTATAATTTTCATTAAATTTTTATTTTTAAATTTCTTAAGGACTTTTCATTAAAATTTTTGATAATTCAATATTATTTTCAAAATTAGCAATTAAAATTCTTCAAAAGTTGAATTTCAAAAATTGTCTCAATTTTCTTAATTTTTCTGACAACAAATTTTTTTCCTGACATTTCCCTGATTTTACTGACAAAAATGTTGTTTCCCTGACTTTACTGACATGTGGTCACCCTGATAATAAATTAAATTTTAAAAAATGAATGTGAAAAAGAATTTGTCTTAAATTAAATTCGTAATATTCATTATTCAAAATTGTATTTTGCAGTGAAACAAAAATTTTAAATATAGAATTCAGTAACTAATTTCCAGCATCATTAATATATTTATTCAAGGCAATCTAGCGAACAACTTTCATTCATCTCTAGACATATAAATATATGAGGGGGATTTTTTTTTCTTATTACACTTTAGTAAACTTTGTATCATTGCTCCGAAGATTAGTTTCCTACGCAATACGAAAATATAAAGAGTGACAAAATGATTCCAAGGTAGGGAAATTTTTTCACTATTACTTTACTTTTACTGTCTCATTTTTATTTTTCAAATGATTTAATTTAATATAATTTAATTAAATAGAATAATTTTAATTATTCTTATTTTTTCCTACGTAAATTATAATAATAAATGCATAGAAAGAAGTTAATAATAAGCAAATAGAATAAAATAAAATTAGTAAATACATTGATTTTTAATTTCATAACTTTGCAGTTTCGAATCTTTTTGATTTAAATTAAAAATTTTAAATCTTCAATTTTTCAGTTTTTGGAGATGGAATCGCTTCTGCGCTCAGATTGTATTTTGTTTTCTCGTCATGTTCAGGTAAAAAGCATTGTGACATGTTCTTTATGATTCTCAATCATTTTAAATAAATGTTTTGATACAATTTATATTTCTTCTGACAATCGAATGAAACTAAGTAATTTATGAATCATATTCTTTAGTTCGCAAATTAAAATTAAAATTGATTGTTAAAATTTCTTTCGATTTTATTCAATTTCATTCTATTATTTAATTCATTCATCATCAAAATTTAATAATTTGTATTTTAGAAAAAAGAAATTAGGAACGAAAAAAGATAAAAGTAATAAAAAATTTCCCTTTCTTTTCATTATCTTTTGAATTTGCGAAATGCACTTGAACTCGCAAAACAAATTCTGCTGCCACATTTCTATCGATTTGTTGTCTATAGCCTTGGTTACTCGCTGAGTATGTGCATCCACCTGGTCATTTTAAAAATCAATGTGCAATGTCTCAGTTTAAAATTGCTGTGTCTAAGATTAATTTAAAATTCTCGTCCCACTTCAACAAAATTCGTTATCAAAATTAATTTTTATTTGACAAAATTTCCTTAAACTCCTGTAACCAAGATAATATTGTTGTGAAAGCAAGATTCGTATTGCAGTTTAAAAATAAACCCCGTATTTTGCCACTAGTATTAAGGTAAGAGTTTCTCTAAAAATAAAACAGTTCGTCTCATGAATTTAGCGTAATTTCAAGTGCGCGGGTCTACCGGCAATTAGCAGATCAAAAGAAAGAATTGGTAATGCAATCCCTACGACTGTCATCAGGATATAACATGCCCACCGTGGGGTTAGGATCATGGCAGGTAAATAAATTTCGAAAAATCTACCAGACGCATTAAATAATTTATCGAGTTTCAAATGCAAATTTTCCTTTCAATTTTCACTGTGTAATAAATTTCGCAATCAATATAAATTGAAAATAATTATTAATAGAAGAATTATTTTTCGAATTTCTAATTTAAATTCGATTCGAAAGACATGAAAATTCAAAAGCGAAATAAAACGAAAAAACAAAAACTAGAAAATAAAAACAAAATATTTGTTTTTTGAAAAAATTTCGAATTAGATTTAATTTTTTATTAAATTTAAAAAAATAACTAAAAAAATAGACTTTAGAAATTGTATTGCTAATTATAATGAATTGAAATTGATTAAAAATTATAATTACGAATTCTATTAATTCGATAATTAATAAATAGTTCGATAAATCAAATGAAGAGAAATTTATAAAAAATATTCAATCTTCTTCGAAATTTCTTCAAAAAAAGAACACCTCTCCATTTCCTTTTTTTTCACACAAAAGTCCTCAACAAACATCTCCGAAAACCTCTGGTCAAAAAAAGACAATTCTATTAAAAAAAAGTTTCTATATTATCAAAAAAATACTCCAATTGATAGAATTACATTATTCGTGTTTAAAAATTTAATTTTTTCTTAAATTTCTAGGCAAAACCAGAGGAAATAGAATCCTCGGTACTTGCTGCTTTAGCCAATGGATACAGACACATTGACACGGCGTTTAATTACAGAAACGAAGATGCAATTGGTCGAAGTTTAAAAAAATGGTTAAAAGAAGGAGGAAAACGTGAAGAAATATTCATTACTTCTAAGGTAAAAATTACCAATCATCGATTGAATTAAAAGAAAGAAAAAAAGGTACAAAAACTTTAAACTAAACCAAACATAATTATTTTTCCAGTTGCCAAATTATGGAAATAGACCAGCCGATGTGGAAAGATTCGCTAAAATATCCTTAGAAAGTCTCGGTCTAGAATATCTCGACATGTATTTAATTCATATGCCCTTTGCATTTGTCCTTAATGAAACAGATTTGTCCCCAGCAGTCAAAGAAAATGGTGATTTTTTGTTAGACACATCTAGCAATCCAGTAGCAGTGTGGAAGGTCTGTAAACAGTAATTTTTCAATCTTAAAATCTAATTATTTCTGACAAAATTGCTCGCCTGTTTCAGATGTCAAAATATATATTACAATTTTATTTTCCAAAAATTTGAAAACTATTAATCAAATTTATTTTTCGTTTCCTTTCTACATAATAGAAAAGACCATTTCATTTTTTCTAGAAAATAAATTTTCAATCACAGATTTTTAACAAACAGGCTAAACAATTTTAATCACTTATTATTTTATCAGGAAATGGAAAAATTGGTGGAGAAAGGACTAACGAAATCGATTGGACTGAGTAATTTTAACGAAAATCAAATTATGGAGATTATGAACAACGCGAAAATAAAACCAAGCAATCTACAGGTAAAGCGGAGTAAAATAAATAAAATGTAAATAAAAGATTTAAATATAATATAATTCGAATGATAATTCTTCAAATCTCTATTCAAGGTGGAATTACACGCCTACAATCAACAGAGACCATTGAGGGAATTTTGTAAATTACACAATATCACGATAACAGCGTACAGTCCTCTGGGTTCGCCCGGAGCAAAGGAACATTTTAAAAATAAATACAATTACAATGCGGAAAAATTTCCCGATCTCCTTGGACATCCAGTGGTGAAAACAATAGCCGATAAATACAAAAAATCAACAGCACAAATACTCCTACGACATATGATACAAGAGGGTCTAATTGTCATACCAAAAAGTTCGAATCCAGAACGAATTAAGGCGAATATTGATTTATTCGATTTTAATTTAACCGACGAGGAACTTAAGCAACTCGATAATTTGGATCGTGGCACTAAGGGACGAATTTTTTCATTCCTCTTCTTCCGTGGGTAAGAAACGAAAATTTACAAATTAATTAAACAGGATCGACTGTTATGGCGGAACCGAAATTATTTTTTAAATAACAAATTCTCTTGTTCATAATTAATTATTAATTACAGGGTCGAAAATCATCCGTACTATCCGTTCAAGGATGAATTAGAACAATGATAGGACAGGAATTTCAACGAATATATCTATGAAAAAAAGAGCATTCCTTACCTTGTTTTTTTTAAAAGAGTCTGAATAACATTTTACGTTGCATACGATGTTGTAGTTCACCACGACGAATCATCGTTTGTATCACTTTGATAATGGCATTCTCGGGGAATTTTTGTTTTATAAAATCGTTGACAATATTTTGCTGTGAAACCTGAGCACCAATTGCAAATCGCCTTTTCAATTGCTTCTCAATATGAACCAACATTTCATGATCCTCCTCAGATGTAAAACCTTCAGCACCTATTTTTGCAAAGAACAAGAAAGTAGATTAAAAAATTTACAAATTCAAAGTTTATGAATAAAAAAATCAATGTTTCTAAATATTATTATTATCATTATTACCTGCCAATGAACCACTAGTGGCAGCGTCTAGTGTAGAAACTTGAAACAATCGAAGGGCTTCGTTCACTTGAACTTCCGTAGCGAATGGTTTAAGGGCCATTTTCGCTAGGGATTCAGAAATTCTTATTACAGCTTCCAATTGACGAACCGTAATTGGAATTGAAAGACGTTTCTCCATGTCCAATTCGTGTTCATGAGTTCCGGCTCTCATTCTCACGTAGCGATTCTTCAGCTTATCGCCCGCGTCTTTATCCAATCTTGGTCCGCAACGCCTGAAAATTTAAATGAAAAATTAACCACTTTTTAAATATGATTAAATTAAATTAAATTGCAAATATAAAAATATTTGCTGTGCTTTAGAAAAAATTGTTTTACATTCGGCAGTAATGAATGTATTTTCTCAGGATGTTTAATGGTAATTCGCCCTCGACATTATCCTCAGTAATTTGACCAGCATTCGCGTGAATTTCCATCACGTGTTTGGCAATTTGAATATCTCTTTGTGGTTCGTGTTCGTCTTTGACAATAAATATCATATCGAAACGTGATAAAATTGTCGGCATAAAATCAATATTTTCCTCTCCTCTTATATCGTCCCAACGACCGAAAACTGAATTCGCAGCCGCAAGAACTGAGCATCGGGTATTTAATGATGTTGTAATTCCAGCCTTTGCTATGGATATTGTTTGTTGTTCCATTGCCTCGTGGATTGCAACTCTGTCGTCTTCTTTCATTTTATCGAATTCGTCAATACAAACGACTCCGCCATCGGCCAACACCATCGCTCCTCCCTCCATCACAAAACTTCTCTGCAAAAAAAAAACAAAATACTGATTTTTAGAAAATTATTCTATTTTTGTTATTAAATATGAAGATAAATAAAAAAATATAAAGAATATAAGGAAATATAATGAATAGAAAGAAATATAATAAAGAATAAAATGAAATATAAAGAAGAATAGAAAGAAATTTAAAAAAGAATAGAAAGAAATATAAAGAAGAGTCAAAGATAAAAAGATAGATAAATAAAGAAAAAGAAGAAAGAAAGGATAAGGAAAAAGTAAACGTACAGAAATTGGATCTCTAGTCACAGAGGCAGTGAGACCGGCGGCGGAACTTCCTTTTCCTGACGTGTAAATACCAACAGGTGAAACTGTCTCGACGAATTTCAAGAGCTGTGACTTGGCTGTTCCAGGATCACCGAGTAACAAAACGTTAATATCTCCCCTTCGACAAAGTCCATCGGGCATTCGTTTTCGTGATCCACCGAAAAGTAAACAAGCAATTGCCTTTTTGATATCAATCGAACCGAGAATACTCGGCGCGATACTTCTTGCAATTTTTTCATAAATTTCCGGATCGTTTGCGAGTCTTCTAAAAAGATCTTCTTCACTCTGCGTCACTGGCTCTTGTGTTCCTGTAAAAAATTAAATTTTTACATTTAGTTCTCTTTAAACTTTGCTTTAAATTCCCTCATTTCTCTGACTAGTGGTAACTTTGTTGTTGTCGAAAATAAAAAAAAGTCTTAAAATTAATTACGAAAAATAGAAACTATATTTTTAAAATTATTTTCCCTTTTTTTGACAAAAGTCTGTTTTATGCTCTAAAAAACTTGCAAAAAAAAAAAATTGTAAGACCCTTTAGAAGAAAAGATTTGACTATAGTTATTTTTCTTTTTTCCCAAAGAATTTAAAATTAATTTCCCGAAAAAAAATTGTTTTTAAAAATAATCTCACCAACTCCACTGTGTTCTCCATCGACGCTAATTCCAACAACTCGAATATAAGGTGCACGAACACCAACGAGTGCTCGATCCTTTCCTCTCGATTTGCCACCGCTTTTCGAAACTTTCTTGATTGAATAAATACCCAGAATAAGAACTCGATTACCGGGAACAACACGATCGCAAAGATATCGATCACAATAGAGCGGTAAATGCCTTGGCATTTCTCCTTGTGGTATCTGATCAATTGGCTCTTGCAATTTAAGAACTTGAAAATCAACACAATCACATTTGTCCGGCATTATGAAGAATGGATCCAAAGGACACTTGGGACGGCCCGTTTGCTCTCTGTAAATAGTTTTTGAATTCAAAACAATTTGAAAAAAGAAACATAAAAAAAGAAATTTAAAGAAGAAGATTAAAAAAATTTTGAAAATTACAAATTAGTACTTAAAGAATTCACAAAAATATTTCTATACTCAATTTTACATACGTGGTGCAACGTCTAGGCAAAACATAACCCTCTAGACCGGGTTTTATGGGAATGTTTGTTTGTACAGTACGACAGGAACGACACTGAATTGCTATTTTCGTCGCTTTTGATCGAATTCCCGAAGCGGAGACAATAATCCCAGGGATCTTCACCAATTTCGATACTGCATCGGGCTAAAAATATTTTAATTATCCGATAAAATTGTTATTATAATAAAAGGAAAAACAAAAGTAAAGTAAAAGCAAAAAAAAATTAAAGTAAAGTAAAACTGGGTTGTAACAAAAATTTAATTTTGTTTTCCCCTGATTTCCAGGCAAAATTTTGACTTTTCTTTTAAGAATTTTCAAATTCATTTGTTTACAATTCAATTTTACGAAATTTCGATTATTTGTTAATTGTTAAATTAAATATACATTAGATAGAAAATAAAAACTTGAAATAATTTTTAAAAATTTCGATTAAGCTTTTTGAAAAAAAATTAGTTCCATAGAATTTTTAATTAAAACTATGAAAAATTCAGATTTTCCAATATTTTAATTTGAAATCTTTAAAAAATTCAATTATTTCTAAAAATTGTAATTATTATAGTAACTTCTTCTGTGGCAACCCTGAATAACATAATTAAATAACTACTAGTGTTAGAAAGAAATGAACAAATTTCGAGTTAAAATGTGCAACAATATTTTAAAGTGCCTGAAAATTCACTTATTGCTGTTAAAAAGAATTGTTAAATATGTAAATTGTACTTGGAAAATGTAAATACATGTATAGTTAGAATAATAATCTCCCAATTTTCTGAATATTTTCTGAATTTATTACCTTCATTCCTCTCAATGAAACCGGATTACCATCGGACGTCAGAAGTACTTGAATGTCTTCAACTTTTTCTTCGCCAGGCAATCTTGGTGCTGTAAGTTCATCAGCAACATCTTTCGCAGCCTCTTCAAATAGAGGTAAATATTCCGTTGGTTGCTTGTAAATCTTCTCCGCGAGCGACTCGTCGTAAGCCGCCAAATCTTCCAAATTGAATTCAATCCAATAATTCCCAAGATTGTAATTCCGTTTCAGAGTATCACTATAATAATAAATCTTATTTCAATTCTCTAAATGTAAATTCGAAAATTAAAAAATCTAAATGAGCACAAAAATTAAAAATATCGTCAAAAAAAAAAACAAAGGGATTCATCCAGACCACAAACAATCATAACCTCAAAATAAAAACATGATTAACACTGCAAAATTTTGTCGATTATCAAAATAAGCCTAGTAATTAAGAAAGAAGGAAATAATTAAACGTCTCTAATTCAATTATTATTGAAATTGTAAAAGACTCACCGATATTTATAGTTAAAATTGCCTTCATGGAACTGACGAATAAATTCCTTTAATTTCTTTTTTGACGCTTGAAATGTTGCCTGATCTTCTTGATTTTGTTCGCCATCAATAGAAAAATTGTCAGAGAAGAATATTCCGGGTTGATCGAAACCCTCCATGATTTTATAATTGTCAAACTTCCAATAAAACTTAATAAATTAATAGAACCCACGCAATAAAACTTGTTTGGAGGGATTTTGAGCGGGAAACCGTTGGTGAAAACCGTGAAAACAATAACTTCTGCCAACTGCAAAAAAAAGTCTTCTTTGCGCATGCGCTACATTTTTTTTCCTTCTATTGGCAACACTTTTCCCGGGCTATTCAAATCACTGAAATACAAAAATGTACAAAAAAAATATTATTATTTTTATATTAATTTAAATTCTTTTTAACTATAAACGCCAGTTTATAGTCAAGTATTTAATTAGTCAATAATTGTCAAATAATGTGAAAAATATTTTGTCCCGAACACCTGCAAACGTAAATTAACACCTGTATTTATGAGTAAATAAATAAACATCTGTCAAAAAGCGTAAAAGGAAAAATAATTGAGTAATTTTTTGAATTGTTATTTCTTTGAATAACAATACTGTTTGTAAAAGGCAGTTACAATGTAATGAATAATAATAATGATAATAAAAATAATAAAAATAATAAACAATATAATAATGATAATAATAATAATAATAATAATAATAATAATAATAATAATAATAATAATAATAATAATAATAATAATAATAATAATAATAATAATAATAATAATAATAATAATAATAATAATAATAATAATAATAATAATAATAATAATAATAATAATAATAATAATAATAATAATAATAATAATAATAATAATAATAATAATAATAATAATAATAATAATAATAATAATAATAATAATAATAATAATAATAATAATAATAATAATAATAATAATAATAATAATAATAATAATAATAATAATAATAATAATAATAATAATAATAATAATAATAATAATAATAATAATAATAATAACAATAATAATAACAATAATAATAACAATAATAATAATAAATTAAAAAAAAATTTTTTAATTAAAAATAAATTTATTTAATAATAAACAACGATTAAAGCAATTAACAGTGGAAACTAATTGCACCTATTAAAAAATGTCTAGGTGACAATAATTAAAGAAATTCACGGACAAAAATATGTCATTCTTATCTCACCCCCATTCCACTGTCCTTAAAATTTATCAATTTCAGTCCATTATATAAATTAATCATACAAACTTGAAAATGTTTAATAGACTTAAGAACAGTATGAATAACAAACAAAAAACTAGAAAAAATTTGTAAGTAATATTTAAATTAAAAAATTAATTTTAATTATAAATATTCATTATAAATTTTTATAATAATATTTTTAATTAATTTAAAAAAATTATCCACTTAAAAATTTTAATTAAAGTAAATAAAATTAAAAAAGAATTTTTTTATTAAATTAAAAATTAAAAAAAAATTTTTTTTAATTAAATTACAAGAAAAATTAACAGGGTTGACACAAAAATTTAATTTCGTTTTTCCCTGATTTCCAAAGAGAATTTGAACTTTTTTCCTGATCCTTTGAAGAAAATTGTTTCAAGGAGATTTCGATATTATGAAAAATTTTTAATTAATTAATTAATTAAAATTCTTTGAGAATTCTATTTTTTTTAAATCTTCAATGTAATTTTTCAAATAATTAATTCTTTTTTGTATTATTTCATTTTTAATTCATTTTCACAAAATGTCTATTAATTTGATAATTCTTTACTAACAATTTTTTTCTAAAAATTTAACAGGGTGGCCACTTTTTTTGTAAAAAAAAATTCACGGTCATTTCCCGGTCCATTCCCGGTCATAAATTATTTTTCCCGATCATAAATAATAACTCTGAAAATAAATTATTCCATGAAAGATTGAAAGAATTTCCTGATTTTTAGACAAAACTTTGACTTTTTCCCAAACCCTAAAAATATTTTAGTTTACTCTAAAAATAATTTTGAACTTAAATAGATTTTTTGAAATAAATATTTAATTATTATCCATTATTTTTCCATATAGAAGGTATTCAAATTTCAAAAAAAAAAATTCAAATTTCAAATCCTTTAAATTTGAATAATTTTTAAGAATTGCTACTGCAACTTATTAAAAATTATTTTCAAAATTTCAATTCAATTATATTCTAGAAATAACTAAAATATTTCTAAAATCCACTTGTTTACAAGACAATTTCATGAAATTTTGATTAATTTGAAAATTTTTCAATTAAATATTACATATTTAAAAACATAACTAATTTGAGAAAATGTGAATAAAAATATTTTTAAAGAGTAAATTATTCAAAATTTTTAATTAAAATCTTTTAAAATTCAACTTTTCTAAAACTTCAATTTGAAATTTTTTAAAATTCAATCTATAATAATATTAGTATGATATTAATTTAACATTCAAAAAAATCGAAAAATTTGCTTATAAATAATTGTAAAAAAACTAATTGATATTAATGAAAAATACGGTTTTTTAAAATTTATTTTCTAAGAAAAGAAATTTTATTTATTTTTATTTACTTTATTTGTTATTCAAAAATTCATTTTTATAAATTTCGTATCACTTTTGTTCTAATTAGTTCAAATTTTTAATAATTCTTATTTGTTTGGTTATAATATTAATTGCAAAAAATTTTTAAATTGATTTATTTTTCATTATTTTATAGGATGTGAAATTTTTTCTCTTTGAAATTTTTTTGACAAATTTAATTAAAATTATATTTTGTTTAATTAATGTTAGAAATAGAAAGAATTTAAAATTAAATTTAATATTTTCTTTTTTTAAGTCTGTTACGTTGGACAACAAAATTCATAATTTTCTTATAAATTCTAGAAATTGAATATTTTTATAGTACTTTTTATAAAATTCTTTGACAAAATATAAATAGATTTTATAGAAGATCATTCAATCTTTTTTAATGAAATATAGTTAATACCTAAGTCTTAAAATAAATATTTCTATTTTTTCTCACAAAGTAATGTGTGTTTTTAAAAAAAAAATTCCAAAATCCCGGTCAAGATCAAAATTCACTGTCATTTCCCGGTTTTTCCCTGTCCAAAAAAATTCACTGTCATTTCCCGGTTTTCCCGGTTTCCCGGTCCAGCGGCCACCCTGTATTAAGTATCTTTAAAAAATTGAATTGAAATTTTTCAGAAAGCCATTTTGTTCAAAATAAAAAAAAGTAATAAATAAAAAATCAAATTTAATTAAATAAATAATAAATAAAATAGAATTGTTTAAAATTGAAATAATTTTCTAAACAAATACTTAACGTTTTTACACTTTTTTGTGAAAATAATATTCAAGGAGAGTTCAGATTTTCAAAAATTATTTTTAGAGATAAAAAAAAAAATAGAATTTTTGTATAAATTCTGTAAATTTGATATTTTTCCATTACCTGATAAAATTTCCTTGACATTTTCTTGACTTTCTTGATCAATTTCATTTTCCCTGACATTTCCTGATTTCCATGACCTGAGGCAACCCTGAAAATTTAAAAAAAAATTTAAGAAAAATAATTAAATTTAAATAAATGATTTAAATTAATTTCGCACAATAAATTAGTTAAAATTACATGGGTGACGTTTTTTTTATCAACAATTGAGGAAAAAATACTTCTTAAATAAAAAAAAAATGTTCAGGTTCTTGATCAAGAAATATTGTAAAAATATTTTTAAATACAAAAATTTGAATGGAAAAATATTTTTTCTTCAAAATCGTTGATTATATAAGCGTTGTGAAATTCACCAACTTATAAAATTAGAAAACAACATTAATTTAATTAAACATAATAATAATATATATAAATGTATTTTAGTTGTAAAGTGTAATACTTTCACTTTACATCTAAAATAATTTTTACCGAGTGATAAAATCTATTTCTAATTAGATATATAAATATAATTTTTAATAAAATATTCAATTATTATTTAATTTAACCAAAAAAGAAAAGTTAATTATTTCAGGGAGAAGTAAAAATGGTTTGGACTCCGGGACCAATTTTTCAAGATGCTTGTGATTTCGGTGAAAAATGTACAACATGTCCATCGCCAACTGTAATGTTCATAGCAATTCTCTCGGTAATGTTCGGAAATTCTAGAGATAAAAAATCATCACGTAAAATACCGGAAGAATTGGATTTCATTGTTGTCGGTGCTGGTTCTGCGGGATGTGTTGTTGCCAATCGATTAACGGAAAATAAAAATTGGAAGGTAAATGAATTTTTCCATTTTGTTTAATTCTTTTTGCAAGAGTGAAAAAAGAGAGCAGAGAAAAAAAATTATTCTATTTTTTCCTTTTTTACAAAAGTAAAATAGAGAACAGGGAACATGAATTTTCAGTTTAGTGTAAAAATTTTACAAAAAGTAAAAAAAAATTTTAAAAAAGCAAAAATTTGATTTAATTTTGAAAATTAAATCACAGGTCCTTCTATTGGAAGCTGGCGGCGAAGAATTGAGAATTAACGAAATACCATCGACTAATTACATATTACAAGGCAGCAGTGTTGATTGGAATTATAGAACCGTACCCGATGAAAATTCATGTCGTGCTGATAATGGATGCACCATGCCACGTGGAAAAGTAAGTTAATAAAATTGATAAATTTATTTATCCTTTATTTTTTAATTATGTCGACAAAATAAAGATAATATGAAAAAAGTGAATTTTTATCCAAACAGGAAAAAAAAATTCTATTCCTTATCACGCAAATACAATTTAGAAAAAATTTTCATCGACTTTGTTATAGACAAAGAAAATTTTTATTCAAATTTCATTAAACAAAAATATTAATAATTCTCTATTTCGAAGGGAATGGGAGGCACGAGTTCCTTAAACGGAATGTTGTACGTCAGAGGATCTCCTCTTGACTTTGATGAATGGGCAAAACTAGGCAACAAAGGCTGGAGTTTCAAAGAAGTCTTGCCCTATTTTAAGAAATCCGAAAATAATCTCGATGACAATGTGAGTTGCAATTTTAGGCCCAAAAAACTAGAAATTAGAATTTCAAATAAAAATTAATTGAAAATGAAATTAATTCATTAAAAGTTAAATTAGTTGAGCAAACGTGAAATTAATTTAAAGTCAAAACTAATTAATAGCTAAATTAATTAGTTTGACTTTTAATTAATTTAACTTCTACTGAATTAATTTAACTTTTAATTAATTAATTTTATTTTCAATTAATTAATTAATTCTTATTAATTTAAATTAAATTAATTAATTAATTAATTTTTATTAATTTAAATTTAATTAATTAATTAATTTTTATTAATTTAAATTAAATTAATTAAAAATTAATTTTCAGATTGTCAAGGCAAATCCACATTATCACAGCAAAGGCGGTTATCAATCAGTCGAAACGCTTGCGTACAATGAAACAAATGCACGAATAATAACAAAAGCCTGGCAAGAATTAGGCTACGACTACATAGACGTAAATGCCGATAAGCAAATTGGCGTTATGAATCTCCAAACAACGACATTTAACGGACAACGACATAGCACGAATGTTGCTTTCATTCGCCCGATTAGAAATAAGCGGCAAAATTTATTCATCGAAACCGAGGCTTTCGTCACAAAAATCAAAATAAATCCAAAAACGAAAAGAGCTGTCGGCGTTGAATACACAAATAAAGAGGGAAAACGAAAAACAGTAATTGCCCGAAAAGAAGTAATTATATCAGCCGGAGCAGTCGATTCGCCAAAATTATTAATGCTCTCCGGAATCGGACCCGAGGAAGAATTAAAAAAGAACAAAATAAATGTTCTGAAAAATCTATCCGTTGGTCGAAATTTACAAGATCACGTCTCAATAGATGGTCTCAATATAAAACTAAAAAAGACTTCACAAAAGAAAAGTCTCAAGAAAAGAATCGAAGATATACAACAATATTTAAAAAACCAAACCGGTCCACTTTCTGCCCTCGGACCTCTCGTAAGCACCGCCTTCGTGAAAACAAGTTTTGAAACCGTAAAAAATATTCCTGATATCGAATACAATTTTGTACCGTTTAACGATACAATTATCGCTCTTCCAAATTCTTACGATACAATAAATGTTCATCCAATTCTACTAATTCCAAATAGTAGAGGAACGATTACACTAAACGCATCGGATCCAATTCAGGCAGCACCTGTTATTCGTCAAAATTTTTTCTCCAAGAGTCCCGATCGTCAACGTCTCTTGGAAGGAATAAGAATTCTTCTTCAATTATTCAAGACAAAAGCATTTCAGGACAATGAAATGACACTCAATGAAAGACCTTGGCCACTTTGTAAACAATTTCCATTTAATTCCGATGATTATTGGTCGTGTATAATGACATATTACACGAATACTGATTATCATCCGGTGGGCACTTGTAAAATGGGTCCAAAATCCGATAGGGAAGCTGTTGTCGATCCAGAATTACGTGTTTATGGAATAAAGAGTCTCAGAGTTGTTGATGCCTCGATAATGCCAATAATTATTCGCGGCAATACCAATGCAGCGACGATTATGATTGCTGAAAAAGCTAGCGACATGATTAAAAACGATTGGAAATTGAAAATATTCTAAAATCGAAAATCTAAAGCAAAATCTAAAAAGGGATCGAAATATAAAACAAAATAAAAAAGAAGGTTGCCACAAACATTTGTTTTTCATTGCCTTTTCCCTGATTTCAAGACAAAATTCAGATTTTCCCTGACGCTAAAAAATATTTTGATTCACTCTAAAAATGATTAGATACTCAAAAAAATGTTCTATTACATTTATTTACGATTTTTTTTAATTGTAAAATTATTCGAAAACAAAAATTCTTTTTTAAATAAATATTTATAATCATTATTATTATTCCATACAAATTAAGATTTTCAAAAAATTTCAAATTCAAACCTTTATGAAATTCAACAACTTATAATAATTAAAATTTCCTTAAAATTAAAAAAAAAAAAAAAATTAAATTATTTACAAAAATTTTAATGAAATCCTTCGCAAGAATTCAATTATATTTTTTCTTTACAAGTAATACAATTTTTCACATGAATTCAATTATTTAAGAAACTGTAATAAAATTCGTTGGAAGAATTCAATTATTTTCGTAAATAATAAATAAATAATAAATAATAAATTATTTTCAATACAATTTTAAATAAATTCCACGAAAAATGTAATTATTTTCAAACATTTTTTGCTTGAACTCAATTACATTTTATAAATAATGAATTTATTCGCTGAAACTCAAATATTTTCAAAAAATCTACTGCTTCCATAAAATTTGTTAAAATAATTCAATTATATTCTCCAAAATAATTAAATTCTTTACAAGATTTAAATTATTTTTAATACAATTTTAAGTAAATTCTTTGAAAAATATAATTATTTTCAAAAAATTTGATTAAAATTCTTCTAAAGAATTCAGTTATCAATTATTTTTAATATTTTTTGCAAAAGTTCCTTGAGAATTTTTAAATTACAATAATTGAATTATTGAGAAGAATTCCATTTAAAATTGATTTATTTATGAGAATTGTATACGCAATTCTTTTAAAATTCAATTAATTTTGAAATATTTAAGTAAAATTGTTCGTTAAATAATTTCTAGGTAAAAATTTTATGGTAATTCTTCAAGAATTAACTTATTTAAAAGGAAATTATTAGCAAAAATAGGAAAAATTGAAGGTTTTGTATTAGAATTTGTGGTAATTTCATAGTTTAATAAATTCTAAAAATTAAATTTTTTCCAGTACTTTTAATAAAAATCTCTGTCTTTTTTCTGACCAATTCAATGAAGTTATTTATGAATTATTTTAATTTAATTTAATATATTTATAATTTCTTTACCTTTTCTCGTAGAATATTCCATTTCTTTGTCCTTTTTCACATTCTCAGCACATGAGAAATTATTTCTTCTAATTGCTTGTAATTTTGTGATTGTCCATTGTAAAAAATTCCTTGTTGATATAACATACTCTCTGGATATAACGTTTAAAGTAATCATAATTCTCACTCTTCTAGTTGATTTCATCCAGACTTGAAGACCTGAAAGTTAAATATAAACAATTAAAAAACGAAAACAATAGTTTTTGTTCGTGAATAAAGAACTTTTAGTTCTGTTGAAAATAAAATCCTAATTAATTAAATTAGTAAAGAAAATTTACACTTCGTTACACAAAATAAAAAAACTCACTTCTGTGATACAAATTCTATTTTATTTGTGAATTTCTATTTTGAATTCTTCTACAAAATTGCATTGGACAAGATACTTTTTAGGTTATGTTCATGACATTCTTCCTTAGGGTTGTGAGTGATGAAACGTTTCATTGAAACAATGAAACTTTCATTTGAAAGTTTCAATGTTTCATAAGCGAAAGTTTCATTAATTTCATGAAACATTGAAGAACCAATAATTAAGCTTTATTTGCACATGCGCAGTTGTCAGTTTAGGTTAGATAATCTCTAGAAATTTTAGGTTAGTTCGAAACAATTTAATGAAAATTTTTTGTTTACATCCGAAAACACGAGAGTAGTTATGTTAATATTAACTAAAAATTACCTGAAATATTACCTCTAACGAGTGACTTAAAATTAAATTATTAATATATTTTTTAATTATTTATTTTATTTATAAAAATTAAAGAAAGATATTAAAGTAAGTAATAATACTTCATGTTTTTGACAACAAAATATGCGTTAATTATTATACTTTCTTGCATTGAATTTGAAATTTCCCGCTTAAAACTTGAAACTTTGAAATGTTTCATGAAGCAATGAAACTTTCATGAAACATTTCATTTTCCAAAGTTTCATGAAACTTCACAACCCTATTCTTCCTTACCAGATTTTTTTATATCTTTCAAGCGTTTCAAGATGTACTTACTATAAATTTTGATTCTTTAGGTAAAATAAAAAGTTTGTATGAAATAATATTTGACAAAAAGTTCTTTAGCAATGATCAGTTTACTCGAACTTTATAAGTTTATAAACATAAACAGAGAGACTAACCTAAGGTGAGAAAAACTACGACAACTGTCAAAAAATGATCTGCCTTTTGTAACCTTCAAGGCCTTCAAGACATTTCTTTTCAAAATAAAAATGTCTGGAATTAAGGTAAGAAAATAAATTTGTACTTTAATTGAAAAATTCTACTTTAGAGCAATGAATTTGTTTGTTTCCTTAATGACTCCAATGCTTTATTATACTGTCATCGTCTACAAAAAGTGAGGTTATATTTCTTATGCGTTTCAAATTTTTCTTTAAAGTCCTGCTTTTTGACTGATAAAAAATATTATTTATCTATTTTGTAAATGAACAAATTTTACGTACTCGTAAGTAGTTTAATAATTTCATTTACAATCAAAAATTACATTTACAATTCCATTTACTTTTCAATTCTATTTATATTTTTATTCCATTTACATTTCAATTCTATTCACTCTTTAATTCTAGTTATTTTTCAATTCCATTTATATTTTTATTCCATTCACATTTCAATTCTATTTACTCTTTAATTATATTTACAAAGTTTTTTAATTTACAGAGCGATGGAGATGACAATTTTTCAAGACAAGAAACGTACAGAAAACTTGTGCCAGGAAACAGTAATAATGAAGAATTGGGAATGAAAAGAAATAATAAAGAATATGCTGCTTTTATTCAAGAATATAATATTCTTTCGGAATAGTAAGAGAAATTATTGATAAATTATAATAACTTTTCACGTAATAAGAATGTAAACAATGTTGATTTTTTTCAGTAATCTACTACGAAGTCAAAATTTGAAAGGAATTTACGTAATACCGTCAGCAAAGAATCCTTTCAGTGAGTTTTGAAATAATTTCACGTACAGAAGATTATTTTTCTCTTTCCCTTTTATATAATCTTTGAAAAAAATTGTTACAGTTTGGTTCGGGGTTCAATTTATAAGGCAAGGTATTTTTCAAGGAGGAGTTTTTAGATTTACTATAACATTGCCGTCCAATTTCCCAGATGGAGGATGTCCGGTAATAATTAGAAATTCCTTCCTTTTTTTAAAATTTTCATTCCTTTTTGCTTTCTCCATGAAGAAGCAATAAATTAAAAATTAATTAACATTTAATATTTTACAGACAGTCGTTTTTCAATCAAAAATCTTCCATCCACTTATAAATAGTGAAACTGGTGAATTGAATACAATTTGGGGTTTTGACGAATACAGAAAAAATAATCGTGTTTGGCAATTAATTCAGTATATAACCAAAGTTCTAGTGAAAGTCGATTCCAAAATGACACCAGTTAATGAGGAAGCATCTCTTTTGTAAGTGTCAAAAAAAAATTCTGATACAATATTGTTACACTCTCGAGAATTAATTAAATGAAATAATACTATTCATAGACTAGAAACAAACTTTGAAGAATTTCGAGAACGAGCCAAAAATTGTGTAAAAGAAAGTCTCAATGAAGTTTATTCGCCTTCGAGTGAAGATCCACATTATATAACATTCAGTCCATACGATAAGGAACTTCATGGTCCAATAAAACAAGATATTTATAAACCAAAAGTAAGACATTAAATTTAATAATTAAATAATTAGTAATACTTTAGGGGCATAAAAATAGAAAAAAATATTACATTTCTTTATATTTATTAATTAATTATCTTATTCAGGAAGGTGATAATAAGGCAATTGGATTTTCCTGGGTGCAACCAGGTTCCCTGCAACCATTTTCTAAACCAGACGCAAGATAATAATTAACGAATAATCCGAATTAATTACCTTTTTATACAAAGGTATTTTTTTTAACCTTTGGAGAACACGTTTTTTTACGAAAAGCTTTTTATCTATTGTTTAATATTTTTTATAAGGATTTAAAAGTATACAGACTTATTTTACAGAGTTTAAACTATATTTAAAAAAAAATCCTTAGGTTGATCAGAACAGTTCAAAATTAATTGAGCATTGAAAAATGATCTAAAAAAGAGATGTGTTCTCCGAAGGTTAACATTAACTTTGAGTGAAAGAGTTTTTTGTCCATTATCTAATAGAATATATTTTGTAATAAAATTTTTTAATCATATTTATAAATATTATAAATAACAGAAGCACACGCGAAAAATAGTGATTTTTGTATAAAAAATTTATCGACTCTTTCTCTCAACGAAAAAAAAGAAGAAGAATGAAATATATACTCATTTTTAGTTTGTGCGAATTTTCAAAGTTAAAAAAATATTTTAAACTTTTGTGTGCGACACAACGCTTGAAATAACTTAATTTTAATTCAAGATTTTTGCACGGGGTATTCTTAATCAATTTTGTTACAAACTTTTACATTTTCTCAATTTTGTTGCAGAATTTTACAAAAAAAATTTTTTTTTTTAATTCAATTAATTAATAATTAACTATAAATGATCAATTTTCAAAAAAATTTTGACTGATCGAAAAGATTTTATTTCATAAATTATATTATTTAATGATTAAAAATCCATTAATACTTTATTTTTAATATTATAAATTTAATTATTATAAGTAATGTAATTACGATATTATTACATAATTTAATTAATTTTTATTGAAATTAGTTTTGAATTAAATTAAAAATTTATTACAAAGAGAAGAAGGAGATATCATGACAAATAAAAAGTTTATAGAGTCCTGATCCTCAAGTTCTGAACGTTCAAATGAGAACGAAATTTATTTATTTCTTCTACAAATTACATTTTAATGCAATTTTCCCCAAATTAAAAGTTTATTACAATAATTTTACGTCACTAGAATAAAAAATTGATTATAAAATTTCTAAATGGAAACTTTCTCTTGTAATCAGTAATTTATAAAAATATTTTTAAAAATATATTTCGTTTGTTTGAACGTTCAAAAATTGCGGATTTACAGTATTTATAGAAATTTTTAACGAATTAATTTGTTACAAAAACTCGCACAGGCTGTAATAATTCTACGTTTTGCCTTATAGAGTAAATTAACAAATTTGTTACCTATAGAAATTTTATATTACGTAGATAAAAAAAAATTACGTAGATATTTTATATATACCTATAAAAAAATTATTTACCATTTCGTAAATAAACAAAATTTTAATAAAAATATTTACTGTGAAAAATTATTAATATTATTTTTGAAATATTATTTTTATTATGATATTACTATTATAATTATTAATATTTCGGAACTAAAAGAATCATTTTCGTTCTATAAATTAAATTACTATTATTATTATTAATATTATTAATTGTTATTATAATTATTAATATTTTCAACTATTATTATAATTTTTATTATTTTTTTAAAAAAGACTTTCCGCGTCTACTGTAAAAGTTGACAAATCCTTTTTATAATTTCCTTACATAAACCCATTTAGATAAATTGGTTTGAAACAAAAGTATGATCATAAATTATAATTATCTGGTTATAATTGTAATTAATAGTCAAATAGGAAAAAAATAAACCCGCATGCATGCTAATAAACTATTCTTATTAAACAATGAGATAAAAAAAGATTACGTGCAAGTGGAATTGTTTTCACACGTGCATTCAAAGACGCACAGGAAAGTTGCAGTTTAAACGTTAATGTCTTTCATATTAAAAGTTAACAAAAAAGAAAAATTGTGAAAAAAATATTTTTACTGATGCGCAATCGAGAAAATTTTATTTATTAAGCAGAAAAATATTTTGTAAACAAAGTTCGCTAAAACAAGAAAAAAGGAAAAAGAAAATTGAAATGATGAAATATTTTCTATTACTAATGCACTTTGTTTGCACATTTGCTCTAAATGCAGAACCAAGATTAGAAATTTCCCAAGGAAAATTGAAAGGCACTGTTTTTAAGTCGAGAAGTGGTAGAAAATACTCGGCATTTCTTGGCATTCCTTTCGCTCAACCTCCGATTGGAAATTTAAGGTAAACATTTTTATTTCGATAGAAGAAAAAAAACTGACAAACCCGGAAAAAAACACAAGTTTCGAAGGTTTTATCTTTTTGAACGAAAGAAATAAATTTCGTTGAATGTACGGAACTTTTACTAATTAAAAATTAAAAATATTTAATTTAAAATCAAATATTTTTCAAATTCAGAATTTTCAAATTTCTTTAAATATTTTTCAGATTCAGAAACCCTCTGCCAGCGAGAAATTGGAATGGTGTGCTGAATGCGACAAATTTTGGAAATGTGTGTCTACAACCATTCCAAAATGGATCTATTGGAAGTGAGGACTGCCTTTATTTGAATATTTACACTCCACCTGGGGCAAAACAATTACCGGTGATGGTCTGGATTCATGGCGGTAGTTTCATTGGAGGAAGTGGCAATATATTCCATGGGAATTATCTTCTAGACAAGAATATTATTTTGATAACTGTCAATTATCGTTTGGGAATTTTTGGCTTCTTTACATTAGGCGATTACAATAGTCCAGGAAATTTTGGCTTAAAGGATCAAGTTCTGGCTTTAAAATGGGTACAAGAGAATATTAGGGCATTTGGAGGTGATCCAAGGAAAGTAACATTGTTCGGAGAAAGTGCCGGTGGAGCGTCAGTCAGTCTTCATGCAATTTCAAAAGCAAGCAATGGTAATTCTCTTTTAAAGATTTGTCGCTAAAATTTATAACATTTAAATGAACGAAAAAATATTAAAATTCTTTACAGGAATCCAATTATTTTTTACAAATAATAAACTTCTTTGTAGGAATTAAATTATTTTCAATTAAATTTTAATTAAATTTTTCGAAAGAATTCAAGTATTTTTATATTATAAACAATAAAATTCTTCGCAGGAATTCAATTATTTTTTACAAATAATAAAAAATAATAAACTTCTTTGTAGGAATTAAATTTGGTAAAAATTGTAGGAATTCTATAAAAAAAATTAATTCATGATAAATATAATAAAATTCTTCTAAGAAATTCAATTATTTTCAATACAATTTCATTGAAATTTTTAGAAAATATTCAAAAGTTTAGATAAAATATCTAATAAGAATTTAATTATTTTTAAACAATTGTATAAAATTTAATAATAAAATTTTTAATTATAATTATTAAAAAACACGATTTTTAGAAAATCTTTAAAAACATTCTTCGCAACAATTAATGACTTTCAAAATTTTTAATTTACATTATTAAAAATAAATACAATATTTTCAAAAACTTCAAAGAAATTTTATGAAAATGACAACATTTTTTATTTCCAAATACAAATTTTTGAATTATTTGTAATCATAATTTAAAAAATTCATTTATTAAGTACATAATTAATTATTATTATTTATATCTTCAATAATTTTAATTTCTTCTCAAGAATTCAATTATTTTCCTAAATAATAACATTTTTCGGAAGAATTCAATTATTTTTTTATACCTATTGTAAAATCTTTGCAAAAATTCATTATTTTCAATAAAATTACACGAAAGAATTTAATTTTTTCGAAAATTATAATAAATCCTTCGAAACAATTCAATTATTTTTATAAATAGTAAAATTTCTTTACAAAAATTCAATTATTGTCAACAAAATTTTGATCAAATTTCTCTAAAGAATTCAATTATTTTCTAAAAATTTTATAAATCCTTCTAAACAATATTCAATTGTTTTCTATAAAATTTCACGAAGGAATTCAATTGTTTACTCAACTTACTATAAAATTTTCCAAATGAATTAAATTATTTTCTAAAATTTTAATAAATCCTCAGAAACAATTCAATTATTTTTATAAATAGTGAAATTCTTTGCAAAAATTCAATTGCTTTCAACAAAAATTTAATAAAATTTCTCGAAAGAATTAAATTATTTTCTAAAATTTTTTACAAATTCTTTAAAACAATTAAATTGTTTCCTTAAATATTAAAAATCGTCAATTAATGAATATAATTATTTTCAGGACTTTTTCACCAGTACATTATTCAAAGTGGCAGTTCTCTCAGTCCTTGGACTTGTCAAGAAAGTAGCATATTTAAGGAGCCAGTGATAAAAATTGCAAAAATGGTCAACTGTCCCTACAATAATTCGAAAATTCTCGTTAATTGTCTAAGAGGGAAAAAAGCGAAAGTGCTGTTAAATACAGATTCGGCATTCGATACTAGTTTAGGTTTTGCACCGGTAAAATGGGTACCTACAATAGAACCTGACAATAAATTTGCATTTCTAGCAGATAGTCCAAAAAATCTAATAGACAAAAATCAAATGAAAGATTTACCATTCATGAGTGGCATTGTTACTGACGAAGGATTATTAATTACTCACAGTGAGTAAATAAACGAAAAAATTCATTTTTTTGATTATTTTACACCAGTGAACTATGTATAAATTTATTATAATTAAATTCTAATTATAAATAATTTGGAAAAAATTCTAATTTTATTATAATTTTATTTATCGAATTTTATTCTACTTTTATTTTAAATCTAATTTTATTATAATTAATAAAAAGTTACTTCTAATTGATTAAGAAGGGATTATAATTTAATTTTAATTAATTAAGAAGGCATTCTAATTTAATTTTAATTAATTAAGAATTAATTCTAATTTAATTCTTCCAAATTTCGTTTTTTGCTTTTAGGTTTCTATGCAAATGAACAAATTTATAATTTCACGAGAAATAATGTGAGACAATTACTGGCATTCATTGCAGATTATTTTCTCGCTTTGAACAATACCAAAGAATTTGTGACAGAAGTTGAAAAATTTTATTTCAACAATTCATTTAATTCATCAAACAAATTTGAGGTGACAAAGTATTTAGTTTCACTAAATTTCTGAATGGTCAAATCAACAAAATTTATTAATTTTTTTGATAAATTTAAATTCTATCTCATAATAATAAAATAGAATTAAAAAATGTTTAAAAATATTTAATCTTTTCTTTTGCTTATTTACTTGAATAAATTTATTTGCTTATTTGCTTATTTTATTTGAATGAGTAATTTTTGAAAATATTTAATTATATCGAAAAAATTCGTTCATTCAAACGTTCAGAATTTTTTTTTCAACAAGATTTCTATTTTTCTTGTCAAAAAAAAAATAAATAAATAAATAAAAAAAATTATAATTAAAAAATAATTTTAAAAAAATGTTTAAAAATACAAAAATAATTGTTTCAGTTTTTAAAAGGTTTAACCGAAGTTATCAGCGACGGCGGATTTATTTATCCAGAATTGAGAATGGTACAGAAAGTAACGCCAAAAATGAAAAATCCAAATTATTTATATTCTTTTGGTTTTGCATTTTCACCAGAAAATAATGGCGTTGCCCATGGCTCAGATGTAGAATATTTATTTCCATCTTCAAACGTAAATTTACAAATGAGCGAAATAATGGTAGATCTCTGGACTTCATTTGCTATAAATGGGTAAAAATTTTCATTTACCATAATAAAAATTTTATTTTTTAAAATTAAATTTAATTTCCAACGAAAATTTCCAACCAAAATAAATTTTTAATCTTCCTAAAGTTCTGAACATTTAAATTCATTTCTTGTGCAAATTAAAATTTTTATAGTAATAATAATTGCCTCTGGTAATAAAAAAATATTTTTCATTCAAAAAAGAATAAAATTTTTCATTAACAATTTCTTTTTTTGAAGAAATTATGTAAAACGTTTATTAAACAAAACTTGATAAAAATTTAAATAGAAAAATATTTTTCCATATCTAAATTGTTGATTGTATTTTTGCAAATATTAATAAAAAAATTTCGGAAATTTGAACACGTTGAGAACTTACGGAAAAGAAAATTTATATATTTTAATTTAATACCTAAAAAATTAATTTAAAAATAAAATAAATTAATTATCGTTAATTATGTGAATTAATTAATTGAATTAATTGAATTAATTGAATTAATTATGTGAATTAATTCACGAAATTTAAATATTCCAGAAAACCAACATCAGATAAATTAAATAAGCCCGACATTTGGAAACCTTACAATATAGAGAATAATATTCATCTTCAAATTGGAAACATTAATAATAACATGGATCCAACTATTACACTTTCGAATTCTTTCTATTCAAAGCGAATGAATTTTTGGCAGACTAAATATCCGATTTAATTTATCTCTTTAATAATTATCAAATACATAATATATTGTCAGAAAATATTTGTTAATAAAAAGCAAAATTAAATCATAACTAAAAAAGTTTGTTTAATTTGCGAAAGAACTTTTATCAAAACAAGAAAAAAAAAGTTTTTTCCTTAAAAGAAAAATATTTCGAACTAAAGAATATTATTACATATTTTGCAAATAAAAATAATTCACTACTAGAAATTTAGAAAATATATATGTTTTATATAAACACAAAAAAAATTGTCTAACCAGAAAGATTAGCAGAAAAAAATTAATGAATAATAAATAAAAATAATTGCCTTGAATATATGCTCCAATAATTGTTTTTCAACTATATTATTGCATAAAGTAAATATAAATGTCAATTCTGCTTTATCAGCTGAAAATTGCCAAGATAGAGAATAAGTCGATTGCATACCGGTAACTCATAAAATACATAGAAAGTTAATTACTAATTTTATTAGTATGTGAATCAACACTAATACAAATTTAAAACGTCAACAGTGAGACGACAGTGAAATAATAATTTTTTTCCAGTGTCGCATTTTTTACAATAAATTAAATTTCACATAATTAATCAATATAAATAATCATTGATTCATAAATAAAATAAGATGATATATTTTCGAAAATATTTTTAAAATTAGAATTTAAAATTTTATTCGCAAAGAAGAAAAATTAGGTTTAGAATAAAAAAAATGTTTCGCAAAAAACTTCATCGATTTCTGTTCACTAAATCGAATAACGTCAATAAACATACTACACACGTGATATTATTATTTACAAATATAAATATGTATAATTATTTGAACGCACATTGAAAATTTACATAATTTTTTTGTCCGGAAAATATTATAACTTAGTTTTAGAAATAAAATATTTCAAATGAAATTAAAATTGAAATAATAATCGAAAATAATAAATTACAATATTAAATTAAATAATAAAATATAATATTTAAAAATATGGTGAATAGAGAATGGGTAAACATATTTTTTCTCTGTATTTTTTGTGTTTCGTGTTTAATTGCTGAACCGATAGTTCAAATATCGGAGGGTTTTTTAAGAGGAAGTGTTGAAATTACCAGAAAGGGGAGAAAAATTAGCAAATTTCTCGGCATTCGTTATGCTCAACCTCCTGTAGGAAATTTGAGGTAAATTAAGCTTTAATTATATTACAACTTAATTTTTAATTGCCTACTACTCCGATTAAAATCAACTCGGACGTAAAAGTTTATTCAATTTTTTAATTTAATATTAAAATTTTAATTTAATTAAAATTAAATTTATTCTTTGATTTGAATTTATTTAATTTAATTTAATTATGTAAATAATAATGTAATTGAATTTAATCAATTAATTACTTGAATTTTATTTAATATTTGATTTTAATATTTAAAATCAAAAAGGAGAGAAAAGTTGAAGAATACTTAATACTCTTTTCCTTTATTTTAAAATTAATTAAATTAATTAAAAATCAATTTAAATTAATTAATATTTTTAATATTTCAATTAAATATTTCTCAAATAGATTTCGAAGTCCTTTACCAGCAGAGTCGTGGGAAGGGATTCAAAATGCCACCGAAGATGGAAATCAATGTCCACAATTTGCCCCATATACGAAAAAATATGTTGGAAACGAGGACTGTTTGTACTTAAATGTTTATACACCTTTATTGGAGTTTAATTCAAACAGGGTAAACAATAAATTTTCGAGTATTTAAGAATAAAATACTATCTTCTAGATATTAATAATAATCGTTGTATTCGAGTAATCTGTTTGCAGTTTGACGTTAGTTGATAATTGCTTTTTCCTTTCTCAAATTTTTGAAAATTTAAAAAAAATTTTTAAATTCTTGTGTTTATTAACAATTCTTAGTCAAAAAATTTTTTACTAGCCCTAACTTATGACTAGAACAATTCGAATAGTTATCTGAGTCATAAAAAATTATTTAATTAACAATTCATAAAAAGTAACCACAGCCGATAATTAGCAGAAGATGAAAAATTATTTTTTGAGCGAACTATATCTACTGTTTACTAACAATTTTTGGTCACAAAATTTGTTACTGGACCTAAACTATTGTTAGAACAATTCTAAAAATTATCCGAGTCATAAAAAATTATTTAATTTAAAATTTATAAAAAGTAACCACAGCCGCCAATCAGCAGAAGATGAAAAATTATTTTTTGAGCGAACTTTATCTTCTGTTTACTAACAATTTTTGATCACAAAATTTTTTACTGGTCCTAAACTATTGTTAGAACAATTCTAAAAATTATCCGAGTCATAAAAAATTATTTAATTTAAAATTTATAAAAAGTAACCACAGCCGCCAATTAGCAGAAGATGAAAAATTATTTTTGAGCGAACTTTATCTTCTGTTTGCTAACAATTTTTAGTCAAAACAGTTTTTACTGGTCCTAGACTATTGCTAGAACAATATTTTAATAATTATCTGAGACATGAAAAATTATTTAATTAAAAATTCATAAAAAGTAACCACAGCCGATAATCAGCAGAAGATGAAAAATTATTTCTTGAGCGAACTTTATCTCCTCTTTACAAACAATTCTTTGTCAAGAAATTTTTTACTGGTCCCAATTTATAGCTAGAACAAAATTTTCTCAAAAATCTTTAAAAACAGGCAAAATTTCAGAAAATTTTTTAAGTTTCATTCTAGTTCTATGTCTTCCATACCTTTTTCTAAATTCCATACCTTTTCCAGGATTTCCAGGCTCTGTGGCAACCATGTATTTATAAAATAATTGAATTGTTTAGAACGATTTATTAGAATTTTGGAAAATTATTGAATTATTGCGGGGAGAATTATATCAAAATTTTTGAGAATGTAAACAATAATAATTTATGTTGTACATAATAAGTGAATTTTTTAAATCTCGATTATGAAAATATTTAATTCTTTATATTTGAAAATACAAAAATTTTGGAATTTGCATAACAATAATAAGTTGATTACTATTGCATAAACAAAGTATTGAAAAATTACTTGCAGGTAAATTATTCAAAGAATGGAAAATTACTTCCCGTCATGGCATGGATTCATGGAGGTGATTTTGTCGCAGGAAATTGTAGTACCACAACATTTGGCGGTACTTTTCTTCTCGACGAGGATGTCATTTACGTTTGTATGAATTATCGTGTAGGAATATTGGGCTTTTTAAAATCTGACGATTTAGCAGCACCTGGCAATTATGGATTAAAAGATCAAGTCCTGGCTTTGAAATGGATACAAAAGAATATTCCCTCATTTGGCGGTGATCCGAAACGTGTCACTCTTTTTGGCGAAAGTGCCGGTGCTGTTTGCGTTCATCTTCATGTATTATCAGAAGCATCAAATGGTAAACATTAAAATTCACTGTTTCCTTGAATTTATTTCAAATTTCACACAAAATGAAAAAAAAAATTCGTCTGGAGTGTCAGTCACTTTCTTGTGATCCTTTTCTTCAGTTATAAACAAAAGTATTTAGGAAGAAAGAAACAAAGATAGTAAACATAAAGTATAAATCAATTTTCAGGACTTTTCCAGCAGTACATAATGGAAAGTGGAACTGCCCTGTTTCCTTGGGGATTTCAATCAAGGAACTCAAACAAAACGAGTATTAAACAATTGGGCATGGTGATGTTTTGCCCAACAACATCCACCAACGACATTGTTGAATGTTTACGAAACATGGAACTTGACAACTTGCTGTACGATAGTCACAAATATGAAAATTTTGCAAGATACGCTTTAAAAACTTGGACACCAACTGAGGAAATGGAAGGAGAAGAAGCTTTTCTTGTAGAGACTCCGGAAAGTCTGATTGCGAAAGGGAAAATGAAAGATTTGCCTTTTATAACCGGAACGGTAAAAGATGAAGGTCTAATAGCCACATTGTGTAAGTTTTACATTCCTAAATAAATTTTTAAATGAATGTTTTTTAAAATTCAATTTCTATAAAGAATTTTATCAACAAATTTTTAAATAATTGAATTCTTTCGACGGAAATAATAATAACTATTAATAATTCCTATAATAACAAGTAGATTTTCAATTACAGTTCTCCATTCAAGTTCTTATTGGTATTATTACATCAGATTCGTTATAAACGAATTTTTCGACTTTGTGTCAAAATACTACCTCCGATGTAAAAATGTTGATGAATTCAAAGTCCTAATTAAAGACTATTATTTTAATGGTTCATTCTGGGGTTCCAAACAGAACGTAAGTTGACAATCGAATCTAATTTTTTCTCTTCAATTTAATCCGTTTTCTTTCTTAATGTAATTTAATTTAATTATTAATTAAAATTTTATTAATTATTAATTAACATTATATTAATTATTAATTAACATTATATTAATTATTAATTTTAAATTATTTTGAAGGACCTTAATTGGATAAATAAATAATTTTGACTTTTTTGTGGCCTTTGGTCCAAAACCAAAGGCCACAAAAAAGTCAAAATTCTGATTTATTAATTAATTTTAATTTCACACATATTGTTATCGATTATCGATATTTTTTTTCCAAGTTTATTTCAGATATAACAAAATTCGTGGGCGATGCATTCTTCTTTTATCCACAATTAAAATTACTCACCATTGCGGAAAAAAATATGAAGAGTTCATTTTACGTTTATTCTTTTGAATATCGAGGAACATTTAGTTTCACTTCGAATGCATTGAGGGAAAATTCTAATATTGGCGTTTGCCACACTGATGAGCTAACTTATTTATTCCCTTCAGAACCAATATCTTTTGGTTTAGTAAATTCAAATTTAAATCTTAGCTCAACAGATGAAATAATGATTGATACAATGGTGGATCTATGGACTTCATTCGCTATAAATGGGTAAAACACTATTTATTATAGTACAAGGAAAGAATAATTTTAAAAATTTTCAGAAGAGAATAGTAAAAAAACAAAAAAAATTTATTTTTCCAGGAAACCAACATCAAAGAATTTGAAACCATCCGACTTATGGGAGTCGTACAGTAGAAATGAAAGTTATTTGCAAATTGGCAATATGACTGAACCGTCGGTGACACTTGAAAGAAATTTTTTGAAAGATCGAATGGATTTTTGGAAGGATAATTTAATGACAATAATAAAAGATTGCCTTTAAATATTAATATTTAAATGAAAAAATTGTTAAATACAAAGAATAATTTTAAATTATTAATAATAAATGAAAATTATTAATAATGAATGAAAATTATTAATAATAAATAAAAATTATTAATAATAAATGAAAATTATTAATAATAAATGAAAATTATTAGTAATAAATAAAAATTATTAATAATAAGTAAAAATTATTAATACACAAATTAATAAATTATAAAATTCAAAACAATTTACAATAGAAATAATTTAAAATTCAAAACTCCAATTTGCAATCTTCACAAAAAATTTTCTTCTATCAACGATAATAATAACCATAAGTATAAAATAGAAATAAATTCAAGTTTGGTCAAATTAATAATTAAAAACATATTTTGCACAACAGAAAAAAGAATAATTTCTAAATTATTCAATGTTTACTCTCAAAAAAAAAAAGAAAATAACTTAAAATATTTTGAAGGCTTTTTCTCTCAGAATGTAATTCAAGGACAAATTATTTTATCATAGTAAATAATTCCACACCCATTATCCGTTAACACGAATCTTAACATTAATAAAGATAAAACAAAAAGTAGTCGCAAATGCTTTTTATGCCAAGGATCAAAATTATGAATAACTATTTGATAATAATAAGCCTGAGATTTGAAAAAATCTTTGTAAATAATATGAAAAATATTTTTTTTAAATTTTGTTCTTCAATCACGTTTAAAAAAAAGGCAAAAATAATCAGTTTTAATTAATAATTAGAATTCAATTCAATTTATACTAAAAGACAATTTAAATTCAGTTCAATTCAAATTTCAATTCAAATTTCAATTCAATTAAATTAAAATTAAATTAGAATTTAAATTATATTAAATCAAAATTTCAATTAAATTGAAACTAAATTACAATTTAAATCCAATTCAAACTAAATTACAATTTAAATTCATTTAAAACTAAATTACAATTTAAATTCAATTCAAACTAAATTACAATTTAAATTCGATTCAAATTAAATTAGAAATTAGAATTCTTATCTAAAAATTTAAATTCAATTCAAATTTTAATTAAATAAGAATTTAAATTAGTATAACTTAAATTTAAATTACTTTACACTATTAAGAAAAAAACGTCTAATTTGAAAACCGCAAAATTCACTATCAAATGAATTTGTTTTTAAATAAAACATTCTGCATTTCTCATTCACAATAGAAATTATTTAAAATTCAAAACTACAATTAGCAATGATAACATAAAATTTTCCTTAAGTTGAAAAATAACCAATATTATCAATTTCAACTAGCGGTAAAAGAATATTCTCTATTTTCAAACATTTAATTTTTTTAAAAGTCATGAATGGAAATTTAAAAAATATTCAATACTAATAAAAATACTTATAATTATAAAAATCTAATAATAAAAATAAAGGTAACACTAATTTAAAATGAATACAAAATATTAAATTTAAAATAATAATAATAAAAATAATAAAATATTTTAATAACGATAATAAATATTCGAATTATCTTGACGCTTTGCACAGGCGTTTAAATAGAAGAACGTTTTAAAAATGAGAGATCAGTTCCTCCCAAGATTTCACAGACGACTAACGTTTATTAATGTATAAAACAAACAAAAAAAAAATGACAAGTGAAAAAATTTCATTCTTTATAATCATCAATTATCTCTGGATCTATGGATTATGTGTTTATAATAAACCGATAGTTAAAATTCATCAAGGCGAAATTGAAGGGAAAATTCAACAATCGAGAAATGGAAGATACTTCTCTTCATTTCTTGGAATTCCATATGCTTTACCTCCAATTAATAATCTCAGGTATAATATTTTTTTTAATATAGAGTTAATAATTAAATAATTAATTGCCTAATTAAAATGAATTAATTTAGTTTAATATATTTGAAATATTTTATTTTAAATTTAATATCCAAGAAATATTAAATTTAATATTCATTTTGGGAAAAATAATTACAGTATTTAGTATTTCTAGAATTTTTTTTAATGATAAATATTTATATCCTTTGGAATAATTTTTTAAAAGAATTTCTACTACTTTAAATTCGCTAATACTAGAATTTAAAAAATTGTAATCGAATTCTTTAAAACGATTCAATTATTTTCAAAAAATATTCGATATTCAATTATTTTCAACAGAATTCAAAAGAATTCAATTATTTAAATAAAGTTTTTATTAAAAAAATTGTATTTAAAAAAAAATTGATAAAATTCAACCAAAATTCAATTCTTGTCATATAAATAATAAAATTTCCACAGGAATTCATAATTAATTTAGAATAGAATTTTCAAAAAAAATTTCGAAAAAATCAATTATTTAACAAAATTTTTATACAACTCTTCACAATAATTCAATTACTTTCACTATAATAATAACATTTTTCATGAAAATTCAATTATTTTTATAAATAGTAAAATTCTTCGCAATAATTCAATTATTTTTATAAATAATAAAATTCTTCTCAGGAATTCAATTATATTTTTTAAATTTTCAATAAAATTCGTTGCAAGAATTATTTTAAAAAATTTCAATGAAATTCTTTGTTATAATAATTGAATTGTTTTCAATATTATTTGAAACAAATTTTTTGAAAGAATTCAATTATTTTCTAAAATTTTAATAAATCCTTAGCAACAAATCAATTATTTTTATAAGTAGTAAAACTGTTTGCAGGATTTCAATTATTTTCAAAACAATTTTAATTAAGTTCCTCTGAAGAATTCAATTTAAAGAAAAATTAGAATATTTCGAATAAATTCAATTATTTTCTAAAATCTTAATAAACCCTTCGAAACAATTCAATCATTTTTATAAACAGTAAAATTCCTCGCAAGAATTCAATTATTTTTATAAATAGTAAAATTCTTTGCAGGAATTTAATTATTTTTAAAACAATTTTTAATTGAATTCCTCGGAAGAATTCAAATATTTTCAAATATTTCAATTAAATGAATTGCGCGAAAAATGAAACTATTCTTAAAAATTTTAATAAAAATCACTAAATAAATAAAATTCTTTCAAAGAATTCAATCATTTTAAAAAAATTTTAATGAAATTCTTTATAATATTTGAATTGTTTTTAATATAATTTTAATAAATGTTTTTTAAAGAATTCAATTATTTTCATAAATAATATACAATTTTCAAAGAAATTCAATTATTTGAAACACAATTTTCAAAAAATTTAAAAAAGAAAATTATTTCTTTAAAAAGGTTTTTTTAAAATCTTCTCAAGAATGCAATTATTTGAATAACTTTATTAAAGTTCAGTGACAAAAATTCAATTTTTTCCATAAATAATAAAATTCGTCTTTGGATTTCAATTATTTTTAATACAATAAATTTTAATCGAATTCCTTAAAAAATGTAATTATTTGAAAAAATTTGATATAATTAGTTTCTTTAGAGTGTAATAATTATTTTCAATTCATTTTTAATTACATTTCTTCAATGAATGTAATTATTATAAAAAATTTTAGTGCAACTCTTTACAATAATTCAATTACTTTTTACTAATAATAACATTTTTCATGGAAATTCAATTTTTTAAAAAAATTTTTGATAACATTCTAAGCAAGATTTCAATTATTCTCAAAAATCTTAATAGAATTCTTTGTAAAATTTAATTATTTTAAAAAACTTTTCGTAATTTAGTGATTTTTATTATCTATACTATTTTCATAAAATTTCCAAACAGAATTCAATTATTTAAAAAATTTGTTGTAAAAATCTTCGTAAGAATTCAATTTTTTTCATTAATAATCAAAATTTCTCAGGAATTGAATTATTTAAATTAGAATTTGTATAAAATTAGTCGAAAGAAATGAATTATTTAAAATTTTTTATAAAATTCTTTCCAAGATTTAAATTATTTTTACAAATATTTAAATTCTTTCACGAATAATAAAATTCGTTGCAGGAATTCAATTTATTAGCATCAGGATAAGAAAGAAGTAATTAAATTTTTGATGAAAATTAGGAAAAAGTTAGGAAAATATTTATTGTTAGTTTTTTTTTATTTTATTCGTTATTAGCTTTTTTGTTTCATTTATTATCAGTTTTTTTATTTGATTTATTATTAGTTTTTTTTATTTTATTCATTATTAGTTTTTTGTTACATTTATTATCAGTTTTTTTATTTTACTTATTTATTAGTTTTTTTTAATGTTTCCTATTTTTTAAATTTATTAATATTATTCTCGTAAATTTTTTCTCAAAGCAGTATAAAATTTTTCAGATTTAAAAGTCCACAACCTGCAGAATCATGGACAGGAAAGCTTGAAGCACATAAAGATGCAAATATGTGTCCACAAATGAATGGCTCACGTGTTATCGGCGACGAAGATTGCCTCTACATAAATGTTTATGCACCGTTTACAGATTTTAATAATTTCACAGTAATTTTCGACTAAAATTTATCTACTTAAAAAAAATCTAAATTAAACAATAATATTTATCTAATTAATTTAAGGATGAAATTATCTTTTTTTATATAGAAAAATGAGACTCAAAAAAATTTAACAGCAGTTATGGTGTGGATTCATGGAGGTGCATTTGTCGAGGGAAGTAGTCAATCTACTCTTTACAGTCCAGGATTTCTTCTTGATAAAAATATTGTTCTCGTTACATTTAATTATCGTTTGGGAATATTGGGTTTTTTAAGTACAGGAGATTCAGTTGCGCCCGGTAATTATGGCCTTAAAGATCAAGTTCTCGCTTTAAAGTGGATTCAAAATAATATTCAATTCTTCGGAGGAAATCGTAGTCGTGTTACAATATTTGGCGAAAGTGCTGGTGGATCGAGTGCAAGTTTACATGCATTTTCTAATAATTCAAAGGGTAATAGAAAATTTACTTTTATTTATTTTTATTTTTATTTACTAACATTTTTTATCTACTATTATTATTTTCGTCGAAACAATTCAATTATTTTCAAAAATTTTCACAATATTCTCCTCAAGAATTCAATTACTCTAATAAATAATAAAATTCTTCGCAGGTAGCAATTATTTTCAATACAATTTTAATTGAATTCCTCGAAATGATTTAATTAATTTAATTAATTTAATTAATTTAATTAATTTAATTAATTTAATTAATTTAATTAATTTAATTAATTTACTTAATTTTAATAAAATTATTTGAAACAATTCAATTATTTATTTATTTTTCAGGATTATTTCATCAATACATAACACAAAGTGGAAATGCATTTGTTCCGTGGACTTTTCAGAATAAAACATATTTTGCGTCATTTGTCAAAAAATTGGGTCTTTTCTTTGGCTGCATTACATTTAATTCGGAGGATTTAATAAAATGTTTACAGACAAAATCAATTGATAAATTGCTATCCACAAGTGTTACTTTCAGTACAATTGCACGATTTGCCAAATTAACATGGACCCCAACTAATGAACCCGAATCGGAAGATGCATTTTTAACTGACACACCGGAGAATTTAATTGCACAAAATAAACTTCGCGAGTATCCATTCATTTCCGGTAATGTTATTAATGAAGGACTCATGATAACAGAACGTAAGTTAAACAAATTTTCATTATAAAAGAGAATCAAAATTATTTCTTTATTCTAATTTCTTTTAATGTATCAATGTTGCTTGTTAACGTATATATCAAATTTTTTTTAACTTTGCAAATTTGTTCTCAAGTACAGGGCTCGAACCAGTGAAAGTATTTAAAAATACGGATTTTACGGACCAAAAATTATTATTTTCAAGAATTTTTAACAAAAATTCTTCTTTAAATCGACTATTTTTCATAATTTTCGAAAAAGTTCTGTGACAATTTTTAAATCCATTTGTTTACAATATTCAATTTTTCGAAATTTCAATTATTCGTGAATTCTTCAATTAAATGTATATTAGAAAATAAAAACTTCAAATAATAAAAGATTCAATTAAACTTTTTCAAAAAAATTATTTTTAAAATTCAATTATTTTTAAAAATTCACGCTACATTGCTAATATTCAATTATCTAAAATTTTAACTGAAATTCATTTTTAAATCAATTTTTATTACAAAATTCTACTAGAATTCAATTATTTAAATACAAACAAGACAATTTATTGAATAATTGAATGTTTTTTAAAATTCAATTCCCATAAAAAATTTTATCAACAAATTTTTAAATAATTGAATTCTTTAGGCGAATTTTAATAGAATTTTAAAGAAATAATTACATTTTTTGAAGAATTCGATCAAAATTGTATTAAAAATAATTGAAATTCTGCGATGATTTTTATTATTTATTAAAATAATTGGATTTACGCCAAGAATTTCATTATTTATTAGAATAATTGAATTTTTCACAAGAATTTTATCACAATTTTTGAAAATAATTAAAATATTTCGAAAAATTTTAGAAAAATTGTATTAAAAATAATTGAATTCCTACAAAGAAATTTATTATTTATTATAGAATAATTGAATTTTTGCTAAGAATTTTATCACAATTTTTGAAAACAATTGAGTACTTTCCAGGAATTTCATTAAAATTGTATTGCAAATAATTGAATTCTCTCAAAGAAATTTATTATTGACTAGAATAATTGACTTTTTACGAAGAATTTTATTCAACTTTTTTTAAAAATAATTGAATTGTTTTGAAGAACTTCTTTGAATATTTTGAAAATAGTCGAATTTTTTATTAAATAAAATTTCAATCGGTAATTTTGAAGTTTATTTAATTTTATGAATAACTTCTTCCAATAATTAAATTTCTTTCAAGTTTTTAAAGTAATCGAGTTTGTTAATAATAATTACGAAGTTGAAGTCTACAACGTTGATCAACGAAAAAAATTTATTTAATGCAATGAAGTATTTTTAATTTAATATTTAATTGTAAAATAATTATTATCAAAACATAATTATATAAATCCTTTTTTTCTAAATACTTTTTTGTCAATATTGCTGTGTAATTTTTAATTAATTTACTCAATGAACAATTTTTTTTCGTTGATCAACGTTGAGGACTTCAACTTGGTCAATAATTATAATTAAAAATTTGATAATTGAATTTAATAAAATTTTTCACGAATTGAATTGAATTGGATTTCTCTGAGAATTTCATTACAATTCTTTAAAATAATTGAATTCATTTAAGAGATTTTATTAACAAATTGAAAACAGCTGAATTCTTTAGCTGAATTTGAATTGAATATTTCTTAAAATTTAATTCCCATAAAGAATTTTATCAATAAATTTTTAAATATAATTGAATTCTTTAGACAAATTTTTTATAAATTGAATTCTTCCGAAGAATTCAATTAAAATTGTTTTGAAAATAATTGAAATCCTGCGATGATTTTGAATATTTATAAAAATAATTGAATTCCTGCTACGATTATTATTCAAATTTTAAAAAATAATTGAAATCCTGAAAAGAATTTAATTATTTATAATATAATTGAATTCTTACGAAGAATTTAAAAAAAATCTGTTAAAATAATTGATTTTTTTCGAAGAATATTAGGAAAATTCTGTTTTAAATAATTGAATTCCTGTAAAAATTGTATTATTTATGAAAATAATTGAATGATTGCGAAGAAGTTTATAAAAAATTTGTAAATAATTGAATTCCTGTTAAATTTTTATTATTTTATGAAAATAATTAAAGGTTTGCGTAGAATTTTATTAAATTTTTTTTAAACAATTGAATTCTTTTGGAAAATTTTATTAAAATAGTAGATATTTAAAAATCATTAAATTGAGGAAATTTTTTAAAAATAATTGAAATTTTGCCAAGAGTTTTAGTAAAATTTTTGAAAATAATTGAATTTCGGAGAAGAATTTAATTATTTTTAAAAATAATTGAAATTTTGACGGGAATTTAAGAAAAATTTTGAACATAATTGAATTTCTGCGAAGAATTTTATTACTTTGAAAAATAATTGAATTTCTGCAATCATTTTTAATTTCTTTAAAATCCTTCTAAACTATATTGTTCAATTTACGAACTGTTCGTCTTTTCTCAATCAAATTAAGTATTTTACAGACTTTTTTTTTCAAAGAAACTGAATTTTACGTACTTCAAGAAAATTTACGGACCTTTACGAGATTTACGGACCTAGTGCGAGCCCTGCAATCAACAATTTTTTAATAAGCATCAAATTCTTTTTTGAATGTATCAAATTTTTTTTATTTATCTAAACAATTTTCTTAATTTGAAATTAAATAACTTTTCCTGAATAAATTGAACAAATTTCTGATTTGTACATAATTTTTTTCTATTTATTTATTTAGTAATTTTCCTTGAAGTTTTTTTTTAAATTTTTTTTCTCTCTTTTTATTCTCTAATATTTTTTTTATTGTTTTCTATTCCAATTTTAATAATTTTTAATAATAATTAATAGCATAATTAAAATCAATTTTCAAACGGAAAGTATTGAGACGAACAAAAAATGATTTTCAATTTCAGTTCTATATGCAAGTAATTTGGCTTATACGACAATTAGACTCGGTTTAGATGAGTTTATCAATTATTTTTCAAACTACTACTTGCATCCCAAAGATAAAAATCAATTTAGAATCGAAGTCAAGAAGAAGTATTTCAGTAAAGGCATTTTTAGCTCGAAAGAAGAGGTTTGAGACACAATAATGAAAATATTCTATACAGAAAATATTTAAAATAATAATAATAATAATACTTTTTATGATAATTAAAAAATATTGAAAATATATTAATTATTTAATGATAATAATAGCAAACAATAAAAGTAATAATTATTTACAGTTTGTTGTAGGACTAACAAGATTTGCAACAGACGCATTTTTTAATTATCCTCTACTAAAATATATTCAAACTTTATCGGAAAAATTTCAAAGTCCCGCCTATTTCTACAGTTTTGGCTATCAAGGCCGCGAGAGTATTATAAAGTCATTGAAAAAAAATTATGGCGATCCTAAAGTTGGTCACACAGATGATTTGGATTATTTATTTCCAAAAAAATCAGTTATTATCAAGGGACAAGATCAAATTATATCCGAATTAATTGTCGATTTATGGACATCATTCGCAATTACTGGGTGAGACATTTAATAAATATAATAATTAAATATTAATCAGAATCTCTATTTATAGTTAAAAATTCGAAATTAAATTTTTTTTCTCAAGAAAACCTACATCTGATCTCTTGGAAAACCCAAATCTATGGACGCCTTATCGAGAGAGCAAAAATTATTTAAACATTTCCGGCAGTATTTTGGATATTGACATGAAAGTATCAGTTGATGATTCTTATTTTTTTGATCGTATGGATTTTTTTTCAAGAATTTTGAGTAATTACTATTTCAAATAATTTATAATTGTTAAATAATTGTTAATAATAGCTAATTACTGTAATTAATTATGTAAGTTAATTGTAATAGTTAATTATAGTAATTAATTGGTACTAGTTGATTGTAGGTAATAGTTAATTACATTAATTAATTGTATTAGTTAATTGTAATAGTTAATTATAGTAGGTATAATTAATTCGTATTAGTCGATTGTAATAATTAATTACAGTAATTAATTGTATTAGTTAATTAAGTAGTCATAAAAGTTCAGTTATAAAAATCAAGATTAAAAAAAATTATCGAAAATAAATGACGATTGGAATAAATTGCGAATAATAATTATCAATTTTGTTCATACACTCGATTCTGTTTGAGTAATGTAAAGCGACATTTTATTTAATTGAGAGCAATTTGAATTATGAAAAAGAACTACTAACTTCTACTTCTTACTTTCGAGTGAAGTGAAAATGAGGGTGAAAAACGTCTTGGAAAGTGCACTTTCATGTTTCAGAAAAATTATGTTTCATATTTAAAATTGCAATACAACTTGCGATGTTAAAAGCAAAAACTTTAGTAAATTTTCAAACTGAAAATAAGTTTCCTATATAAAATATAGGGAAACTTTTGATATTCAATTTACAATTTTCTTTTAATTGCGCCCTTATTTTGATTATTTCATTTTCTAATTAAAAATCTTTAAACTTTTTCTCGTGTACCTAATATTTCAATTATAAAAAAAAAATTATTTTAAAAATTTTGAATAAAATATTAGTTTTAATTCAATTTAATTGATTTCAGAAATTTTGATAAAATTATTTTTAATAGAATTTAAATTTTTTTCATAAATAATAATAAAATGCTTCGCAAGAATTAAATTATTTTTAATAGAATTTTAAATAAATTTATATTTATATATATATTTATAGGTATTTATAAATTTTTTTTATTTATATTTATATTTATAATTTCTCTAAAAATGTAATTATTTTCCAGTTCTATTAAAATTCTTTAAAGGAAATCAATTATTTTTTAAAATTTTCATAAAATTCTTTATAGGTATTCAATTTAAAGAAATAATCAATTACTCTATCAATTATTTTTTTTATTTAAATAATTAAATTCTTGTAGAACTTTCTAGTAAGAATTGATTTAAAAATGAATTTCAGTAAACATTTTTTATTACAATTGAATATTAAAGGTATTCTAATATAAAAATAATTGAATTTAAATGGTTCAATATAATTTTAAAGAATTTTAATAAAATTCTATGCAAACATTTAATTATTTTCCTAAAAAATCAAATTTGTTTTAGGAATTCAATTATTTTTAATATAAATACTAAAACTTATTGCAGAATTTCAATTATTTTTAATAGAATTTTAATCCAATTTCTCAAAAAATGTAATTATTATTAAAAATTTTATTAAAATTTGTCCAAAGAATTTAATTATTTAAAAATTTGTTAATAACATTCTTTATGAGAATTAAATTTTAAGAATCATTCAATTATTTTTATAATTAAAAAAATTTTCACAGGAATTCAATTATTTAAAATAGACTTTTCCTAATATTTCTTGGAAAAAATCAATTATTTAAATAGATTTTTATAAAATTCTTTGCAAGAATTCAATTATTTTTATAAATATTAAAGCTTATCGCAGGATTTCAATTATTTTTAATACAATTTTAAATTAATGCCGCAAAAAGAATAAATATTCGTAAAAATTTCAATAAAATTCTTTGAAAGAATTCAATTATTAAAAAAATTTTTAATGAAATTCTTTATAATAATTGAATTTTATTGTTTTAAATATAATTTTAATAAAATTTTTTTAAAGAATTCAATTATTTTCATAAATAACATACAATTTTCAAAAAAATATGCAATTATTTAAAACACAATTTTCATAAAATTAAAAAAAAATCAGTTCTTTAAAAAGATTTTTCTAAAACTCTTCCCAAGAATGGAATTATTTTAAAAACTTTATTAAATTTCAGTGACAAAAATTTAATTATTATCATAAATAATAAAAATAATCGCAGAATTTTAATTATTTTGAATACAATTTTAAATTAATTCCACTAAAAACGCAATTATTGTAATAATTTGAATAAAATTCTTCGCAAAAATTCAATTATTTTCAAAAATAAACTTCACAGGGATTCAATTATTTAAAACAAAATTTTCCTAATATTTTTCGAAAAAAATCAATTATTTAAATAGATTTTTTATAAAATTCTTCACAAGAATTCAATTATTTTCATAAATAATAAAATACTTCTCAGAAATTCAATTATTTTTTTAAATTTTAATAATAATCGTTGCAAGAATTCAATTATTTTTATAAATTATTAAAACTCATCGCAGGATTTCAATTATTTTTAATACAATTTTAAATAAATTCCGCTAAAAATACAATTGTGCTTAAAGTTTGTATAAAATTCTTCGAAAAATTCAATTATTTTAAAAATTTTGATGAAGTTCTTTATAAGAATTCAAATTTAAGAATTATTCAATATTATTCCATAAATTATTTATTTTTGTATTTAAATAATTGAATTCAGGTAGAAATTTCTAATAAGAATTGATCTAGAATTGAATAAAATAAAATGATTAAAGTTTTGAATAATTTTATTTATAAATTTGAACAAAAAAATGATCGAGTACGAAGCCTGGAATTAAAAAGATGAAAATAATTTTGAAGAAGTTACAGTAACAATTCTTTAGGTCAGGGGAAACGTCAAAATTTTGTCTGAAAATCAGGAAAAAGTCAGGGAAAAACAAAATTAAATTTTTTTGCCAATCCTGTTCCAGTAAATAATTATTTGTATCAAATAAATTTTATTTGAGTCAATTAATCATATTTGCTTCAAGTACTGAAATTATTGGAGCAAATAAAATTTTTTCATTCAAATAAATAATTCTTTGTATCAAATAATTTTTATTTAATTCATTTAAATGGAACTTGCATAAAAAAAAATGAAATTACTGCGGTGCAAATAAAGTTTCTCTGATTCAAGTAAATAATTCTTTGTATCAAATAATTTTTATTTAACTCAATTAAATTAAAAATCAAATAATTTTTATTTAACTCAATTGAATTAAAAATCAAATAATTTTCATTTAACTCAATTGAATTAAAAATCAAATAACTTTTATTTAACTCAATTAAATGGTGTCTGTATAAAAAACTGGAATTGTGCAAATAAAATTTCTCTGATTCAAGTAAATATTTAGTAAACTCAATTAATCTCTCCTTTGAGTAAAATTTTTTCTTCGTACATCGAATCAAATACGGCTATAAATATCTTCACCATGAATTGTCCTGTAATATTCTTTGGCGAAATTTATACCCATGTTTCTAAATTGAATAAAAAAAATACAATATTTTATACAAGAAAAGAGTCAATTTCTCTCAAGAGAAGTGCGAGAAAAACAAAAAATTGAAGTAAATTGAGAAAAACTCGTGTTTTTCCACACCTACGCTCCTGTATATTATATAGAGTTTGGGGAAAAATAGAAGAGGTGGTGAACACACACACAGTGGATGGAAAACGAAAAGAGAGTGAGAGAGAGGGTAAATATTGGCGGGAGGGTTGCGTGTAAGTTGCAGGCAGAGCATTTTACTTTGGCGCGGGTGGCTCTTGCATTCAGTCCGCTGCGATGGAGCTTCGCGAGATGAATGTCGCGACGGACGTCGATGAAACAGCGGAGCTCCTGCCGGCATCTCAACGCGATGAAGAAATTGAAAGTTATTTTATTGAATACGCCATTCAAAAGGAAATAATTAATCGAAATCGAACGAGTGCCAGTCGACGATTGCTCAATCAAGCTGCATTGCAGGGTGAACAAAGTTCCTCAAACACCAATCAAAAGGTCCTTTTGTTTATTACATCGCTTTTCATCTCTAATTACAGTCATCTCCCAATAAATTCAATCTTAGAAAAAAATATAGAATATAATACATTTATAGAAAAAATATAAAATATACCATAAATTATAAAAAAAAATTAAAAATTTATTAAGAAAATTAGAAAAAAATAGAATAGAAATAGGATTTTTATTTGCTATAAAAAAGTAGAAAAAAATCAAAATTATTGTGGTTTTTATTTTGTCAAATGTTTCAAATATATCGAAATTTGTTTATTTTTCTAAAGTTTTAAACGTTCAAATGAACCAAATTTTTCCTATTTAATTATTTTTCTTTTTTGTTTACTAATTTTTGAAAAATTGTAAATTTTGATTGATTGACAATTTTGAAAAATAGGGAAAAAATTATTTAAGAATCAATCTATATGTTAACAATGATCATTGTATTCCGGATGAATTTTCTGTATTTTTTTTTTGGTTTCCTAATTTTTTTCTGATAATTTTTCTGTTTGAATGTTTTGAGTTTTAAAATAAATGTATCAAAAATTATTTTAATTCAAATCATTATTAATTCAATTATTATTTTTAAGAATTTTTTACTAAAATTCTTCTTTAAATCGATTACTTTTCATAATTTTAGAAAAAGTTCTTTGACTGAACAGAAATCCATTTGTTTACAATATTCAACTTTTCGAAATTTCAATTATTAAAAAATTCTTTCATTAAATATATTTATTAGAAAATAAAAACTTCAAATAAAATAAAAAAAAATTCAATTAAAATTTTCAAAAAAATTAATTTTAAAATTCAATTATTTCTAAAAATTTACGCAATATTGTTTTTAATATTCAATTATTATCTAAAATTTTAACTGAAATTGATTTTTAAATCAATTTTTATTGGAAAATTTTACTAGAATTCAATTATTTAAATACAAACAAAATAATTTATTGAATAATTGAATGTTTCTTAAAATTCAATTCCCATAAAAAATTTTATCGACAAATTTTTAAACAATTGAATTCTTTAGACGAATTTTAATAAAATTTTTAAGAATTGAATTTTCGACAAGAATTTTATCACAATTTTTGAAAACATTGACTTCTTTCTGAGAATTTTATTAAATTTTTTTTTTAAATAATTGAAATATTTCGAGAAATTTTAGTAAAACTGTATTAAAAATAATTGAATTCCCGAAAAGAAATTTATTATTTATTAGAATAATTGAATTTTTGCTAAGAATTTTATAACAATTTTTGAAAACAATTGACTACTTTTTAGGAATTTTATTAAAATTGTATTGCATATAATTGAATTTCCTCAAATTCAACTTTTTTTAAAAAAATAATTGAATTGTTTTAAAGAACTCCTTTGAATATTTTGAAAATAATGGAATTTTTTGTTAACAATAATTATAATTAAAAAGAGAATTGAATTTAACAAAATTTTTCACGAATTGAATTGAATTTCTCTGAAAATGTTATTACAATTTTTTTAAAATAATTGAATTCATTTAAGAGATTTTATTAACAAATTGAAAATAGTTGAATTCTTTAGAAGAATTTTAATTGAATGTTTCTTAAAATTCAATTCCCTTAAAGAATTTTACAAACAAATTTTAGAATAATTGAATTCTTTAGACGAATTTTAATAGAATTTTTAAGAAATAATTACATTTTTTGAGGAATTCGATCAAAATTGTATTAAAAATAATTGAAATTCTGTAATGAGTTTTTATTATTTATGAAAAAAATTGAATTCCTAAAAAGAATTTTATTATATACGAAAATAATTGAATTCGTGTAAAAAATTTATTATTTATGAAAATAATAATTGAATGATTGCAAAGAAATTTATAAAAAATTTGTAAATAATTGAATTGCTGTGAAATTTTTATTATTTTATGAAAATAATTAAAGGTTTGCGTAGAATTTTATTAAATTTTTTTTAAATAATTGAATTGTTTTGGAAAATTTTTTAAAATAATTAAAATATAAATATACATAAATATAAATAATTTCTTTCAAGTTTTTAAAGTAATCGAGTTTTTTTTAACAATAACTATAATTAAAAATTTAATAATTGAATTTAACACAATTTTTTAGGAATCAAATTGAATTGAATTTTTCTGAGAATTTTATCACAATTTTTTTAAAATAATTGAATTCATTTAGAGATTTTATCAACAAATTGAAAATAGTTGAATTGCTTAGAAGAATTTTATTATTTATGTAAATAATTGAATTCTTGCGAAGAATATTATTGAGATTTTTGAAAATAATTGAATTGTTTCGAAGAAAATTATTAAAATTTAAAAAAATAATTGAATGCTTTCAAAAATTTTATTAAAATTTATAAAATTAAAATTAAAATACGGGTTTGAATAAAAATTAAACTATTGTAAATTCTTGTAATAACGATGAATAACAAAATTTTTTAAATTTATTTGTGTGCAAAGAATTAACTAAATTTTCTCTTCTGAATTAATTTTCATTTTGAAAATACTAAAAAATATTTTTCCACGCGTTGAAAATGTAAAGAGATTGCAAAAAGTCACGTGCTCCGTTGTTTTATTGCTTTTATTTGTAAATCAAACAAAATATTCGGGAAAAAGTTTAAGCTTTGGAATCTGTCAATCGAAAATTCAGTTTTTAAATTCTATTTAATCAAATTGATAGCAATACTCTATTTTTACTCTCTTTAGGCAAAAATGTTTGGATGTTCAAAAATTATTTTCTCTGAAGTAAAAAAAATTCTAAATTTTTTTTAATCTGATAAGAAATATTGAAAAAAATTTATTTTGTTTTTTTGATTAAAAAAAAAATTATTTGTTTCAAGTAAATATTCATTTGCTAATATTTATCAAATATTACTTGATTCAAATTAATTTATCTCCCAGATGAATAATATTAATAATTTATTTTTTTAATAATTATAATTAATAATAATTAATCAATGTAATTATTATTATATATTATATTTAAATAGTTTGACATTTTTTCTACATTTTTCTATTTTTCTGCTTAATAAATAATAGGGAATAATAATTTTTAGTTTATCCAAATATAAAATTATCTTAAAAATAATATTATTAATTCCAAAAGTTTGAGAAGAGAAACCCAATTTTTTAAAAAGAGAATTTTCTCAAATTTTAGGAAGATCCATGCGCGGGAATAAGTTTTATTCAAATTACTGGTCCAAATTGGCCGCCGTCACGAAAGCGAGAGGAAGCCCAGGCTCTCGAGAATTTGAGAAAAAGAGTTGAACAATCAAAATTGTGTAAAATTAATCCAGTTACGGAACCAGGAGGATTGGCTTCAACATCAGTTGCGTTGAATACCGCACAACTTCAAGAACTTGACAATCGACCGAAACTTTGGAAGAAAGTGAGTCGAAACTTAATTTACGCCCCTCGGGGCACCGATAATTATTATTCACAAAATTATACTAATTTATGCCGAGCGCGATCTATATATAACGTGTTATTATCATTATTATTGTATAATCTAAATTTTAATCCCAAAATTAAACTCTTAGAGTGAAAAAGAGAAAAAATTAATTCCATTCAAATAACCGATATTATTTGTCTATTATATTGAAATAAATATTTCCTTGAATTAAATCATTTTTATATTTAACATAATTTATTTTTTGCTGAGAATAAAGGTAATAATTAAATCACAAAATTTTATTCGAAACAATAATTTCAGTATTTCAAGTTAATGTATAACATTTAATTGATTTAAATAAAAATTATTTCATAAATAAAAATTATTTCATACAAATAATATATTTATTTTATAATAGACAAGTGAATAATTATTCCAGACTTCGTACTTGATAGTTAATTTTAAAAAAGTAGCTTAAAGACAGAAAAAGTAGTAAAAAAGTACCTAGCTAATCGAAAAATTAAATTTGACAACTCAATTTTTCTATAATTTCTTAATTACATTCAAAAATTGAATAATTTTTTAAAATAAATATTTAAATAAATATGCAAAAATTAAAAAAGTAATTCTTTCAAAATTTAATCATTTTTTTGTTAACATTTGTAAATAAAATTATTCAAAACTTTAATCATTTTGTTTTATTCAATTCTAAATGAATTCTTGTTAGAAAATTATACGAGAATTCAATTATTTAAATACAAAACTAAATTTATTGAAAAATTGCGAATATTTCTTAAATTTGAATTCTTAGGTATAATGAACTTTATCAACATTTTTAAAAATAATTGAATTTTTTCGAAGAATTGCATTAAAATTGATGATAATAATTAAATTCATTCAAGAATTTAAATTTATGAAAATAATTGAACACTTTTAAAAAATTTTATTAAAATTATTTTGAAAACAAGTCAATTATTACCTATAAAGAATTTCATTAAAATTTTTAAATATTATATTGAATTCTTTTGACGAATTTTATTAAAATTATGTTGAAAATATTTCAATTATTATAAAGAATTCAATTAAAAGTTTTTTAAATAATTTGAATTCTTTCAAAGATTTTTATTAAAAAATTTAAGAACAGTTGCATTTCTCTTGGAATTCAATTAAAATTGTATTCAAAATAATTGAAATCCTGCGATGAGTTTTATTATTTAAGAAAATAATTGAATTTTTGTCTCCAAACTTTCGTAAAGTTTTTAAAATAATTTAATTTTTCTCAAAAAATTTTATGAAAATTGTGTTTTGAATAATTGAATTTCTTTGAAAATTGTATATTATTTACAAAAATAATTGAATTTCTTTGAAAATTGTATATTATTTACAAAAATAATTGAATTTTTTAAAAGAATTTTATTTAAATTTTAATTAAAAATAATTGAAATCGGACGATGAGTTTTAATATTTATAAAAATAATTGAATTTTTGTAACGAATTTTATTGAAATTTTTAAAAAAATAATTGAATTCTCGCGAAGAATTTTATAAAAATCTATTTAAATAATGCATTTTTTTCGAAAAATATTAGGAAAATTCCATTTTAAATAATAATTGAATTCCGGTGAAAATTTTTTTATTCCTGAAGATAATTGACTGTTTCCGAATAATTTTATAAACATTTTTTTTAAATTATTCAATTTCTTTGGGAAATTTTTTATTAAAATAGTAGTAGATATTAAAAATCATTGAATTACGAAAAATTAAAATAATTGAATTGTTTTAAAGAATTTTATTAAAATTTTTTGAATTTTTTCCAATAACTTTATTAAACTATTTTAAAATAATTTTTTTATTTCCACTTTTAAAAAATTTAAAGTAGAGTAGGAAATAATTATTTACTTGAATCAAATAATTTTTATTTGAGGCAATTAAATTGTACGTACTTATGCTTCATTACAGGAAAAAAAGTTTGACTCCGTTTACACCTTAAATTCAGCCTTAAAAATAGTCTGAAGTAAGACTTTTTTTTAGTGTGGAATAATGAAATTATTGTTTCAAGTAAAATTTATTTGACTTAAATAAAATTTATTTGATTGAAGTAAATATTTATTTCGATAATAGACAAGTATCATCGGTTATTCGGTTATTTCAATGAAATGAGGAGATTTATTTAGTTAGAATATTTATTATTTCAGTTGATTGAATGAAACTAATAGTGAAACATTATTATTTTGTAAGAATCTAATTGCTTGTATCGATTTTATATATGTGTAACTCAGTGTAATTTAATTAGATTCGGTCAGCAATGTCAATATTATCCGAGATTAATTGAAACACTCGTTCAGTAGTTAACGAATTACCTCTCACTCGCTAGGATGAAAAACTTTAAAAGAACTTTATATTATCCCTTTGACCATTGAGGACTTTTTTTTCAAAGGAATTTTTATTAAAATAATATTGAGTCTATACATATACCCTATACTGATAGCTCTCTAATTTTTAATTGGTACAAATGTTTACTAATTTCAATAATTCAATTAGTCACTATGACTTTTTGCTTTTGAATTAGTAAATTTCACTTCTTACTGATCAATTAGTAAATTTAACAAATAAATTAGTAGAAATTACTATTTAGTAGTAAAATGAACTATAATTCAGTAAATTTTACTTCTTACTTTTCAATTAGTAAATTTAACAAATAAATTAATAGAAATTACTATTTAGTAGTAAAATTTACTATAATTCAAAAGCAAACAGCCAGTCACTGATTCAAATTAGTAAACTACTGATTCAAATTTAGAAAGTAGGCTTAAAACTAAATTAAGACAATTTTAGGTCTTAAAATAATACACTCTAAAGACACTCTCTTTTGATTCAGTCAAAAATGTTAAGTTCTAGTCAAAAAGAGACTGAAAGTAAGATTTACTTTTTACAGTCCATTTTTACTAATTAAAATTTAGAGACTCTTTAATTCAAACAGAATTATTCCCTGAGTATTTATACAATATTATTTATTTATTTATTATTATTTTTAGATTTAAATTTTATGGGATTCTCTCTCTCTCTCTCTCTCTCTCTCTCTCTCTCTCTCTCTCTCTCTCTCTCTCTCTTTAGAAAAGCTTTGTGTCTCCTTTAGCAGCGTCCATGTACTTGCGTTTCTCGTTTGACTATATAGGACTCAGCTAGCTATTTTGCATAATTAAATCATTTATCTTCTGGACACCCTGATACAAGTTCTCTCTCATGCTCCTCAGTTAGTGCATTTCTATGGTAATCAGATGCACACTCTAGCTAATTCAAATTTAGGTCATTCTCGTCAATTCCACTTGGTTATTTCAATTAAATACTCCTGTTTCGCAATATGTTTCAAAGTACATTTCTATAGTTGCGTGTTTCAATTTGTTATTCGAAAAAGCAGTTTTCCCGCGCGTTCGCATTGTCTTTTCAAATATATTTGCTCATTTATGAACGCAGTGTAAATTACCTGCTATATATAGTGTATTAAAGGCAAGGGCTTGTTATATAATAAAACGACATTTTCAAACATTTTATCGCAGAGGGAAAATATACTAATTAACGCACGTTTTCATTTTCATTTACAAATTTATATTTCTCTTCGACACTGTATTTTTTTTTGTTTGTTTGTTGTAATTTTATATTTCGTCTCGTTATATTTATTATTTATAAAATAAATGGTAATTTTTAATGAGAAAAGTATATTTATCGTCTGACTGAAGGTTGACTTGGACTACTTGTATTTTTCTTGGTCTGACTAAAGACTGGTTTTTACTACCGTGAGACAGATTTTTATACTTCTTCTCCTTACATTTAGGTATAATGTTTATAATAATTATAAAATCATTTTTATAATTTTTAGTGAAAAATATATTTATGGTCTGACTGAAGGTTGACTTGTACTACTTATATTTTTCTTGGTCTGACTAAAGAATGGTTTTTTCTACCGTGAGACAGATTTTATATTTCTTTTCCTTATAATGAAAATTATACATTTTTTTAAAAAAATTATTCACGAAAATAATTGAATTCTTTTAAGAAATTTTATTAAAATTATATTGAAAACAATTCAATTAATATAAAGAATTTCATTAAAATTTTTTAAAATAATTGAATTCTTTCAAAGAATTTTATTCCAATTTTTAAGAATAATAAGAATAATAAAGAATAATTATTTTTAATTATTTAACTTTAATAAAGTTTTGAAAATTGTATGTTATTTATCAATTAAAATTCTTTCAAAAAAATTTATTAAAATTATATTGAAAACAATTCAATTATTATAAAGAATTTCATTAAATGTTTTTTAAATAATTGAATAAATTTTTTCAAGGAATTTTATTAAAATTTTAAAAAATGATGGCATTTTTCGTGGAATTTATTTAAAATTGTATTAAAAATTGAAATTCTGCGATGAGTTTTAATATTTATAAAAATAATTGAATTCTTGCAACGATTATTATTAAAATTTTACAAAATAATTGAATTTCTGAGAAGTATTTTATTATTTATAAAAATAATTGAATTCTTGTGAAGAATTTCATAAAAATCTATTTAAATAATTGATTCTTTTCGAAAAATATTAGGAAAATTTTCTTTTAAATAATTGAATTCCTATGAAGTTTATTTATAAAACTAATTGAATTTTTCGAAGAATTTTATTTAAATTTTTAAGAATATTTGCGATTTTAGCGGAATTAACATAAAATTATATTAAAAATAATTGAAATCCTGCGATGAGTTTTATTATATATGAAAATAATTGAATTTTTGTCACTTAACTTTAATAAAGTTTTTAAAATTGTATGTTATTTATATGAAAATAATTGAATTCTTTCAAAAAAATTTACTAAAATTATATTGAATACAATTCAATTAATATAAAGAATTTCATTAAATGTTTTTTAAATAATTGAATTTTTTCAAGGAATTTTATTAAAATTTTTAAAAATTATGTCATTATTCTCGTGAAATTTATTTAAA